TTCTGTCAGGCATCTCTTCGAGGGGGGGGGGGGGGGGGGGGCAACCGAAGTACGTTCTACCGCCCCCCCCCCCCGAACAAAATGGAATTTATATAGAAAATAAAATATATACTTCTAACAGTGTCGTCGTCGTCGTCGTCCCCCCCCCCCCCCCCGAAAATTTCAAGTGCCTCCCCCCCCCCCCCCACCCCCGCCGGAGAAAAAAGTCTGTAAGAAACACAGCCATAGACCATAAAGACCTTAGGCCATAGACCATTGGCTATAGACTTTAGGTAAAAGATTATAGACTATAAAAAAAGACTGGGAACCCAAAAAAACACCTTTTGTTTGGGTAGAGAAGTAGTGCGCTTAAGAGACTTCTGGTAGTCAATGGAAGTCTAAAATAGGTTTCATGGCGGAATGCAGGGGACGTCACTCGAGTAGAAAACGATCGATACATTCTTGAACAATAGTGATTTCTACAATAGTAACTACAAGCAAACAAATCAGGACAAAAAAAATCAGTAAATATAAGACACACGACGATCATGCTTGTTTTAGCAATCAATTAATTTCTCAGATCATATCAGCAGTTCTCATTTAACTCTCTCTCTCTCTCACACCTCTCTCGCTTTACATATCTAACTCTCTCTCTCTCTCCATATATATATATATATACACACACACACATATACATATCTATATATATATATATATATATATATATATATATATATATATATATATATATATATATATATATATATATATATATATATTCTAACTACAAAAAGTTCTGTGCTAGATAAATTATGAAATATTCACCATATAAATGAACAATGATTTTTGGAAATCGACTAGAACAGAAAGAATAAATCAATAACGGCTTACTATTAACTATTACAAATCTACAGAACAAAATGCTAGTATTGTCTCCATCATTGTAGCAGCAAAGTAAACATTAATGGAATAAAAGTTTGTATTTCAAAAATAAAATCATGCAAAAAATACTGTGCACTTTAATGACGAGAGGATTCAAGTAGGTCAAATTGTCACGTTACATGATTTGTGCGGATATAGCCTTAAGAGTTTTAGTTGGGGGAGTAGTGGGTGGGGGGGGGGGGGGAGAAAAGAACCGGGTGTCACCATTTACACATGTGACACCAAGGCAAAATAAATTGCTAAATGTACAGAAGAAAAATGATTTTAGCCTGTTCAATTAATGATTCATTAAAGTTCAATAGTCTTTTAGAATAAATTGGCGACGGGGGGGGGGGGGGGAACAATGCTATATCCAGGTATATTAATAACCGAATACAGGTTAACTCTGTTACTATTATATGTGCAAAATTGAAGCTATCATCCGGATGGGGTGGGGGTCAGAGGGAAGCAAGTTTTGGTTGAATATTTTCAATAACTTATACACACACACACACATACACATACACCACCTCCTAGATCATTATACATCTGGCACGTTTGTGGAATTATTTATTTATCAAAATTTGTGGAGATAAGTTGTTTCACTTCAAAGCAAAAACCTTTCAGTTTAAAAACATCACCATCAAAGAAGTGAAATAAATGGACAATATTTCTCCAATAAAAGTCAATAAAAATAGTCTGTTGTTTTCATCCATGGCGCGCATGTAAATGCGCTCATCGTTAGAAGGACGGACGGCCTTTATTTCTTTGGTCCTTCTGCGTAGTACTGTGTATAAAGTTAAAGGCTCGGCATCTAGTTCCGCCCTGCGCCAACTTTCACTTTGTCGCTTCCGGCGTTTAGCCTCTTTGTGTTTACGGCGACGCTAATGGTGGATAAAAATAATATCACAAATATCAATGTTTGATTTGGGCGTTAAAGTCGATAAATGTGTTTGATTCAAGCGTATACATATACAGCCATATATGTAGGTATATTATTTTTTAAAAACAAACTCAATTCTATATATATTATAACATATTTATACTAAACTAATGTATATTTTCATCTTTTCCCGTTCGCACCCAAGAAACATGGGACAGATGAAGTAGAGTTCATCTGTTTCAATGACCTTGGCATACATGGTATGGTCAGCGCTATGCCCAGTCACCTTAGTTGCCTCAGTCAGGTATTCATTAGAGCTGGTTGGACTCAGGTGCATCCTATAGACTCGCGAACGGGATCCAAAATCGTGACTTTTGGCTAGCTGTCGAGATCTCTATTATCCGACCAGCCCGTTCCGTTTTTATGTACACACACACACACACACACACATATATATATATATATATATATATATATATATATATATATATATATATATTATATAATATATTATATATAATATATGTGTGTGTGTGTGTGTGTGTGTGTGTGTACATAAAAACGTGTGCATGCACATACATGTAGCTAATGTACGTATTTGTGTAGGCACGTAATTGAAAAATGCAGTATAATTATAATCATTAAAAATTTCATTTTGTTTTTAATCTATGGTTGTACTCTTGTTTTTTTTTTTCAATGTTTGATGAAAAAAAATGTAAACTACGATAAAAAAACAATAAAAAATGTACCTGTTTTGTCATCCATGTGCGGCATGCTTGCGAGAATTCAGTCACTGCTCTTTACAGATGCGCGCGCAGCAAAGAGGTTAACCGCTCAACGGGAATTCACAGAATTAAACTCCCGTGAAAACGAAAGTAAAAATCCCATTAACAATGTCCGATATGACGTTTGTGTTAGGTCTTCATACAAAAGTAATAGCGTTACGTCTACAAAACAAGTTGCTTGAACCACGTGTAACGTCATTACGTCACACAATTTTAACACAATGTGTACCCCCACCACTAATGGTCACACTTCATCAAATTTTATCCCCAGCCACCCCTAAAAATATTTCTAAATAAATTTTTGTGTAGAAAAAAAAACACAAAATATTTGCAATTAGCGCTGAATTTAAACCCCTACGTCTTTCCTCACGAACACCACCATCCAACTGTATAACCCCCCTGCTCCTCCCCCTTTCCTCCCTCCACTACCCAGGTGCGTGACGTAATTTATAAAGAACAGTTTTGTGTTGACAATGTCGGTGAATCAAGTCACCTGATTATGTCCCTTTAGCTACGATAATCGATTTTTTTACACGCATTACAGGCGATCATTCAAAAACCAGGAAATAAATATGACGCCATTTCTTTCTTGGTATTATTCTTATACAAACTCTCGACCTCTAACTACATAAAAACTTGTATTAAAACAGCACCTTAAACTTAATACTGAAACCTCGTACTTTACGCTTAAGTTCATATCAATGTCATGTTTATTAATAGAGCAAATCAGCTTTGATAAGAAGGAATTGCGGGAATTGTATACAAAAGGCCAAAGGTGACATTTTTTGCTGGTAAAAAGATTTCAAAGAAGTTTTTTCTTTACAGGGTAAACATTCCTTACGTTTATACAGCACCTCGACCCCACGGGTGTTCTACAAAATGAGACACTCGTAGGGGGGTGGGAGGGTTCTTATTTTGTGACGAAGTGTGATGAGGGGGTGGGGTTCAGATGGTATGACGTCACACTTTTGCATTTAAAAAAAGTCATTTTAGAAATTGAATTTCCAGCCGTTATTTCAAGTTTTTTTTTAAAACCTGTTTTTATAAATTGTAATAGAAATCGATTAATATACTCTACATTGTTTAAAAAAAAAACCCTGTAAATTTGAGGGGGAGGGGGGGTGATATCTAAGGTATGACGTCATTTTACGGGATCTGGTTTTTGTGACAGTCTGTAACAATGAGAGGCAGGAGGTAAAAGTGTAAAAGTGTAAAAAACAAAAACACGACGTCATTTACGGATTCCCCCCCCCCCCCCATGATGTTTTGATATTACAATTAATTAACTGATTTAAGTAAGTCACAGAAAGAGAGGGGTCAAGTCACTTGTGGAAGTTTATAGTTTGACAGAAGTAAAGCAGCTCTTACAGACCTGACGGTCGATAGGGCAGAAGAAGTAGAGTTCCTCTTTTTATGTGACCATAGCGTACAAAGAGATAATGTGGTAGGTAATATATATATATATATATATATATATTATATATATATATATATATATATATATATATATATATATATATATATATATATATATATATATATATATATATATACTTCAACAAGCCTCAGACGCTTAACCCCCACCGCCCACATAGAATTTTAGCCCCGGTTAAAAAATATTTGAAAGAAACCCTACCAACATCGCAACACAAGAACAAAGAGTTTATAGTGTTAAACTTATCACATTCTTCTTCCAATATCGTATTAGTAGGCTAACGTCTTGTTTAAATTTAGACCTAGATTGCTGTCGGCTAGACTAACATTTTGCAGACCAGTTCGTTTGAAAAAGTAGTTTCAGTTTCATATTTCGTGGCACGCGTTTTTAAAAGTCGGTTATCTCCCTTGGATAAGTATACCAAAAAAATGTATTTTCGTCACAAATTACAACTGCAAACGTCAGCTTTTTGTTTTTGTTTTGAAAACAGCCGTGTCTAACAACGGAGAAGTTGATAACAGCCGTGTCTAACAACGGAGAAGTTGAAACAGCCGTGTCTAACAACGGAGAAGTTGAAACAGCCGTGTCTAGCAACGTAGAAGTTGAAACAGCCGTGTCTAACAACGTAGAAGTTGAAACAGCCGTGTCTAGCAACGTAGAAGTTGAAACAGCCGTGTCTAGCAACGTAGAAGTTGAAACAGCCGTGTCTAACAACGTAGAAGTTGAAACAGCCGTGTCTAACAACGTAGAAGTTGAAACAGCCGTGTCTAGCAACGTAGAAGTTGAAACAGCCGTGTCTAACAACGTAGAAGTTGAAACAGCCGTGTCTAGCAACGTAGAAGTTGAAACAGCCGTGTCTAGCAACGTAGAAGTTGAAACAGCCGTGTCTAACAACGTAGAAATTGAAACAGCCGTGTCTAGCAACGTAGAAGTTGAAACAGCCGTGTCTAACAACGTAGAAGTTGAAACAGCCGTGTCTAACAACGTAGAAATTGAAACAGCCGTGTCTAGCAACGTAGAAGTTGAAACAGCCGTGTCTAACAACGTAGAAGTTGAAACAGCCGTGTCTAACAACGGAGAAATTGAAACATCCGTGTCTAACAACGGAGACTAACAGCTAAGACGTTGAACCACCCGTGTCTAACAACGGAGAAATTGAAACACCCGTGTCTAGCAACGTAGAAGTTGAAACAACCGTGTCTAACAGTGGAGAAGTTGAAACAACCGTGTTTAACAACGGAGAAGATGAAACACCCGTGTCTAATAACGGAGTTGAATACCTTTTAAACTTGTTCTTTCTTAAAGAATATTTTCCTTTTATATGATTGGAACTCAGCTTTTTTCCCCCCAGATATTTACCGCTTTGAGGAAAACTTCCGGACGAGGTGTGGGAGGGATGGGGCCGGGGGGGGGGGGGGGGGGGGGGGGGAGGATTTGAAGGCGGGGGAAGGGCGAACACTGGGTAATGTATGTATTTCAGTATCATTTTTATATTTTTCTATTTCGTCTGGAAGGATGGGGGTAGGTGCGATGGGCCTAATGTAGGTCTGCGAAGAAATGCCTAAAAGAAACTCTGTTGGGACAGGACATTTTTGTGCTTGACATTTTGGAAATAGCCAATCCTTCCATTCCCCCCCCCCCCCTCCCCTCCCCTCTCCCCCACGTCACTGATTATCAGCGCTAACTAGAAGGAATTGAGCGCCACGAGTTATATTTCGTTTCAACAAAGTCGTTTTAGTTTCAGTTTTGGAACCTGGCGCTGGAACCGGAAATGTAGGTCATCATTTTATCTGCTTTATTTTCACGTCGGATGAGAAAATAAAATTCGTGTTTTTGAAACCTTTTTTTTTCAAATTTTTTAACCTAATAACAGAGTTGTTTTGTGCGTTTTTTTTTAAATAATGTTTTTGTTTTTCTAGTCATCCGCACAAGAAGTCTGAGACTAGAACGTTGAGAAAATATTTTGGCAGAGGCGTAGCGATGGGGGGGGGGGGGGGGGGGGCAGGGGGGTGACATATGTCCCCGGGCGCCGACCTTATGGGGCGCCAAAAAGTAATCGAAAGTTTGAGGGGGGGTGGAAAGCGAAAGTTAAAGGGGGGGGGTGCAAATCGATAGTTTGTCCCCGGGCACCGTGAAGGGTCGCTACGCCTCTGCATTAAATTTTAGGACGTGAAGCTTGGGACTAGAACAGAGTTTCTTCCAGGCATCTCTTAAAGTCTACCGTCTTCCCCCCCCGCCCCCCCCCCGGACGAAATGGAATTGATATAGAAAACATATACTTTTACTAGTGTCCGCCCCCCTCCTCCCCGGAAAATGTTGTCCGCCCCCCCCCCTCGAAAATATAAAGTCCCCCCCCCCCACTCCCCCCCCCCCCCCCCCCCCGGAGGAAAAAGTCTGGAAGAAACACTGGACTAGAAATTTAAGAAAAATGTTGTAATGTGATGCTTGAACTAGAAATTTAGGAAACATAATGTTTCTGAGATAATTATCTTGGAACTAGAAATTTAGAAAAAGAGTTTTTAACTAATATCTTGGGACTAGAAATTTAGAAAATAGAAGATTTTTTTACATCCCTTTTCTTGAATCTAGAAATTTAGAGAAAAAAAGATTTTGTTGACAATTTTCTTGGGACTAGAAAATTAAGGGGAAAAAACCCGTTTGCGATTAAGCGGTGGAGAACAGAGCTTTAGGAAAAAAAAACATTCTTGGGGCTAAGTGGTTGGGACATACGAAATTTGGGACAGTATGGACTTGACATTTAAACCAGACATTAAAAAGTCGGATGAAGAGTATTTGGTCTCATAACTGACAAGGTATTTAAAGGACACAAAATTATCAATAAAAATAAACGAACAAAGTTAGTTCTGCAAAGATGCTTAAATAATCAATAGAAAGAATAAGGGTTAAAACAGCCAAAACAAATTATTTTTAATCGACAATCAAGATTAAAATAATTTTAAAATCTAACGCTAAAAACACTAGTTTTTAAGATTAGTTTAGGATTTTTTTAACATGAATAAACTTTCACTAAAATTGTGGTTATAAATTTTAATTTTAAACAATTATAATCACATAGTATACTGCAATAATGTCAACTTTTGTGCCAATAATTATATTCAGTTTGGCTTAAACAATAATTTTGTATGGAATTAACTTGCAAATGTTATTTTTAATTCTAACAGAAAAATGATTTTAGATCAACAATAATTACATTATTTTTAATTAACCAATTTTTTTTTAAAATTCGCAAACCAAAGTTTATAATTTTTAAATACCTCATCTTCGAAGGCTGTTATACTTGTACGAATTGTACAGTATCAGAAGTCAACGTCATTTCTTCATGTCTGACCGAATTTTGGCGACGCTGACTATGGGGGGATAGCCTCAGAATAATGCTCTTGTTTCTGGAGGTATAATTTATATCTACACCGGATTCGTTCTTAGAACTGTAGTGAATTTAGTAATGTTTTGACGAAATGGGGATACTGAAACTGAAAGATTTTTTTTGAAAAATTGATGGCTCTCAACAGTAAATTGACAGCTTGGTATCCGATAAAGGGAAAATAACAAAAGTAGGTCACACACTAAATGAGTGATTGTTTTATCTGCGACATTTCTCAATGCTTGCCAAAGCAAGATTTTATTTGGTCTAGTCGAAGTGGTATTAGCAGACCTAAACGAAATTAAAATATGAGAATATTTTATACTTGTCTTAAAATTCTACTTTTAGCAAATAATGTACTAAAGTATTTTGATATTTTTGAAAAATCGAATATTATTTAGGTTCACTTATCTTAGTGCGGCGTATTTGTTATCTGACATGGATGAGTATCAGCGTATAAGAAAAATATTTTTAAAAATCAATACCCTCAATAGTTTGGTGTGTTGTGCTGTTAGCATATTAGCTCTATCAAATCAAACAAATTGTGTTTACTTTTTCACAGATTACTTCATTTTAATATATATATATATATATATATATATATATATATATATATATATATATATATATATATATATATATATATATATATATATATATATATATATATATATATATATATATATATATATATATATATATAAGGCACTCAGGCTTTGTGTGCAATTTTTTTTTACTGTTGAAAAATGCAACATGGTGAACAAAAACATGCACGTACAACATGGTGAGCAAAAACATGCAATGTTTGGTCTCATCTACTTTATAGATGACTTTTAGATCAAGGCTTTTTATTTTTTATCACACAACGACACCCACTCTCCAGATATTCATTCAAGCATTTGGGCGAAAAAGCAAAACATAATTTATATTAAAAATATTTACTTTACCAGGTGTCCGCCCTCCTCCCCACCCTCAGAAATTCTAAGTGTGCCGCCCCTCCCCCCCCCCCCACGAAAGTTTGAAGTTCCCCTCCTCCCCCGGACAACAAATGCCTGAAATAACCCTACCACTCCCTCAAACATGCATACATAAGAGTAGTGATTGGGGGGGGGGATTAATCATGGTCATGAATGACAATGGTTCTTAGAGTTCAAAATGCGTGTACCCATTGATGTGAATAGAGGGGGGGGGTGAATTACGGTTGGTGGGGTGAAGGTGAGATCAGCGAATGAGTATCGTAGTACTCACAGTTCAAGCACCGCACTAAATTGAACATAAACTGATCTTCGTTATGTGACCGAGTTCTTTAAACTTTGATATATAGAGGATATAACGTATACATACATAGACAGTTTGTGGCCATGTTTGACAACTGTAATTAAAATAAACCGGGAGTGATCTCCCCTTTCTCGAATGTTCTTATATAAAACTACAAGGGATGGCAACTCGGGATATGGACATGATTTTTAATCCATTTTAAATACTTTAACTTTTTAAAGTAGAATAAAATCTCGTAGAAAAAAGAATTGCACACCAGGTGAACGCCAAATAAAATGTGCATAATACTGCGGAATAATATTAGTACTTTATAAATTCACATGCGTTTTTTTTTGAGAAATCGGAAATAGCGTAAATTACTACTTCCGGTCAACGGAAACTACTCAAAATTTGAAAGAAGGCAGAGAATTAGATCTTTTACTTACATGTGAAATTTCATTTATATATCTGAAATAGTACTCAAGTTATAGTCTTTTAAAAAATTCAAAGTAAAAAAAGGTCCACTTCCGGTTATCGGAAATCGCTCAAAAGTTGATACGGATCTACAATTTTGATAAAATACTTATATATGAAATTTCATCAACCTAGCTGTAACGGTACTCAAGTTATCGTGTTTACACACGGACAGACAGACACTCACACAGACACGTAGACATATGGACTAGATTGCAAAATTATGTTTTTCCGTATCAGTGAGGTGTAAAACGTCGAGATTTGCAAAAAATCTCGATTTTTTTTTTCACGATTAAAAGACTTTCTCTATACTTCGTATATACGAGAAAGTAAAAATGTGCTTTTTACTTTCAATAAATAAAAGGTGAAAGGAGAGGGTGAAAATATGAACAGACAATTAATTAGATGTTTAAATTACGACTATGAAGGTATGTCTACTAACGTTAAATATTGCAATCTACATCGGTTACTGATGTATTTGTTTTTCAACTTGATAATGCTAAAAAAAAAATACCAAACTATTTTCTTTAGAACTTAAGCTCTATATAATTTTTGCAATTGCAAATAATAACTTAAAGTTGTATTTATATGTAAGGGGTCAACCTAAGGTGCAGGAATTTGAAATGAATGTAAAGTTAAGCGACGAATTAAGTCCTATTTGAAAATCCAAATACCAAAATTTAATTTAAGGGAAATAACTTTTACAAGATTAGCTAAATTAACCAAGTGTAGCTAAGACATGCTTGAAAATCACAGTAAAACGTTTTCATTTCATTACGTAATAATTATAATATAAATTTTATATTAGCTATGTAGCCTTGTAAAAACATAATATTCTACCGATTCAATACTTAACTGTAGGTTATGTTTGAAAGTCTAAAAACGGTAGCTTTATTATAATACACTTTTATTCAATTTTGATGATATATATTTTTAAGTGACCAATATTTTAAAATTATGTTAAATTTTGGATCCCCTAAATAAAGGGACGCTTTTAAAAAATTCAAACACGGGTAACTGTTTTAGACATTGCTAGAATTATTGATTAAATATTTAAAAAATATAATTTGACGAAAAAACATATTTTAAGGTTAGTTATAAGTTCCATCCTATTTAATATTATACATTCATACTTAAAGAGTGGTAATATAGATTCCTAAAAAACTAAAGATTTTTCAACTAGAGAACGCCCATCTACTACATTCACAACACATATCGAACTTCGATACCTAAACATAACTAGACTGGATGCTCCAGAACTACGACACCAACTCATTTAACTTTACCAAGTTCTACAAACGGTACTCCCAATCAACAACGACTTCACTGGACCTACTACTACACTCTAACAGAATCAATACTCCCGAACTCCAGAACTTCGATACTTCATCACCTGCATTCTCATTTCTCTACTATCAATCAGATTCCACTAGACCTTCGTCTACATAACAGCCTAATAAAAAATATGAAACTTTTAACACTGCGATGCTTTATACCTACGAAACCATATCAGCAACAACCTTCCGCTGTTACTCCCAAATCTAAACGATCCATCAAAACTTACCAAACAAGTACAATACTTTGAACACCCCGTCATTACAAAACTCTATACACCAGGGCAGATTTCTAATTCAAAATCAGAGAAAACGAGACTTACAAGCCCTATTAAAATTAGATAACCGTTTGAAATGTTCGAAATTTAAATTAAAAACTTATTTAATCGTTGTCTACATCAATTATGTGACACCAAATAATGTGGACGTTCTACTGACTTAGATCTGGATTCGAACTCGGGTTAGCAGCCTAACGCTCTACCGCTTAGCCATACCGTCCCATCATGAGAGGTCTACTCTATCACAAAGGTTGAGAACCACTGACTTTTTAAAATCTGGAGCTACACACAAAATCTAACACACACGTGAACGGAATTCAGCTCTTACACTGTGTTTGTTGACAACCGGCTGAATGCTAGAAAACCTCCGTCCATTCAATATGTACCTCTTCCCCACAATCCCCCACACCCCGAACTCAACCCTAGTGTGTTGAACACATCAGGTAGTTCAATCTCTATCACTGTGAAAAAGCTAACAAGAAATAAACAAACAAGGACTTGGGAAAGAATACAGTGTTAGCTTAAGGACGAAGATCAGGACAAGATGTTATGGAAGAAGTATATGGTTCTGTTTGGTGTTTTCCTAATTAACATCCCCAACGGTGTCACGTGGTACTATGGCAACCTGTTCTCTTACACGGCCTGCGTGTTTAAGTAAGTCTTTTGTTGTCTATTTAAGCCAGGGCATTGTCTTAAGGCACTCGATGGGTGGTTTTTACAAGCTTTTATTTAACTCACTTCCTCTGTCGACATTCTGTCGACAGTCTGTCTGTCTAGATGGAAACGCAGGCGTGAAAATTCGGAAACTTCTACTTGACCGATACGATTCAAAGTTAGCACGTGGGTCAAGACATGAAGACAATGTCTAGCCAACCACACCACACGCGTCATCACCTTCAATAGCTGCGCCATCACGTAATGGCTGCGTTCAAAAACCATTGCGCGCCTACTGAACGTGATGTTCAGTAGGCGCGCAATGGTTTTTAGTCATGTAACTCTATCCTAATTTATAAAAGCCCAATGTGCGCACATCTCTCTCTCTCTCTCTCTCTTTCTCTGTCCGCAAAAAATTTTCGCCGGACATCACGTCAGAATCGGCAGCGATATATCGAGAATTTTTTACGGACTTTTGTTGAAAATAATATGTTAGATGTTTTAAATGTATAACCACAAAATTATTTAAAGAAGAAAAATAAAAAATAAAGGCGTATTCGAATATAGAGAAACAGTATTATTTATGCAACCGGAAAAGCATTAATATATGTGAAAAAGAACGCATAAAACTGTGACGTCACTATTGCTTATACATTAACTAATGACGTCATCAGCCGTGTTTAGAATGAAAAGAAATGAACTATTTCATTCAAATTTGATTTAGATCTACGTACACTATGAAATGTATACAATACAATTTTTCCGGCCTAAACTCATAAAATTTATTTTATGTATTTGGATTCTAGATCTAGAGATTCTAGATCTAGACTAAATCTAAATCTACGCAATAACTAGATCTAGACGTAGACGCTAAGATCTAGATTTAGACTCTAACTTCTCTAAAATCAATTCCAAAAATAAATTTCTATATTAGGACTAAACTATTTCAAGACTTATTTATTTTATACAAAATCTTTGTTATGAACTGGCTAATTTGGGATAAAAAAATTAATTTGAAAGAATAGGCATATTCGCGTAAGTTAAGATTTTAAAATACGTGTTTCATTCTCCGTATTTTATAAGGTGCCTAAATAGCGGAGATGTTAGTGTACATTAAACCACGCAGGTGGTGCGGGTTCGAGACACAGCAAGTCAGCTTGGTTAATGTATTCTTTTTTATTATGCTCGGGCTAAACCTAAAAAAAAAATTCTTTTAGGAATCTAGCTCTAGATCTAGATTGTCGGGTGTCCGATAGGGCACTTCCCGGCGCCGCAGGCGCTTCAAATTTGGCATGATCTTGCCTTGGTGCGACAGAACACGGGGGCCGGTTGGCCGAAAAGTCTACGATGTGGGGGGTCAAAACTGACCTCGACTGACCGGTACCTTATATGAGCTATAAATCGAAAAAAAATGTCCACGGAGGAACCTCTTCATAACTCTTGAGGTCGTAGACCGACCTTCGGGCGAATTAATTAAGCATTCAAATTCTCAATGTTTTCGAAAGCCTAAGCGAAGCTGGGCAGCATGCCTAGTTGTAAATAAAACATGTAAAGTACTGAAAAAAAAATTCATAGAAAACGTTTTAATAACAAGCTTTTATGTAATGATGCACTAAAAAGTAGAAAATAAATTATAGACTACTATTTAAATAACTATAAAGAAAAGCGTGGGTGTCTTCCTTAACATTAGTAAAGGTATCCAATAGATACTAAAGTGACCCACGCTTTTCTTTATAGTTATTTAAATAGTAGTCTATAATTTATTTTCTACTTTTTAGTGCATCATTACATAAAAGCTTGTTATTAAAACGTTTTTTATGAATTTTTTTGTAAATACTTTGCTTTAAGACACTTTACGGAAGTTGTTAGAAAAGCAAAAGAAACACCATTCATCAAAGACATTGGTGGTATATGTTCAACAAGTGTCTGATAAAGGAATCTTTTTAAGGGGTGTTAGGTAAACAAAGTATTAGTATAACTTGCTAAAGACAAAACTAACTAGTAACCAAAGTATTAGTATAACTTGGGGGGTCGGCGTGGTCGAGTCGGTAAAGCTCATGGTTGCTAAACCGAAAAGTCTCGAGTTCGAACCCTCGGGCAGATGAGGCTCGCTAGCTGGGGACAGCCACTCTTCTAGGAGAGACAACTCCAAAATTAAACAACTGCTGCCTTGTAGTAATCCAAAAAGAAAAGCAGGCTGAAATCGGAGTCAATGGCCTCAATGGCGCATAACCAGTTGACACGTAACGCTTAATTGTGTTGGAGGCGTGATCGAGTCGGCAAAAAGCTCATGGTTGATAAATTCGAATAAAGTCTCGAGTTCAAACCCACTGGCAGATAAATCTCGATCCCCCCAACACTAATAATTAAGAACGAAGAAGAAGAAGAAGAAGTATAACTTGCTAAAGACAACACTGACAAGTCTAAGTATTAGTATAACTTGCTAAAGACAACACTAACCTTAACCCAACTCCTTCTCTAGCCTCTGAAAGGTCTTAAGAGCTAAAACTGATTCGCCAATACTACTAACCTCCGAACACGTCTATTTTTAGAAGCGTCTAGGCATTGTTTTAAAACACGATGGATAGTCTTAGAAAGAGATGAGGTTATGTGATCTCAAGGTAGAGCACACAGTATTAAATGACCAGAGCTCGAATCTTGAATTAGTCAGTGCATGTCTAAAGCTTTCATCAGAACACAAATCCCATGTCCTACCATAATCCTTAAACAAATCTAGCCCTGAAACTAAACCTAATAAACTATAAACAACCTGATATTCCGTTTTTAGGGAGGTTGCATTGTCGAACACTAGGAAAAAAATATCCGGAAAAAAAGTCTGAATCGTTGTAGTTTGTATTACTGAACGCAAGCAGATAAAACTGCAAGCAAATGTTAAAGTTTAATTATGAGGTTATGTGTGTGTATGCAGTGTTTCAGACTTTTTTCGTGGGGGGAGGGGTGGAAACTAAATTTTCCGGGAGTGGGGGGGGGGGAGGGGGGGAACTGACACTGGTAAAAATATTTTTTTTCTATATAAATTCTATTCGTTCAGGGTGCCTGAAAGAAACTCTGAATACTGTGATGTAGACACTGAGTCAGCTGAACTTAATACTACTTGCCTTACATCTAGACTCGCTTACAGAAATAATTTTTAAAAATTTCAATAACTAGACAAATCAGATATCAATTAACATCATTCTCTTGTGGGTTTTAGAATCGAGGTGGCATTTTTCTACAAGTGTAATGCCCTGGGGCAAAAAAAAAAATTACTCTAAAAACACTAAAACATTAAAATCCCAAAACAATATCACTAAGGTTAACCATTCGATGTGACTAGACCAGCAATCCAACAATACAATTATTTGAAAATTCCATTACCACAGGAAGTTCCGGGTGTGTATTACAACGTTATCGCCCCTTTTATTACAACGTTATCACCCTTTTTAAAAATCACATTATCTCCCCTTTTATTACAAAGTCATCGCCCTTTATTTGATCCACTCTCGGGCAATATAAAACAAATTCTCTTACTTCCCACATGTTTTTATTGTAAAGAATTCCCTATTTGTATCCAGGCGGTACCAAAAGTCCAACGTCGAGTCGCCATGGCTGATGTCTGTGGAGGTGGGCTGCTGGACTCTGGGCATCATCCTTGGTGGTCTGTTGGAGGCCCACGTCGGACCGCGGTGGACCATGTTTATTGGTGCCCTGTTCTTCAACGCTTCCTTCTTCCTCACCTACCTCACGGTGCAGCATAGCCTGGTGACCTTTATCCTGACACTCGGTGTCATGTCAGGTTAGTATCCTATTTTTTGTGTCCCATTTGTAGTATCCCATTTTAAGTATCCCATTTGTAGTAAACCCATTCATGGTATCCCATTTTAGTACATTTTTAGTACTCCCTTTTAGTACCTCATTTTCAGTCCCCATTTTCAGTACCCCATTTTCAGTGTCTAATTTTCAGTATGCCATTTTCAGTATGCCATTTCTCTCATTTTCAGTGTCCCATTTTCAGCATTCTGTTTCCTAGTATTTGGGTTACCGGTATCTAACATTAAACTCCTCTGAAATTGAACCCGGATTCGAACTCGAGACTTTAGGCTTAGCAGTCTAGCTCTACTGCTAGGCCACGCCGTTCCATATAATCGTCATTTGTGGAGTTGATACATTTTCAGTATTGAAAATTATTTTTGCTGCAGGTCTGACGGATGGGATCCTGAATTCTGCGAGCCTGTCTTTTGTTGTCATGTGGGCCAAGACACATGTGGGCCTTGCCACGGGGATAGCCACAAGCAGCCTGGGTGTGGGGGCTGTGTTCATTAACCTCATCATTACCAGGTAGAGAGATGTTCATTAACCTCATCATTACCAGGTAGAGAGATGTTCATTAAACTCATCATTACCAGGTAGAGAGATGTTAATTAACCTCATCATTACCAGGTATAGAGATGTTCATTAACCTCAGCATTACCAGGTAGAGAGATGTTCATTAAGCTCATCATTACCAGGTATAGAGGTGTTAATTAAGCTCATCATTACCAGGTATAGAGATGTTAATTAACCTCATCATTACCAGGTATAGAGATGTTCATTAAGCTCATCATTACCAGGTATAGAGGTGTTAATTAGACTCATCATTACCAGGTATAGAGATGTTAATTAACCTAATCATTACCGGGTATAGAGATGTTCATTAACCTCATCATTACCAGGTATAGAGATGTTCATTAGCCTCATCATTACCAGGTATAGAGATGTTCATTAACCTCATCATTACCAGGTATAGAGATGTTCATTAACCTCGTCATTACCAGGTATAGAGATGTTCATTAACCTCGTCATTACCAGGTATAGAGATGTTCATTAGCCTCATCATTACCAGGTATAGAGATGTTCATTAACCTCATCATTACCAGGTATAGTGATGTTCATTAACCTCATCATTACCAGGTATAGAGATGGTCATTAACCTCATCATTACCAGGTATGGAGATGTTTATTAATCTCATTACCAGGTAGAAAGATGCTCTTTAATTAACATCATTACCAGGTATAGAGATGTTCATTAACCTTATCATTACCAGGTATAGAGATGTTCATTAACCTCATCATTACTAGGTATATAGATGCTCTTTAATTAACCTCAACATTACCAGGTATACAGATGTTCATTAACCCCATCATTACCAGGTATAGAGATGTTCATTAACCTCATTACTAGGTATAGAGATGTTCATTAACCTCATCATTACCAGGTAGAGAGATGTTCATTAACCCCATCATTACCAGGTATACAGATGTTCATTAACCCCATCATTACCAGGTATAGAGATGTTCATTAACCTCATCATTACCAGGTATAGAGATGTTCATTAACCCCGGCATTACCAGGTATAGAGATGGTCATTAACCTCATCATTACCAGGTATAGAGATGTTCATTAATCTCGTTATTACCAGGTATAGAGATGTTCATTAACCTCATCATTACCAGGTATGGAGATGTTTATTAATCTCGTTATTACCAGGTATAGAGATGTTCATTAACCTCATCATTACCAGGTATAGAGATGTTTATTAATCTCATTATTACCAAGTATAGAGATGTTCATTAACCTCATCATTACCAGGTATAGAGATGTTTATTAATCTCATTATTACCAGGTATAGAGATGTTCATTAACCTCATCATTACCAGGTATGGAGATGTTCATTAATCTCATTATTACCAGGTATAGTGATGGTCATTAACCTCATCATTACCAGGTATAGAGATGTTCATTAACCTCATCATTACCAGGTATAGAGATGTGTATTAACCTCATTACTAGGTATAGAGATGTTCATTAACCTCATCATTACCAGGTATAGAGATGGTCATTAACCTCATCATTACCAGGTATAGAGATGTTCATTAACCTCATCATTACCAGGTATAGAGATGTTCATTAACCTCATCATTACCAGGTATAGAGATGTTCATTAACCTCATCATTACCAGGTATAGAGATGTTCATTAACCTCATCATTACTAGGTATAGAGATGTTCATTAACCTCATCATTACCAGGTATAGAGATGTTCATTAACCTCATCATTACCAGGTACTTTTGACAAGGGTTAGGGCTGTGGTTAGACTAGGTCAGGGGTCTCCAAACTTTTCAGTCCAAGGGCCACATTAACTATCAAATTTCAGTTCAGGGGCCAGTTTCTTCCAGAAATATCTTTGATTTTTTCTGGGACAAGTTCCTCAGCCATCACCAACAAACGTTTTTTTCGTGGACAAAAAGATCTCCGCGGGCCGGATGATAGGACATCGCGGGCCGTAGTTTGGAGACCCCTGGACTAGGTTGACAGAGATGTTTATAAGAATTTTTTCTATATTAACATGTGTTTACCGGGTTTGATAATCGTGGGTTGTGGTAAAGAAAGTATCGCTACGTAAATTACGCCAGTTTAATCGTAAAGACAAGGGAATTAGTTGCATTATAAAGAGGGATCGAATCCGTAAGGCTTTTAACCAGTAACTTGAGAAGTCAAAGTCACGTTTCTTAACAGTGCAGTTCATAATCTTAACGACGTCTTTACATGCTTGTAATAGATTTTAGAGTCAGGGTTACGTTTAGGTTTCAGAGATGTGTGTATTAAAATACGCACACTCACCAGTTTTAAATAATTTTAAGTACAAACAAAATATATAGATTTTATTTAAAACAGGTATATAATGCTTTGCAAAAGTGGTTAACCAAAAAATATACCCAGATGGGTATGCGCTGACTTAACTCTATGAAACATTACTTGGTGAAAAGTTTAGTTTTTATTTGACGTTTCAGTGATAATGAAGTAGTACTTGTATTACCTCTTTTTTTTCTTCTAGATTTGTAAATCCGGACAACGAGATACCGGACAAAAGAGACGGACATTTGCGGATATTTACGCAGGAAGACATATTGGAACGCGTGCCCTTGGTGTTTTTAATCCTGGGGTGTGTCGGCTCTCTGTTTCACACCCTCGGTTTCGCTTTGTTACGGTATCCGGAGAGAGATGACGTCAACAGGTCGGTGAACGAGAGGAGCCGACTATCCAGTGACACGGCCAGAGGATACAGTACACACAGAGGCGTTCATGTTATCAGAAGCATCTCGCGAAGATCTACCTCGAGACAGGCTAAAAATAACTCAACCGGAAGTCAAAATGACGAGTCGTCGCATCGAGAGTGCGGGCCGCTAACACAGGCAGAGTTTATACCCGATGTTAGAGTTACCTACCCTGCGTTAGTGGTGGCGGGTGGCGAGTCAGAAACGGAAGAGAGTGACCAGACGTTTCATAGCATTTACCGCGAGAATACGTCACCAAAGGATGTTTCTATGATGGAGCCAGCGATAACAAGCGCGGCGAATTCTCTCATAGACACCATCTCGTACAACGAAACCCTACTCGCAGCGCAAGCCGGATGTAGTGAAATCGCCAAAAGTGACCACTCCGACTCGCTGACCGATTTCGCAAGCGATTTGGACTCTGATGAATTTCAAACCCGGGTGCAAGATCTTTCCCGAAAAAGCATCGAGAATTTGGATTTCCAAAGTTTGGAACAAGCGACTGAAGAGCGTTGCACAGGATCGTTTGAAAGCGTCCGAAACTTGGACCTCACGCGAACAATTAACGAGGACGAGAGACTGAAACTAGAGGGCGCTGCCGAAGAATACGTCTTCGTGCTTCCGGAGTTTCCCGAAGTGGAAGAGTTTTCCCCGAAGTTGATGTTGAAATCTCCAACATTTTATATACTAGTTCTGCTTCAGTTTGCTATGGATTTCGCATTGGTCACGGTTTCAAATTTTTATAAGCTTTTCGGTCAGGTAAGTTTAGAGAAGAAACAATAACGCTATTAATAATATTTAAAATTTATTTAAATTTCAATCAACACTCTGATTTTCAATGTCGGGCTTTAAGTATGTCTAAATTTATATCAAGAGAAGTTATTTAAATTTCTTTTTTATGAAACTCGCCCAAAAGTGTATTGAAATTTTAACCAACATCAATGGTAAGCAAACGAATAAATCACTCCTTAAAACCGATGATGGCGCATACGTTAAAGTTCCCTTTCCAAACCTGACGGTCTATAGGGCAAGTGAAGTAGAGTTCACTTGTTTCTGTGACCTCGGCATATGAAGAGATAGTGTGGTCAGCACTATGCCCAGCCGACTTTACTTTTCCTATTTCCTAACGTGAGTTAGGTATACACCAGAACTGCGAGGACTAATGGCCATCTAGGTGATAGCGCATGGTGATAAGAGTGTCTTGCAGAATTTTTTCTCCGGGGGGGGGGGGGGGGGGGGGGGCACTTGAAATTTTCGGGGGGGGGGGGGCGGTAGATTTGCTTCGGGGGGGAACACTGTTAAAAGTATATATTTTCTATATAAATTATAGAAATTTCATTTCGTTCGGGGAGGGGGGGGGGGGGCGAAGAGATGCCTGGAAGAAACTCTGATGGTGATTATCTAATGCCGACTACACCCAAGTGCTAACCCGCTACAAGATGTAGTGTAAACGTTATTCTTTAAACAAAACTTGCAAACGGTGATCTCTTCATCTGATGTTCAGGTACGGTCCAGAAAGAATTTATCCCGGTGTCTCTTGAGCATGTTTCTTTCACGCATCTCTCGGGGGTGGGGGGGTGGTGTGAGGTGGGGGGGCACTGTCCCCTCCCTCGGAGCAATTCCACTGCCGCATCCCCATCCCCATAGAAATATTATTTATATAGAAAATGTATACTTTAACCAGTGTCGTCGTCGTCCGACGGAAGTTTCAGGTCCCCCCACCCCCGGAAGTTTCAAGAGCTCTCCCCCAGGATAAATATCAGAAAGAAACCCTGCTCCCTAGGTAAAAAGTCTTACATTTAACAAAGTCTGATCTATTCCCCAGACCTGGCTGGACGATGACCACACGCTGGCCATCCTAGGAACCGTCATGACCGCTTCTACCATCCTGCCCAAGCTTTTTCTCGGCGCCTTTCAGGACCGGGTGGGGTTAAAGGGCACGTGGATCATCTTGACCTCAGGCACGAGCATAACATCCGGGTTTTGGTATTTCACGCCATCAGCTAGCAAGTGAGTTTTTGATTGGTCCTGTGGTGTAAAAAATCGTGCTTTTGATTGGCGTGCTATTTAAAATTAACCTACACTTGAGTTAACTTTATCGGAATGAGTTGGTCTTCAATATTCTTCATGTGGTTTGTCATTTGAAAACTATTATTGTTAAATACACTTGTAACTAGAAGGTATAACTGATACCTTCCACTGATGGATATACTTCGTGTGGACTATCTTCTTTATGTGGTTTGTTATATGTAAAATATTTCTTTAAATGCTAGAGGACTTTTTTCTTCTTTTTTTCCGTGGGGGGGGGGGGGGGGGGGGGGGGGGTGGCACCTTGAAATTTTGGGGGTGGGGGGTGCTAAAATTGTACACTGATAAAAGTATATATTTTCTATATAAATTTTATTTCGTTGGGGGGGGGGGGGGCGCAGAGCCTGGAAGAAACACTGTTAGAGGATTAGAATGTACAACTTCGATACCTTCCACAGATAGTTGTACTTCGTGTGGACTATCTTCTTCCTGTGAAAACTATTTCTTTAAATACTTAGTTACTAAACTGTATAACTGATACTTTCCACAGATGGTTGTATTTCGTGTGGACAATCTTCTTCATGTGGTTTGTCATTAAATACTAGAGCACTAAAATGTTTAACTGATATCTTCCACAGATGGTTGTACTTCGTGTGGACTATCTTCTTCATGTGGTTTGTCATTAAATACTAGAGCACTAAAATGTTTAACTGATACCTTCCACAGATGGCTATACTTTGTATGGACAATCTTCTTCATGTGGTTTGTCTGCGCCTTCGACAGCTTAGTGGTCGCGGGCGTGGCCGAGACGTACGGCCTCTACAGGTGTAACCTCAAGTACGGCCTTGTTGCCTTGTTCAGCACAGTCCTGCAGCTATCCTCGCCGCCATTGATCAGCCTCGTTTTGGATGAGTTCAGCTGGCTCGGGTTGTTTCTCTCGTGCAGTGCTCTACATTTGCTGTGTCTTGTTTTGGTTGTGTTCGTCTTGCCAAATAGACAGACTTTAGCTGAGCGTCGAGCTTAGGTACAATAAGTTGTTGGTTATTGTCGTTTGTGAGTCCTTTATTTATTCTTGAATGATCATGCACACCGTTTATTTTCCTTTCATGGCTCTAAACTTTAATTTCAATTTTATTGAAAAGCTGTTTTACAATTTTAAAAAAAAATGGAATATTTTTTTTTTTAAAATAACCAAAGTATGTGGAAAAGAACGTAGTATCAAACCTCTGAATTATTTTTTATAAGCTAATAGTTCAAATGTGTAGCAAACTTTTCAATTTGTCGAATACTCAAATATCCTTGTTTCAACAAAAGTAGCCTACATAACAAATGCTAAACTTTTACAACAGCCAATGTGGCAGATCAGAATTCACTTTTTCGATATAAAAGATTACTTGCTATGTTTGTATATTTACTTTATTACATGTAAAATACACTTTAAATTCATGCTATGTTTTGAAACATTAAAATTGGGGAAATATCTTGATTTGTTGTCTGTTTATAGAATGTACCAGAACATCGTTTTAGGAAACGGTACTCTATTCGCCGGGAAATAAAGTGCCACTTCCGGTTTTCAGAAATCGTTCAAAATTTGATTGAAACATGCGCATAAAATCTAATACTTATAGATCTATGTGCAATTTTATCCACCTATCTTAAACAGTGCTCTAGTTCTTAGCTTTTGGAAAGTCCAAAAGTGCTGTCATTGACGCTTGAGGAGGTGTCTAGCTGTGATGTATTTCGTTCGCTGTTTTCACTGTCTTTGTTGCGTCTACGGATGCTTGTGGTGGTGACAGGGTGGGGCTGAGAAGGCAGCAGCTCGGGACCTCCAATTGTTAGCGGAAGGTTTAAAACGTCTAAAGGTGTCAAAGTCTCAGAATTACAATATATCCGTTATATTCCCTATACGATAAATTAAACTGTCAAAATCTCGCAACCATTAGGATGCGTTGAGAATTGGTGAAAACAAAGCCATTACGATGCGTTGAGAATTGGTGAAGACAAAGCCATTACGATGCGTTGAGAATTGGTGAAGACAAAGCCATTACGATGCGTTGAGAATTGGAGAAAACTAGGCCATTACGATGCGTTGAGAATTGGAGAAAACTAGGCCATTACGATGCGCTGAAAAGTGGTGAAAACAAAGCCATAGCGATTCGTCCAGAAACAGCCAATACCAATCGTCGGCTAGACTAGTAATTGGCTGGAAGATACATTTTCTAACTAGTCGTTGGCCGGAAGTCACATTTTCTAAGTAGGCATCTTGAGGCCATCAGTCTGGTAACGTCTGTCTGCCTTTACATTACGTTGAAAAGTGGCGAATCAGAAGTGTTGAAAACAAACCTTTCCTAGGTGTTTGCTAGAGGATAAGTTTTCTAACCACCAGGACGCCGCAAGACTCGTACTATGATTAATGGTGGGCGTGTTGACACTTTCTTCAACTAGACGTGTAGACTCGTACCCACTATTGATTTGGCTGGAAGACACGTACCCATAGGTCGTTGACAGGAAGATGCGTACTCACTAGTCGTTGGCCGGAAGTCACGTACTCACTAGTCGGTGGCCGGAAGTCCCGTACTCACTAGTCGGTGGCCGGAAGTCACGTACTCACTAGTCGTTGGCCGGAAATCACGTACTCACTAGTCGTTGGCCGGAAGTCACGTACTCACTAGTCGTTGGCCGGAAGTCACGTACTCACTAGTCGTTGGCCGGAAGTCACGTACTCACTAGTCGTTGGCCGGAAGTCACGTACTCACTAATCGTTGGCCGGTAAGACAAATACATCTATCACAAAATGTTTTAAAGCTTAATGACTCATTATGTCATCAAATTTGCAGTTAGACGATTGGTAAAGTCATGAAGATCTTATTACAACAGCTCATTGTTCCTCAGTGAAAGAAACTCTGGACAAAGTCAAGTTTCAGGATCATAACCGCACGTCGTTTTGAACTTGCCAAAGAGCGCAGGGGTCAAACAAAAAATCGGACGTCAGAGAAGGCACAACACATGCGGAGTAAAGAGGACGTATTGTAATCGTGCAAGAAATCGAAATTTTTATTATTAAATCTCGACGTTTCCGAGTTGGAAAAACTTGGATACGCAAAGTTGTATATGTACGAGTGTGTGTGTAAACACGATGCTTGAGTACCGTTTCATTTAGATAAGTACAAGAACGTTCCCCGTGGTGTAATGTGAACCGCGGACCAAAAACATGCTTACCCTGGCGTCCGCACCTAGGGAGAGCCTCAGTGTTTCTTCCAAACTTTTTTCTCCGGGGGGGGGGGGGGGGGGAACTTGATATTTTCGGGGGAGGGGAGGGGGGCGGACACTGGTAAAAGTATATATTTTCTATATAAATTCCATTTCGTTCGAAGGGGGGGGGGGCAGCGGTAGACTTTCCTCAGGGGGGGGGGGGGGGCAGAGTTCCCCCGTGGAGATGCTTGGAAGAAACTCTGGAGAGCCTTCCCCATGCATAACATTCTTCAGCTTTGACGAAGACAAAGTGTCCACACCGATGACGGAAGGAAGGAAGGAAGGATAGACTGACACACTACCTGGCCGCTTATATTATGCGCAAATGTGTATACACTTTCAAACGATTTTCGGTAACCAAATGTGGTACTTTACTCTATTTCCTTAGGGATTACTTGCGTACAGTAACACTGTTTCAGTCAGTTCTTATACTTAGATTAACATTTCTGAGTGACCTCGTGTATACGAAAGTGGTTCTTTCCAGTTTCTAAAATACTAATAGTTTTAGTTAGGTGCACGAAATTCAATATAGAAGTAGAAAGATCGCATAGCTGGTTTTTATCAACCTTTTAGTGATTTCCGTTGACCGGAAGATGTACTTTACTCTTTTTCCTATTTAAAAAAAAACTTTCAGAATGTAATACTTTATATCGTATTCTCATGAAGCATATTCTAAGAACTTTTCGCAGCTATGTGTTTTCTCGCCAACCGAGCTCTTTTGTCACAAAGTACTATATTTCTATAGCTAAAAGTGCCATCTAAACCCTTTCTGTTACTATAATATTATAATTTACGATACCGTTAGGGGCAACTCAATTCTGCATTATGTTTCGTTGAGTAGGTCGAGCTGCTTATATTCAAATTACATTACCCATTGCATTATGCCTTCCTGTACGTGCGCACGGAGACCATCCTTTGTATTACTAAATCTATGATAATCCTTATAACTAGCACTTTAATATAAATTATAATTTAGTATCGTATAACTGGCAGTACTTGGGTATTAAAACTTGTATAACTAGCAAGTACATTTTTTTCGTCCTGTGTTATTTAATAACTAGAGATCTATAAAACGTGGAGAAAAAAAAGCGAGATTGGTTTTCGCTGAACTTTCTCGAGTTTCAAATTCTGAATGTTTTTGAGAAATCAGAAATAGAACACTAATTTTTACTCTCCCTCTTACACACTTTAATTTGAATAGAATCGCGTAGAAAAAGAATTGCGCATCAAAAATGATACAAATTAATCAAATTATTGTGTTCTATTTATTTTAAGAAATCGGGAATAGTGTAAAGTACTACTTCTAGTCACCGGAAATCATTCAAAATTTGAGGGAATAAAGAGTATAAGATCGTTTAGATCTCTACCTATGTTTGAAATTTTGTTCTTTTACCTGAAACGGTACTTATGTTAATGAAACCCCCAATGGTATGCCTGGAAGAAACACTGACTGAAACAATCCTGAAATTATTATGTTCCCCCTGGAAAGAGTAATGTACAACTTTGAATATAATTCAATACTTATGTTTGAAATTTCATGTCACCTCGACACTTTTTCTTTTTCTTTTGTATTTAATATTTATTGAAATTTTAATTTATTATTCATTAACTCTTAATATTTTATACACATGTCTGTGTCAGCAAATGAGCAATTATTAGATTTATAAACTTTAATTTTAATGTTACATTGGTTCTAGTGTTGTAAAAAATACAATATAAAAAAACATTCACATGTTTTACAATTGCCAACTTTAGGACAGTACAGAACAAAAAAGACAAGTTATTTGTAAGTATAACCATTTATTTTCATGAATTATATACATTTGTACATCCTGCTAGTGAACATGTATCCGAGCCCAATATGTTGTAGAGGAGAAGAGAGTATTTACAGTATTGTACACTCCAGATGACACACAAACTACTGGCATGGTCAAGGCAAAGTTCATGCACTCACTATAGCTATGATACAAAATTAAAGGAACTTGCACAAAAAAATGTAAATAACTTCTTGAACAAGCTGAAGACATTGGTTACATTAAAAAAAATGTATGTTAAGATCAGACCTAAAAATAGTAAATGTTGAAATGCAAATCCCTAATTTGAAGAAAAAAAATCTGATTAATTAATTTTTAACAGTGTAACATTGACCTAGATTCTAATAACTAATAATTAACTTAGGCCAGTAATATCATTAAAGTTTTGATCAAATTTTTAAAAAGCCAACTATTCATGTGCCTGATTTAATACAAATTTTCTTTGTATTTCCCAATAATAATGTCTTAATAGTTGGATTTTATAAATGTGCGCTTTTTAATGTAAGTAATTACATTTTTATTAAAATAAACCCTACTGATGCAAAGAAAATAAAACAACAACACACAACTTCATTTCTCAAACAACACTCAGACATTGAATCAAACTTAAAAACTGTGATTACAACCAGTGAAACAAACTAAAAAATGTGATTACAAAAAGATTCATTGTGCGGTGGTCTAATAAATACAACAATCAGTATATGGGTTACATCTTTCCTAGGAAAAAACTTGCATAACAGCAATTTTGTTTTGGAGATAACGCCCAACAAAAAAAACCAACTCTGGTTTGGTTTAAAGCTGGGTTATACTCCCATTTCAAGTATTTTACCTTAGATGCCAGTAATTAAATAATGAATAATGCTATAAGAGACAAAGGTGAATTATTAAAATTTGACATTTGCCTGTAAAATGGCCAGCCCTCTGTTATCTTTACTGATCATCTCTTTAGTTGAATATTTTCAAGATTTCAGTGGTTCTTTCAAAATACATATGAATTTAATAAATATTTATCAAATGGCTCCTTAATTTTAAAAGATAGATGTAGCTTATACTAGTATGGGTATCAGAATATTTTCTCAAAATAAAGATGAAATTAGTATAAATAATTTTTAAATCGGATCCTTAATTTTAAAAGGTTGTAGGCAGCAGTGAAGTCAAATTTAGCATAATTCAAAATTTATCACTGGCAAATGAACAGGCTCTATCATGTACCAATACTGAATGGGAGTCATTGACAACAGAAACCTTAGAAAATACACAATTTTTTACAAGCTATATTCACATTTTGTCTGGCACTATTTAATGATGCGAAACAGCAAAAATAAAGCACCATGGATTTACTGGGAGGGTGAGTGGTACTCTTAAATAATGATCACAGCCAAACACACAAAACCCATCCCATAAACCAGGGACGATTGTTTTTGTAATACATTGGGCTAAATTACTAACTTAATATTACTAACTTAAATTCTAAACGTTTGATTTTTAAAGTTTGCAAAGCTAAATTTTATGTCTGATTTACCGACCTCTATCTTAAAAAATTATGACTTTCATGAGAACAAATTTTAGAGAACTAATATCTAGATTGGATAAATTAACGTATTTTGATATATAACAGACTATATATCTACTAATATTGAAAAGCCTTGTCAGTAAAAAAGGTGAATTTTACTACCACTGACTGATTATATAATAACTCAAGTAACATAGCTTTAAGTATATGATGCAAGCAAAAGGAAATATAGGAAAGACGAGATTACAATAAATACATGCATAATTTACAAACCAATAATTTATAATAAAGCAAGTTACACTATTTGAATGTCTGGAAAACAAAAAACGTAAACAAATCTACTTCTTTATACACTATTTGAATGGAAAAAAAACCGTAACAAATCTACTTCTTTATACACTATTTACAGACTGAGGTAAGAAACATGTTAAAATGATCTATCCTTTAATACTGTACATACTGTAACGTTAACAACCTCACACATTCCTATACAAGTTCCCTAAGTCTTCCTTATCTATTGACACTCTAAACGTAATAGAGATTTTTAATACATTCAAAAGCACTTGAAATTTTATTTAAAAAAAAAAACCTCAAGAAATAAAACAACTGTTGCAGTAGTGTTAGGTCTTCTTCAAAAAATAAAACAGCATTTGTTTTATCAAAACCAGTTACAAATACTGATTTCTGGATTGTTAATTGTAAACTGCATAAGCACAAATAAACATTTTCAAATTTCTTGTTTTTAATTCCTGAGGTTATATAAATACTTTGTGCTTTTTTAAAAAAAAATATTTTGATTGTCTAGACCTTAATGCAGTTCCTACAGTCTTACTACAGATAACAGAAAGAAAAAAAAAGATATTAGAACATATCAGCTAGCAAGGAAAAAATCATGATGCCATTTATTAGAAGATAAATAAATAGTAGCTAAAACAGTGAGATACAAAGTCAGCAGTACTTGCAGTACTAAATAATCTATACAAGTGCATCATTTTGTGTCAGTAAAAAAGATGCATGATTAAAAAAAAATGTAATTGCATGTCTTTAAAAACAATCAAACTTAATTGCATATATATTTAATACAAGGATTTCTATCAAATTTAAAATCTACATAACTTAAAACTATGTCATTTTTTGCTTAGTTAAATTTTTGACTTGGACTTTTTATTAACAGAGTCCCAAAAACAAAGGTTTTGATAGCAAAAATGTCTCCAGCTAGACAAAGTTACATAATAAATGGTTGATGAACAAAAACAGAGGCTTTACAAGGGATTCTGACCCTCTTCTTCCTTATAAAAAAATTGCTTTTGTAAACATGTTGCCTTTTTAAAAATAATACTTCATATAGACAAAAATCAAATCCAGTTGCCATGTTTAAACAAACATGGAAAACAGTAACAATAAATTTTTAATATATTACAGCAACTGAATCTTAAGTAAATCATGAAAAAAAAACCGTTAGTGAATAAATGTTTAAAAAAAAATGGTACAGTCTAGCATTAGACAAAAAAGGGATCTAAAACTGTAGCACGAGGTAAGTTACTTATTTTTCTGTCTTCTGTATGTGTTCAAGCAAATAAGAATTTTCTTTGTTTAATAATGAGGAGGTAACGACTGAGGTAATGATTGATCATTGAGGTAGAACTGACTACAAGGTTTTAAAATGAATTTAAATGCTTGAAAGAAAAAAATCCTTCGTAAAAATCTTAAAGATTTTAAAATTAGCTACATCTAAAATTATGTATATAGAGTAATTGATAATGTATAAAATAATTATTTAAAAAAAAAATATCTGAAATCCCCCAACCCACCTACAAGAATATCCAACGACACAATTATATAAATATACATTAGGCTTTTTGGAATGTGAAAATAAGCATTTCTACAGTAAATGGAACGGAACTAGACATTGTAGCATGCATTGTTGTGCATACTTGTAATTAGATTTAACTAAGGGCATGTAACTAAGCTTATAACCAAGTCAGTTGAGTTCTTTTTTGTAAGGAGTTAAGGTGTGGAATAACTCACACTCAACATTCCTCAATATGGCAGGCAAAAGAAATGGTAAAAACAGATTTGTAGTGGGGAAAAAAATCACCATCTGGTTAAATAAAAAAAAAAAAGCAATCACAGAGAATTCTTATACTCTGACCTAAAGAATAACTAGAGCACACACAAAAACTTTTTTTTAAAATTTAAAAATGAAATCCTAATTTATTTTAAACATTTTTAAGAAATCCTAAATAAAAAGGATAATTTGAAAATATTGATTACGCTACAAAAATCTGCAAAATTTGTATATTTACCAGAATGAATAGGCATTTTTTAAGGGAAATGATAGTTATTAGATGAGAAAAACTCTTTAAAAAATAGTTCGGAGGTTGTCTTAAGAGAAAATAAATTTTAACTCAATAACAATAAATTATAACTCAAGAAAATGGTGAGATAATCCAAAAAAAAAGTCTCATTTTACTTAAGTAAACAGAGCTCATAGTAATGTCAGCAGTAATTTAATTTAGATAAGGGTAAATACACACATATACATTTTTGACCATAGTGTCAACACAAATATTCTTATAATATAGGTATCTATCACACACAAATCATTCAAGTGTAATCTTTTGCATTAAAAGTTTGTAACAATAAATGTACAGTTAACTTGCTAATTATTTGGGATTAAAGTTTTAAAAATTATATTAATTAATTTTTACACTAATTAAATCCAATTATTTGATGTTTAGTGGTTATGTTGTATGCAGGGTGTATATTTCAATGTTATTTTTTAAAATGTTTTATTAAAGCCACAAGCTTTTATAGAATTAAAAAAAAAACATTCTCTTTATCACAAGGTACTGAAGTTGTTGGATGTTGAATCAGGACTGGCTGGTGTGCGGCCCAAGATTTTATCCACTTCTTTGCAGTGCTGGTGGGGACCAGGCTCTGGGGTGTAAGTGAAGATGAGTCCAGTAGAGTAAATGACACCATCACAGCGCACTAGTGACACAGGGACCTGGGTAAAGCATAACAGAGAATTTGATGAAATAATAGTTACAAAACTGTGTTCTATCATGTTACAACCATTTTAAAAACACAGATTTGGGGTTCATCCAAAAAATGAGAACTACTGATTAGTTACATGTGACAAACTGATTTTTAAATATAATTGTGTCCGAAAATATCACAGATCTGGTACATATGATAAAAGGATTAATGAAGATAGCTTTTAGATAAATTGATAATTTTTTTTTAAAACCACTTTTAACAATGTCATTTTAAATAGTTATACAATGAATTTTTTTAAAATGCTGAAATCAATTTTAATAAATAAAGGGTATAAAAATTGTCAAATTAAAAAGTGCTCAGAGGAAGATGATGAAATAATTACCTGCAATGGTTGCCTCACCCATCTTCCCCCACCAGAACGGAATGCAGAAATATCAGGGACAACACACAACATGCTATCATCACATCTGTCAAGTTGAAAAATTTAATTTAAAAAAAAAAATTATTTCAACTTTCTAAATTACACAATTTTTTTTCGAAAAAGGAGAAAACTGTTTAATTCTGTGATAAGTGAAAAGTGTGAAATACTGCACACATTTTTTACAACGATAATCTTGATGATTTTAAAAAATTTACAAAAACAGAAGTTATAGAACTGAAATATCCACTAACGTAAATTTAAAAACATCTAAATACACAAAACATTTAGAAACATTTGGATCAACGTTGTACTACCCAACAGCCAGACCTACCGGTACATGGTTTCTGCCTCAACTTCTCCAAACCAAACTTTAAGAGCAGCAGTGAAGTTTTCCCCATTAAGTTCTAACATTGCTACATCCCCACCTCCATTCAACTAGGAAAACAAAAATACCATCTTATAAAATGTATGAACATTTATATTAAATAATATTATTATAGTTTATATTAAATTAATAATTTAAACCAATTAAATAATATTAGAATAGTTTTTATTAAATTAATAATTCATAAAATTAATTTCATGATACAAACATGAACAGTTAACTATATAAATGTAATGAATGAAGCTCACATTTAAACTGTTGACAACAGGTACTGGTGTAACAGGTTTATTGACTGGCCCCATGCCTTCATAAAATGTGTACTCAGCTTTATCTGTGCTGATTATAGTCCAGGATGCACCATCATTGATCATTTCCTTATTGGATTCTTTAGGGCACGGTGTGGCCTGAAGAGAGAAAAAACATAAGACCATTCACAACTTTAAACATACTGTTTAAGTTCAACTCATAAGCCTTATTTTTTATTTTGATAAATTGTTTTTGGGGGTATAAATATAGAATGACAGCTTTGTCTTAACATTGACTAATGCTTAACATGCATAAATAACATTAAACATTGCCTAAATAATATAAGTGCTGGTCACTTTAAACATCTTTTCAATACATTTTACCAATTATTTTGTTTATTATTATAGCTGAAGAAAATTTATGCTTTTTTTTTTCCTTATTTTGAATACACTTAAAGGCTTTCTATTAAAATGTTTTTATGCTTGTTTTATTTTATTTTAAAGATATAAAGAAATAAGAGTAAGTTATTACTTAAGTTTTATATTTATTTGGTCTAAGCCAATAGTTCATGACCTGCAAATGTCTGTCTAATAAAACAAAATAAATCTTGTTAATAATAAGTTTTTAGATACACAATGACCAAAGTTTTTCCTAAAGAAAACAAGTTGTAGTATTAATTTTTAGTGCTTTTAAAATTTCAATTCTATACTGGTTTATATGTTTTATTTTCTACTTTTTAGTAATGCCGATATAAATATTTTAAAAAAGAAATGGGTACCAGTTTTTTTTTATTTCATTCATTCTTAATGAAGTCAAGACCTCATACAATTAAAAATATTTGCTTTTAAACTAGATCAGAAGCATGTATTTGCCAGTCCTTAAGGGGATATGCGCGGAAAAAAATCACAAAGTTTCTTGTTTTTCGTCATGATGGGTTTCTTGCACTTTTGGATACTTTGTCCATTTTTGTATATAGAAAATAATAACTTTAAAGAGAAAAAATATTTTATGTGTTTGAATCATGATTTTTATGGCCCTATTAATTAAAAAATAATCAATTTTTTCCAATCTTACAAGCTCTCTATGAAAAGTTTTATATTCGTTATTATATTGTATTTGACATCATTGGAAAGCTGGATTTCTCATGTATTTAATAAACTTAATTTCCTACGTCTCGGAAACACCCAAAGCTTACAATCGGCTTTGCAGTTTACACAGATATGGTACTTTCCTGACCTAGTTTTCGTTATTTTTGGCTGTTTTTCTCAGTTCGCAGGTTTTTAACACTAAAAAGCCTACTACTTTTTTATTTATTAAACAATGCCAACCATATTTTCAGTAAATGTTCTTGATGCGAAAATACAACTTTTGTCACGAGGGAATTGTGATTGCTTTCATAGAAAAAAAGTATTTGGTAATTAATATGCACATTTTGAAACTTTTGAATACTAAAAAGGGTACGATTTTTTAGACCTTGTAAAATTCTTACTAGTAATTATTTCAAAAAGTTGTCGTGACAAAAGTTTTAATATATGCTGAAATATAAGCAGTTTAAATTTGATTGCTATAGATGCATAAATAAAAAAGCCTTAGCATTTTTAAAAGTACCGAAAAATTCAAAATGGCGGAGGTTTTTTGGTTTGCCATGACAACCAAAATTGTTTTCGACCCTTTTTTTTTGCTGTGTAATACTTACTTTTATATGCCAAATATGATTTAAGTATTCAAAAGGCTTTAGATCTTAAACTGTAAAAAATAGAAAAAAACATAGCATATCCCCTTAATGTTTAAGGTTGGCTCTTAGATGTGAAAACAGTACACAACAGTTCTGCACACTGATCTGGATCTGGTATTACTTAATTCTGTTATTTTTGGTATTTTGAATATGGTAATCTTTTTATTAATTTTTAATGACCAACTTTCAAACAGTTTCAACAAAATTGCTGCTTAGAAGTGGGGCAAAATAGTTATAAAACAAACCCACAAACAGATATTATGAATCACATTAAAATGTAAACATTTGCCATGAACAACAGCACATCAGACTTATTTAGGGATTGCTACTACCTAATCTTGTTACCTCCCCTTTTGATATTGAATTTTTAGCTTAATTTTGAAGAGTAATTTCTAATTAGATAAAAAATAAGAGACAGAAAAGAATTCATTTGAAGAAGTAGAAATCGCTGTATTAAAAACAGGTCAAATTTATTCACTTCACCCAAAACCATTTACATGTGCGCACTGCGATAAAAAAAATAAGCTAGTAAAATATGATGACCTTAAGGGCAGGTTAAACCCCCAAATTGAAATTTAGGTGTTAGGACTTTTTTGAGTGATAAGGAAGTTGTAACTAACATAGTATATGAAAAAAATGCAAAAAAATCACTAAAAACTTATGGTTTAGTGAAAATATTTTCTAAAAAGTGTCATTTTTAGGGTAAAATAGCTCAAAATTAGCTCTCATTGAAATCAAAATAACACAGCTTCTGCTTGTCAGAATAACTCAAATCTTTAACATAGTGTAATATACGCAATTACAAAAAAGATGAACTAAAACAATTAGAAAATAATAAAAAATGGATTTTAGCCAAATTTTTTAAATGTGAGACCTAAATAATTTCCAAAAAGTAGGGAGTAGACTTAGCTATTTATTTATAAAATGAGAAGTTTCAAAGATATAGAAATTATTTTAGTTCAACTTTGCAAGCAGTGTTTAGTAAACATGTGTGCAAAATTTCAGCTAAATATCTCAAGTAGTTTTTGAGTTATAGTGATTTAACTAGTATAATTTTGTTGAAAAGTAACATTTTGAGAAAAACGCTAAATAGTGAAAAATATACTAAATTTGAAAAAAACGAGAAAAAGCGAAAACTATACCAAATAAGTCATTTTTAAAATCTCCCAGTTACATAAATCGCACCTGGAGCCTCTTACTCAGCAATAAGAACATCTATTTTAGTTAGTTTTTAATTTTATGTTGCTCAATGTTGCTTAATAGAGGTCAATTATGTCATTACTCTCATTAATTAAAAAATTATAAAAAATACTAGCAATACGAAATTTTGCAAAATGATTATACAAAAATGTCCAGAATTGAATGTAGTTTCATAAACAATACATTTTCAAAAATCAACATTTCTGACTTAAATATGTATTTTGGGGGGGTTTAACCTGCCCTTAAATCACTTAACAGGAAAAAGCAAAAGTGTTGTGTACTGAGTAACACTGGGGCATCACTATCAGCAACTGGTACTGCTACCCTCTTAACTCTCTTTACCAAAATTTTGTTTAAAACTAAACAGGAAACTTAAAAACATTAATGTTGAAAAAAAAATGTATAAATAAAACACTCATGGGGCACATACTTGAAATTGAATTATTCTCTCTTGGGAGAGACACAAATACATCCGTTCTGTGTCTTTGAGGTAGAAAGCGCACTTATGTAGTTGGGATACAGGATCATCAGCATCCAGCAGTGATGTTTGTTTGTCAACTTTGCGAATAATCTGAATGATTAGGTAACAGATAACTTAATATTAAAACAAAAATATGAAAATGAGCTACAAGTTTTGCCTTCCCAGATTTACTTTGTAGACAACTCTACACTTAAACTATTAATACCCAATAAGATGAAAGCCTGTTTTAAGGAAAGCAATCTCTTGAACTAAAAATAGCCAAATAAGTGAAAAAATAAACTGGTCAGTGAGGGAAAATTAAAAATTATCCTGGAAAAAGTTGCAGTGCCAAATGGGTATCATGCATTAATATTTTATCAATTCAAAAAGTTTTCATTTTTCCTGGCAGTGAATTTAACAGTGATATGTTTACTCATCAGATTATGCATTAAGCTTTCTATTCTAGACAAAAATCAATAGTCAGTGGCTTTGGAATTGTATGCAAGGTTTTAATAGATGGGTTTTGAAAGTTTGATAAGTCAAAAATGTAAAAAGGCCAGTTTGTATTTTGTTTCTCCAGTAGAACTGGCGATCAAAACTGTGGAACTGGCCAATTTTGTTTTAAACGATAGTGAATTGTGATTTAAATTTGCACTCCCTTTCCGAATCAACACATTTATTAAGAACACAGCAGTAAGTGGTTTTACAATTAAAAAGTAAAGAATAACATAAACATTACAAAGTACTTGAAACTTAAGTGGTTTTAATTCTTACAAGTCTTCTGTGTGTCTACACATCCCCACCTCATTAATAACCCCAGAACATGTTCAACCATCATTTTTAATTCTATTCACTTTAATGTTGAGTAGCTAAACACTTCATATTGTCCTGTTACAGGCTAACACAAATATTAGCCAAGTCAAGTGATCTGCACTTAAAGAATGAGTAATTCACAGCTTAGGGATATGACTCAACACGTGGAAACAAGTACGCAAGATGTTATTAACCATGTATAAAATCAACAGCACTACCAACTCTCACATATACTTCCAACAAAAAGCAGAGTAAACAAAACTAAGAAGTAACCAACCAGACGTGGTAGGGCCATTCCAGTGACTGAACATACAAGCTTAACGGTTGATCCGTAGTGAATGTATCCATCTTTGACAGTGAACTCCTCAGATTCACCTTCATCATCGTCCACTGTTGAGAAATTTATAAAAACAATATGACATGTTAGTATACACATGGTGCGACAGAGATTAATAGCAATCAAAGGGTAATGCATACATTATATTTTTAAAGAAATTTTAACACTTAGATGAACTAAGATTATTCAAATGAGAAAAAAATAATACGTAATTTAAAAAGAAAATAATTTACTTTCACTTACATAAATGAATGGTGAAAGCACCCCACTGAGTGGAGCTTGCATGAAAGTTGCCATTTTCAACATGGAGGTAGCGTGTGCTCACAGTTTGAGAGCGAAGACGATTAAAGAGGGCAACTTTTGTACCTGATGCTATACATACTGTAATAAAGTTTTTAAAATGCTATAAAAAATCTACGATTAAAGAGGGTAACTTTTGTACTTGATGCTATACATACTGGAATAAAGTTTTTAACATGTTATAAAAAATCTATGATTAAGGAGGGCAACTTTTGCACCTGATGCTATACATACTGGAATAAAGTTTTTAAAATGTTATAAAAAAATCTTGACCTGCAGTATTACAATAACTGTATATCAGACGAATTTACCAGGTGTATTCCTAAGTTACCAGCAATAGTTTTGTCCTTATAAATTTATAGACAACAGTGAAAAAAATTAAATATACATTAAAATTTGCAGACACAATACTTACAATCTGCATTTTTTAATGATTGCTTCTTCTTAGAGGGCTTGGAGATAACTTTGATTCTTTTGCTCTGGAAAACTCCAATATCCTGGCCACTGCCATAGAACATTTTCACAGTCAGCATGAAGTGTTTGCGTTTATCTGAGTCTGAGATGTACAGAGTCTTAGCTGCGCAATACTTCTGGAGGTAATGAAAACAAGAAATAACAGATGTCTGTCCCAACACACACAGCCAGTCATAAGCAAATATTATTATAAAAATCAATATATTGTATAAATACATAAAAAAATTATTTGATGGAAAAACAAAGTAACTGCAACAATCTTAAGATTTATAAAGTATTAAATATGAAGACCACACAGAATAAACCACTGATGTGCACTGTTGAAAATTATTTTTGAGTTATTGCAATATTCATGTAGTACTAGTGTATAGCTATCACGTATTACCATAAAAAAAAGCGTAAAACCACCTCAATCACCTCAATATTTAGGGTTTTTTAAATTATGCCACAATAGAACAGCAAAGGATCTAAAACACAAAATCTAATTTTTCTCACAAGTAGAAAACTGTGACAACTGTTGTTTATCCCTTGTGGCCTTCATATACTACTTTAAATTGAGTATTCATATTTCAAAGTTTCTGTTTAAATACAGGAGGGGAGGGGTTGAAAACTAAAACCTTTATTTCTTATGTTACAAGCACCTCATACTGAGCCCTGTTTCTAAAGTTACAATCTAATCACTGTACTGACATCAGGCTATGTCTCTAATGTTGAAGCTAATGAACAACTTATAATACAAGATAAATTAAAAATCACCTTTCCCTCCAGGTTGAGCTGCACCATTTCCTGGTCAGAGTTTCCAATGCCCATAAAAGCACAGACTTGAGTGTCCTGTTCAGGGGCACCTTCCTTCTCCATCTGCTCCTGTTTCTCTTTCCACCCACTCCCAAACAAGTAGATACAAGGCGGTGGGCAGAAAAACCTTTATCAATATAATCAAGTTGTTTAAACATTATTTTTCAAATGGAGAAATACCTCTTTTTAAAAAACATACTTAAGTTGAACACTACATCAAATTGTGATTCATTTTACAAAACTTTAGACAATCATTGAGGATAATTTAAATGAAAAAGTAAACTGACCTTTTCTCATTTCCATATGACTTTTGCGCAACTTTTGCATGTAGAATTACAAGTGTTTGATCATCTCTTTTCCTAAGATACTCCCTCATGGCTTCTCTGAAATATTTCAATACACTATATATTATAATTCTTAAAAATATTTACATACTTGAAAAACCTAAACCAAGATTTAAAAGTTCAGCTGGAAAAATCTATCACTGTGGGTTAATGCAGTTTAATATCTATGCTACATGTTAACACCAATAAAGTAATTAGTACACAAGTATAAGCTTGACTATTTTACATCAAATTCTGTATACAGTATAATACTAACCTAGAAAGCACATGTTCCTGGAAGGGACTGAAAAAAAAATTATATAATATTTAATTATATATATGTTACACATATATATGAAGAAAGATAGAGATAGACAGACAGACGGACAGACAGACAGACAAACAGACCCATGTATGCCATAGTGTACAGATATGTTTAAAAGTTGAGCATCTATAGTAACATTTTTTTTTTAACTTACTTATGAACAGAGCTTTTGTTATACAACATTCCATCTGCTCCAAAAGTATCCACTAAAAAAAACTTACTCATGAACAGAACTATTGTTATACAACATTCCACCCCCTCCAGAGGTATCCACTTCCATGGGCTGTCTGCAGCTATTAGATGAAGCAGTTACGGAGGGTGGGGAAGGGGTGGGCAGAGGTGAAGGTGGGGCCTGCATTGTGGAAGTGATGGCTGCCATGTCCAGGCCACTAGGAGATGGTAGACCCACAAGGTCACCATTAAGTTTGTCTGGCGGAGTAAGTGATCCTGCCATGAGGTGACCTCCACCATCTGAGGGGAGCAAAAAATTTATTTACAAAAAATGTATTTACAAAAATAATAAACAAAACTTTCATCTATTTGCCATATGCCCATACTGTGTTCTATCCACTAACATATTAATTTAGATATAAAAAAGTAGGTTAATAACAAAACAAAATAAACAATTTTTTCCCCTCTCTTTCCAGTCTGTTCAGATACACAGAGACAAAAACACTTGCTGTTATAATCACTAGATTACATACAATGTTTAATTGGTTTAAAATTTGCATCAAAAAGAATATTATCATGTTACTTAGTTAATAGCAAAATTATTTGTGTTACTGTTATGGTAGTGTGGAATATAGGTATAGAATGATTCTGCTAACTAAGAATAAAGTGTTTACTATTTACATACTTTATTAAACTTTATTCTTTACTTATTTACTTCCTTGCCTTACAAACACACATTGAGTTTAAACTACAGGCCTACTTCTGGCTGCTAGAGTTTTATAGCATCTCTCTAGTGCTCCGCCCAAATCCTTAACCAAAAATGAGAGGCTAAAAATAAAGTAGACTATTTACACAGCACTAATCAGAAACACGTTAAAACTTAAACACTGTTGTTTAGTGGCATGGATGTTGGAGTGGGAGAACAAAACCCCACATCAGACGACAAGGGGCAAGGACGGTAATCGTAGAGGCACAAAAACTCGTCACGAACGGCAATCAGAGTTAAACCCCTTGTGAACGCTCCTGCTGGCGACCAAATCTTCTTAGTAAGCAGATTAAATATCCCCGTTTTGTTCCCTCTATGTGGGAACTATCTACCGACGCACTGCTGTAATTCACACTTTCCATGATCAGTGTGTACGTTTCCTATACAACAATATCACGCGTTTTAGCTTCAAAAATATAATATCTTTAACTTGAGAAGTGCATAACATCTTTAACTTGAGAAGTGCCCAATTTTGTAGTAAATATATGTATTTAAAATATCAGGTTTAAGGTTTTAAAGAAGTAAATCGGAGCTTGTATTTAAAATTCGTGTATACGTAATATAAAACGTTAAGAAAGAACGTGTAAAATGGTCATTGTGTATAGATAATAGTGGCGTCTTTGTTCTGTAATGCGGCCTAGGAACAGAAAGCAAGCATGCACGGGGAGCCAACCAAGCCATTGGTTACTCAGAAAGAGCAGTAGTTGAATCAATAATCTAGTGGGGGCCGACCACCTGAGGTAACTGGTTTTTTTCCCACGCACGACTACTGAACGGCGCCTAGGGTTAGCTGGTAGTGGATGCCAGACGAGAGTTAACTGCGAGGGGAAGGGGGACAGGGGGAGGGAGGGATGGAGTTAGCAGCGAGCGGGAGGGGGGATGATTGAAATGAATGAGTCCGACTTTAAAGAAGAAAAAAAAAATGTTCCTATCACACAAGAGAAAAAAAAGTTAAGATGCGGAGCGCAGTGTCTTTGGATTACAACAATAATATTCTTCTGACGCCCAAACAAACGCACAACCTGACGCAACACAACACGATTTGGGCGGACACAAAATCTGATATCAAAACGTTACAATGTCAAACTCCCGTCAGGCTCTGTTTTAAATGCTGGGATGTTTGCTTTTATTTGCACAGCTAGTGTCAAAACAAGGCCCATGCGAGAGCTTAAAGGATCAATGTAGTGCTTGGAAGGAGAAGAAGAAAAAAAAAATCGCCTTCGCTTTAAAATTGAGATGTTTTAAAAGTAGAGGCAGACGAATTTTGACGAATTTTTTTTTTGTCCTTTCCCTATTTTAAATGCAAAGTAAAGCTCTAATTAATAACAGCTTGTCACATTGTCAGATAGTATATACAAAAAAGAGGGCATTAAAAACATTTTTTTTTAAAAAAGTAATAATAACCGTCAATTACGAGATGCCAGGAAATGAAAAAAAAAAAGGCAACGGTTCACGTCCAAGTCTGATATGCATGCTATCAGCCGTGTAGTATAGGCCGTGAGGCCAAGCAGTGGCATTAGAAATTTTCCCACGGGCAAAATAACGCTTTTCTACGTCCTCACAACGTCAAGCCCGAGACATTGTTTCTCTGATGACGTGAGAGATTTTATAGAGGGTTATGTTTATTTGTTATGTACTTGTGTGAGTGTATGTATGTATTTGTGTGTATGTATATATGTGTGTATGTATGTGTGTGTATGTATGTGTGTGTATGTATGTGTGTGTATGTATGTGTGTGTGTGTTTATGTGTGTGTATGTATGTATGTATGTATGTATGTATGTATGTATGTATGTATGTATGTATGTATGTATGTATGTATGTATGTATGTATGTATGTATGTATGTATGTATGTATGTATGTATGTATGTATGTATGTATGTATGTATGTATGTATGTATGTATGTATGTATGTATGTATGTATGTATGTTTGATAGTATGTAAATTTTATAAATACACATACAAATAAACACATGCGCGAAATTTTAGCAAAGCCTTTACAGTTTGCTTATTTTTCCCCCTTGCTTATTTTTTTTTCTTGGCCCAATCAAAAATGTTAGGTACAAAGACCTAACATTTTTTAGTCTCATTTACAAGAAAATTTCTTGTGAAAATGTTATTTTAAACTAAAACCAAATTAAATCTCCATAAAAAACTTCTTTTGAACTTTGGGTCTTCAAAAATGTATGAAAGTTTGTATTTAAATAATGAGGTATTTTGACAGGTATGATAGATATGGTATGTATACATTATAAAAAGGGACCCTTTTTAACGGTTGAGTGGTGGTTGTGACATAAAGAAGGGGGTGGGGTGGGGGAAGGGCAGGGAATATCTCGCGTGAGAGGGGAGTATACTCGGCCGTACAATTATCAAGATAGTGTTACTAAAATATTTTTGAGGTGAAGGCAGGCCACGGCCTTGTCAGGATTAGTGATAATCGCTGCCACATCGGGATGATAAAGCCGACTCGAATTGCCAAACAATTTCACGGGGAAGGAGGAGAAATCCGAAGTGAGTGGGCATGCGTAGAGCCAGATAACATAAACATAAGTGAATGGACAAATGGACGAAGCGAGCGTCGGACTGATGCTGCAGACACGGAGACCGTGAAGACGTTTATTTTTAGTTCTTTAGCATCAACACTGACTCGTCAAATACTTACGAGTTATTAGTGGAAAGGACTACATAAGCTTTTAAATTTGAAAAAAAAATATGAATGCACACTTTTTATTGAGTATCAAGCCCTTTTATGAATATTTAAAAAATAAAAGTTACATATCTAATAGGATGCAAGACATAGTTTAACTTATCAACTTTTATTAAAAATGTTCCCTTATTAACTTTGTGACAGATTCTCAACTCGAATGAAGAAACCCAGAGAAACGCGAGCATCTTCAAGGCTGTAGGTCACTGAATTAGATCCAAGCTAAGAAAATACCCAAAAGTACTTAGTGGCGACAAGAAAACTGGTGTTTTAAAAACAGGAAAGGGCTGAAAAAGAATAAAACAAAGGAAAGCCTGCAAAGAAAATTTTAATAGCCTAAGCTCAACTGGTCGATGATAAAAGGCAGACAAGAAGGTGACATTAAGGAGAATTTTCATTGCTCCGTGAGTGCAAGTCCTGAGTGCGACAGTGTGTTGTTGCACCGTTTGGCCCAGCGATACAACTTAAAGAACATCGCGTATAGCACTGTTTCACTAGGACGTTTTCAGGATTCACATGTCTGTCCTTTACAGTTTCAGGATTCACATGTCTGTACTTTACAGTTTCAGGATTCACATGTCTGTCCTTTACAGTTTCAGGATTCACGTGTCTGTCCTTTACATTTTCAGGATTCACATATCTGCCCATTATAATATCAGGATCTACCTACAAGCGCTACAAATTACTCCCTAGATTTCATTAAGTAAACGGGTTATGAACTACGCCAGAGGGCGGACACCTAGCAAGGCTCGAGCCTATACTTTAAGTATGAATATAATAAACAGACTGACATTAAGTGTCTATAGTAAAAAAAAAAAGAGAATTTGACCAGCATAATTTTTAATGTAAAAGTACTCCCTTCGGAGCGGAGATAAATCTAGATAAAGTATTCACGTAGCTTAGAGTGTTTTATTTTTTTCCTCTACACTAACAAAGAGAATAGCACGTAGTATTATTGATGAAAAGTGAATCAGACAAAAGACATTTTTGAAAGATATCCAATAATAGCTAATTCGGGTAAGATAGAACAGCGATTTAAAAATACTTAAAATGTAAACTAGCACACCTAAAAAAAATAGGTGAGTTACTGATAGCCTATCGTTTACTTCTAATCGCAGGTAAGAGGACAATGTTTTCTTTCAAGGTCCACAACCAACATGCACACACACAAGGAGGGAAATAGGCTACAAACCAAATTACATTACCCAACCTTTAAAAATGAAAATACTACACCCCTATAAAGCGTCGTTCAGGCATACCGACGCAGACTGATAACAAAAGGCGCATATTTGAATGAATGGATATCATTCAAGCAGGCCGAGGCAAAATTGTCGTCTCGGGTACCTGGCCACAGACAGAACAACAGACCTGCCAGTGTTGGCCTGGAGTGCAGCTGTACATTATTTTAAAGACATTCCATTTTTAACCCCCTTTTTAAAAAACTGTTCAGGCCACAACACATATGATCGTTGATTTCATTTTAAAACGCCGTCCATGTATTCACTTTAAAACGGTTGTATCATCTGTTTTAAAATCGATGTGCTTGACATATAATACACATACAAAAGTGGTTATTTTGTGCGTTATAATTAATAACTTTTTATACTAATGTTTTAATCATAATAATAGAATTTGCGTTATAATTAAAAACCGAATATACAACCACTGCTTAAAACCAATGAAACCGTCTAAAATTTAACGCAATCTCCAACCGTCGTTCGCCATCTTTCTTCCCTCCACGATCTCCCCACCCCCTTATATTTAACATACAATGATTGTTATCGACAATGCGAACAAATAATGAAACGGTGCACACACAAAAATAGCCTTGTACTGGTTTGTTTCTGTTCCAGCGAGTTAAAAACCAAACATGTCGTCGTAAGAAGAAAGCGGGACACGGTGGGGGCAGGGGCAGAACAAGGAGGGGACCAGGCGTTCAGATGGGGGCAGGGGCAGAACAAGGAGGGGACCAGGCGTTCAGATTTTTTTCCCCCCTTCCTCTCTCCTCAATCTCTTTCTTTCAATGTTTTTCCTCATCTGCCCTATTCCAATCTGCAGATGTTCCCTTACAAATAATTGTCCTATATATTGATTAGCCCCGTCCATGGCGGAGGGGGGGAGGGGAGAAGGAGAGAGCATGGTAGAAGAGAATGACACATGTCAAATGCAAAACTCCACTACCGTGTAAAAAAAAAAAAAAAAAACTAAAAAAAAAAAGATATGAAGTCCCGCCCTTCCTTTAAAAAAAATCCATAAAATAATTAATACTGTATGGACCACCAGGCATTAAACTGTTAAAATCTGAACATCAGTGTTGGTTTAATACGTTATAAATGCAAGAAGTAATTCGGCGGGCGTCTGGGGTAGGCCTGCTGTTGTCAGCACGCAAACATCACCTAGTTTGAACTTGGAGAGGGGGAAAAAAAGATGAACCTAAGTCGTTTCAACACAGGTTTAACCTTTAACCTCTGCCGGTTACTTGACCTGAATCCGCCAACCTGCGAACATTCCTTTCGGTAAGATCCACTAGTCCACGTGGACACATTCGCTAGTCGGGCGACCTCCCTCCCTCCCTCCCTCCCCTCACCCAGCAGCATACACTCGGGCGTTAGGACACTATTTTGGTAGTGTTCAGCAGTCCCCCGCCTGGCCACAACAGCCCCCCAGTGTTGTACGCGGGCATTCAAGCGTGACATAAATATACGCATTCTTCTCCATTTCCATTGAGCCCTTTATACGCATGGCTTGCGTCCAAGCACGAACCCCCGTACCCAGGCCGAAGAACACCGAAGATAATGAAATACATTACCGGGGTCAGGGGTTCTATAGAGAAACTTCTAGTTTCAGGAATCCAGATTCAAATACTTCAATCTCTGATTAAAAAAAAACAGTGCTGGTACGGGGATAGGGCGGTAACAAGGGGCAGGGAGGATAAACGTAAGGGGCAAGATTTTTTTAAAGCTTGACTTGTAGACATGCTGTGTTGTGACATATGGCTTTTTAAAGTGGATTCTTACAAATAGAAATCTCATTGCTTGCTGCATATTACATGGTCAAGGAGGGCGGGACAATGAAAGATGACTTTTGATAAGAAAGAAATCCAGTTTTGTAAGATGAGATATTCTCAAAAGACAACGGGAAGAACTGTGGTCACACAGATGCAAACAGACACTTTTACTAACACAAGCTGGTGTACTGAGGATTAGAAGGAAGCAAGTTAAATCTACAAGTATTAGGATAACAATTGATACTACTTTGTATGGTTTCGAAAACAGAAGCTAAAAAAAAAAGGTTGCACACATAAAGGATGAGGATTTTTCAGCAGACTTCTAGAAAAGACAACCTTAAACACACTGCCGCACCTACGTGTATTTTGTGTGCGCGGATATATTTATTTTCAAAATGACTGTGCGGCATTTCATAACTATCGCGCGGCCGCTCATACGCGCAGCTTAAAGTGAAGATGGTGCCCCACCCACCCACAAAGTTTAAACACCACTCGGGACCTTTCGCAGAACATATTTAAGTTAAAGCACTTACCAGCTTATAAAATTATGTTTAAAAGCCCTCACCATCTCACACAAAAATGTTCATAACACAAATATCAGACCACCTCACAATCACCGGTTAAAGACCACCCCATACACACCCCTCCACACAACTGCTAACGACCCCACACATAAAAACACCCCTCCACACAATTGCTAAAGACAACCCCCGCAAACAACCCTCCACATAATTTTTAAGACCACCACACACATAACACCTCAGCCTCTCCACACAACTGTTAAAGACAACCCCATACACAAAATTAAAGACCAACCACACACACCTGTTTAATGACACCACTCCCCCAACACACATTTCAAGACCACCCCCACTCATACACCAGTGTAAAGACCACCACCCCACACATACAGTGCCCACACATACAGTGCACTCACCATGCGATTGATCCGGTATGCCCACAGTGATCACAGACGAAGCTTGGTGGTGCTGGTGGTGCTGCAGCAGATGCGAGTTGTGGTGCGAGTGTTGGTGTGGCGCCCTCAAGTGTATCGCATGCTGCTGTTGCTGCTGCTGATGGTGGTAATGGAAATAGCGCTCCTGGTCAAAGAGTCTCTCGTCCTTCATATGAACCGGGTGATTCTGCTGATGAGCCACCAGCTTAGCGCTGGAAAGGTCCACGGGATTGTTGTCCAAACCAGGGTTCCCCGTGTGGGCCATGTGATCCGAGATGTTTAACGACAGGGGGAGGTGACGGGCAGTGGAGCCGGTACTCATGCCAAACTGGAGCTGGTGCAGATGGTTGTGTTGCTGTTGGTACAAGTCGCCGTTGCTGGCCACCTGGGAGCGACGGATGACCCCGTTCCCGGCGAGAGATGTGACGAAATTGTGGTCTCCGTGCACGGAGTAGCTAAGATCATTTCGTGTCAGTGATCCATGCACGCCATCCTCACTTCCGCTCACATCATATCCATTCTAAAAAAAGAAATTTTGGAAAATGTTTCAATGTAAGCGGCATAAAAACAATACTCACTTGGCACATATAAATATAAAAACTCCGTCGAGGCAACAGAAGCATTTATTTTTTGGAGATACCAGGTAGATTTAAAGATACAACCTGTCCCTTTTATTAGAGAAGTCTTTTTTAAAAATACAAATTTTACCGTCATTATACACAGCGCTAAATATTTAATAAGAAAAAAATATATACAGGCAAATTAACTTTTAACATAACACGCTGATATTAATTTTATATTTAATTCTGAAAGCTGAAGTTTTTTCAATTTTTCTATAAACACCGGAAATAAATACAAAACAATGACCAACCACGCAAACTATCCACCATGTCAATGCTAACAGATGCTCGTGAACTAGTATACGATCCACCACACTTTTAGTCAAGACCAGCTTAGCATAGTGATGAAACAGAAAGCTCGTTGGTGTATTCAGATTTTTCCCCTTCTAAATACCAAAAGGATAAAAGTAACTTGCCCCCGTCAGCATTTTTCCCCCTCCACACAGACACACACACACAAGCCAGCCCACAAAGTCACTGGCACGTTAGCTGGCAGTTAGGGCACTTGAAATGCTGACTATTTATAGAAGCTTCCCCCTATACTTCATAATGACAGCCTTTGGACTACAGTTTGAACAAGCAGGACGTTATATGACATTTCAAATATTCGCGTTTTTTTAAAAAAGGTTTACGTTATACGAATCTGGAGAGAGGGGCAAGTATATGTGTCAATCATTTGAGCATCCATACCAAAAATAATTTTAAACTGCTAAATTGAATAATCATTCCTGTTAATAAAACAACAACTCTTAGACAAACAGAAATTTAAAAAAAAAAACATGATGTACATAGGTCTTGATACCCGGAAAGTTTAGTGTCGGGGGGCCACCACACATAATCGCTATCTACACGACCTACATTAAACCAACCGTGATTGACCTTATGAACCTTCACTGTTTAAAAAGGTCAGCTCACTGCTTTAATAAAAAAAAAAGCAACAGAAAAGTACGACAGGTTATTTGAACAGCAGTTGGTATTCATCGCACACGGCTATGACAAAACTTCAATACAGAGCATCATAACCAATGACAATAACCAGTGATTAGTAACGAACCGCGTCGTTTTCACCACTTTAAAGACCAACCAAGCAACAGACTTTCCTTTTTCTTGGTGTTTATGATGCTACTGCCTGGGGATTACGATTCTGTTATCGCACTTGCTTATTGGCCGCACAATTGCACGCGTAATTTCAATGCGTAGAAACAGCAGGTGCGCAACTCGACTTGAGGCGGTGTAAGCGAATCCCTTCTCTTTCGTAAATGGGCCCAAGAACAATAGGGGGGAAAATCGTAGGAAAATGACGCTGTTTCAACAGAAATTATGGCTTATTGGTTTTTGTATGAACGAATGAGGACTTGACTCTAATTACTATGTTATACGGCATTTAATGACACGAGAGAGGGAGAGAAAGAAAGAGAGTTATGGTTCTTATCTCCCAAGATTAATCTATAATGATGGATTTTCTGCGTGTTGGGATATTGGGTGGGAAGGTGAGGGTTGAAATAAAGGTAAAAGATAGCAGTTTAAAAATAAATATGCACAAAGAGATGGAACAAAGACGCTAAACAGGATGAATGGATGAGTTAGACGTTTGTTAAAGCTACATAAAACAAGCAAGAAATATTTTATTTTCAACTGTTTTATCCAGGTAATTTATATATATATATATAGACACACGATTTGTGTGTGTGTGTGGGGGGGGGGAGAGAAAAGGGGCAGCCTATGTCAAGTCTAGCGGTACTTTTCTATATATTGCTCCGATATCAAGTTGAGGTAATGATTTAATATTTTAGCAGACTAATGGTACGAGTATAATAACTCATAATAAGCCGCTACCCAGAGAAAACTATCACATTTATATATAGGCCTATACTCCCAGTTATACGCACAAGCATGATTGCTATAGATGAGACAATTTTAAAAAAAACAACAACTAGCAAACCTCCATTATCCAGGCTGGTGAGAACAAGTGGTCGACCTTTTGATCTCCCAAAAGATTACAGCCGGCTCAGTAGCAAAGACTACAAATAATTGACCAAAAAAGTACACAGCGTTTTTTTTTAAAACTTTGTCAACAGAGAAAAAAAAACCCACATCACTATCAGCACCGTCTTTATCTATGTATGCTACTTAAATAGTTAACTGTCGATACCTGCACACTTTTAACACAAACAACGTCCTGACAAAGAAAATATACGACTAATAAGCTGCTATTAGTAAGGTATTTATCTTGAATTTTTTTGTAAAAAGAAAAAAAAAACATGGTACACAATTTTAACTTTGAACAACATAACGCAAAATCCAAACGTTTTGGTTGATATCTTATTTTAAAGTATACATTTATCAATGTTTTTTAATGTCTTTGATTCGCGTGTTGGTTGGGGGGGGGGGGGGTATATTGGTAAGAGTATTTAAACTGATAGTAATAAAACAGTTTCAAAGCTCAATATTAAAACTATCTCAACTTTTAGGGGTCAATTCATCATCAGCTGTCGACTAGAGCTTGTAAACTATTAATTCTTACCACCCTTCCCCAGGAAATAATCACCTTGGTGACTGGACTATAAATCGACATTAAACAGTCTGTACCTGGATTAACTCAAAGACAATGAATGATGTTTTCAAGCCGCAGTGTATGTAAATGACGCTTTAGGAAAAGCTCAGCTTAAATATAGTCACGAATTGAACCTCTATATAGTTAGTATAATATATTTTCCCCATTTTATGTAGTTCTAAGAACAACGGAGCATTAAAACGAAAGAGGGCCTCTTTCACTTTATCACATAATAGTACATGTAAAGTGAAGCTTTTAAGTGAATTATTTCTAGGTCCACAGCCTGAGTGCAATTATAAAGTTAATCTTGACCCCCATGTCAACTTTAACAACAAAGATGTGACCTTAACACGAGGTTTAAGTGGGGACGCCCTAGATAATGATCCACCAGTTGGGGCGCTAGATGATAGAAACAAAGCACGATGGTCGGGTGAAATCAGGGCAAAGAATTAAATCATGCATTCTTTGTTTAGAAAAAATGTATTTTAAAAAATATCATTAAACGCTGTTCCGCGTAGCCATAGTAGTGAATAGTCCAATTAGTAAAATTAAACCCCGAAGAACTGACATAGTGGTGGTAGGCGCCTATTAAAAAAAAACCCACAAGTTGATGCAAACAGTATTTAGCACTCAAAAGTGGTTGTTGTAGATGAAACGTGAATATTTTAACTGTGTTTACCATTCAAATATTGTCTATTTCAATATTGCCACATGATACTATACCCCAAATAATCTAGGAGACTACTTTATGAAGCAAAAAAATTAAATATTTTATTAACTAATTTTTATGAAAAAAAAAGTTAATTCTGAACATCAAAAAGCAATTGTTCAAACTGATTCCCACCCAGTAAAACGAGGGCGGGAGAAATTAATCACGGCGTTACATATGGCTTAAAGTACGTATTTTCATGGCTGTAAAATTCCCAAGACAGTGGGACCGGAGACTTCACGGAGAAGGGGGAGAAAAAAAAACTCGGGGAGCGCCAATAAAAAAAAAGCGTGGGAAATGTTTACAGCTGCTGGCAATTTCCACCTCTTGAACTGGCCAGTGTGAACTCTGATGTGCATTTAAAAACAACCATTTTTCTAACTAGAGCACGGCAGTTTGTAATTGCTATAAAAAGGGTCTTCCATAAATGATGTCACGCGTTTTTGCCGATTTTATAACCCCCCACCCTATTTCGTCACAAAAGACCTCCCCGCCCCCTTTCCCGTCAATTATGGACGACTCCATACAAAAAAATAAGCTTAAAATTCGTAATGTTTCTTTTTTTTTTTCTAAATCAATTTTCATGAAAATTTCAGTAATAAATAAACGTTAGAAAATATACTTTTATCTCCGTATCATATGCAGATGAAAAGATATTATATTTCTATAAACTTCGGAAAATAACAGAAGATCTAGGATCAAAACATTCATTAACACTATCAGCAACTACGGTTGGTTGGTTATACCATACACTAGTCCTATATTGTGATTAATTTAGGGTTCAGGTTAACTGCTATATTATTGTAACTAGATTTATTTTGAATGGTTAGAGAGTGTTTTCCCCACGAGTATTAAATATGGCACAACAGACCCCCCCCCCCCTAAAATGACGTCACACCTCAACCCAGTAGCGTAGCGAGGGGGGCGGGGGGGGGGGACATATGTCCCCGGGCGCCGACCTTAGGGGGGGCGCCAGATTGAAAGTTTGAGGGGGGGGGGGTGCAAATGAAAAGTTCGAAGGGGGGTGCAAATTGAAAGTTTGAGGGGTGCAAATAAAAAGTTCGAGGGGGGGGGTGCAAATCGAAAATTTGCTCCCAAGGGGGCGCCAAATTTAAAGTATGTCCCCGGGCGCCGGGAAGGGTCGCTACGCCTCTGCCTCAACCTACAACACCCCCCCCCCTCAAAATTGCAGTTGAATTTTTTTAAAACATCGATATTTTTCCAAAATCGTGTCTAAACTATTACAATTTATTAAAACAGTTATCTAAAACGCGAAATAACGTCTAAAATTCGTTTTCTAACATTGCTTTTTTATAATGCAAAAATGTGACGTCGCAACATCTGAACCCCCCCCCCCCCCCTCATCACACATCGTCACAAAATTACGGACCCCCCCTCCCCCCTACGAGTGTGACGTCATTTATGGATGACCCCTAATCAGAACTAGCGATTTTACTAATCACCGGACAATAAGTCTATTACATAGAAAGAACTAATTTGTAAATATTTTCTGATAATTAAAAAAAAAACAACAGAAACATAAGTCAAAAGTAAACTGGAAAAAACAACTGGCTGCTATAAATAATGACACGCAGCCTATTAAAGCAAATAGGATTACTTAACATACAAAATAATAAACAAATAAACCATAAACGTGAGGTGGGCGTTAAGCATAATCTTTCAAATTTAGAATGTAACTTATAAAATGTAATGTTCCGGCAGTCAAATGACAAGAAGTAATTCATTTTTTCTATTTTCCTTACCTGCATATCTTGATCGTCCATGAATTAGCAGGTCACTTTTCTATTTTAAGTTTATTTTAATGAACACGGACTAACAAATTAGTCAAAATGATGGAACAAACGTACTTTGATTACCACTATAAATATCCATACAGTACTTTGCACAAATGGTTATTATTGCTAATTTACGATCACTCTTAACAATTAATATTATTTTAAAATGTTTTATTAAAACAAACCAATGTCTGTTTTAAAAGCGATGAACTGTGTTTGAAAAGTACACAAGCGAGTTCAGTCATTATTTTCGTTTAAAAAAACACCCAATCCAATTGGTCCTGGTGGTAGCTCTACTTACAAACACTGGCACAGTTTAATTCTAAGTGTAACACTATTTAAAAACGTGTATCTTATAATGCACGTTGTTTGTTAATTATAACACTAGAGAACACTGCTGGCTATCTTATCAATGCACAAAGATATTGGGATTGCTATCTTAACTGTCTTTTCTAGCACACTCGTGGGAACTCGCAATTTGCATTTTTGACATCGTGAGAACAATGGGTCATTTGCGCTGTTCTATTGGTTGTCCTTTCCACCCTTGGGAACGGAGCAGAAGGCACGGATCAAACACGTCAGTTTCAAAAGTATTTAAAAGACATGTAACAACAAATTAAATTAAAATTTTCAAATTCATATTTACTCTTATACTTTTATAACACAAGTATGATTAATAAAAAAATAAGTTAACAAATAAGGAAACAACGTTATCTAGGGAGGTTAACAGATCGGCCATTTTCCCATAGCGTTCTAAGCAGCTCATTGGTGATTTCCTTATACGGCAAGCAGGTGTTCCCACGGCCCGATCGTTGTTAAACTCAAATGAGGCCGTGTTTTGGTTTGGAGAGTGGGTGCAGAAAAGTGGTTAACATGGTCGTATGAGTCGCAGACAAGGCCGCGTTATGAATATATGTCTTTTGTCGATGTCTGCCTAATGGCGCACTGTTCATAGTTGGTAGCAAAATATATGCAACTCCAGCGCATTAATCTTCAATGAAAAAGGATTTTAACAAAAACGGCCATTCATTCATACACAGCTATTATCATGACTACCTGACAGAGATATATAAAATTAATTCCACGCAGCAACATTTTGATAAATAAGGTTATAAAACGCACAAAAAATGCCATGTCTTAACAATTGGTGCCGTCTTACTAAGTGCCCCCACATTGCTACGCAGATCCTTTGAGAATGTGTCCTACTTTAAAATATGCACGGCTCGGCCAGTTGGGCTGAATAACTTACTTATAAACTGGAGTACAGACCTGTTAAACGCAAATCTAGCATTGTATGCTGCGTATCACAAATATGGTCTGCAACTCAGTGGATTTTTTTAGATGTAGAAAACTAATGCTACATGTTAATTAGATCTTAAAAACAATAGTCTCCTAGTGAAAAAGTACTTAAAATATGTTAATAAAAACGTACCAACTCGTGAAGTCCTAAAAACTTAATCAAGATGGCGAACTAAACAACTGCACATGCGCTTGTTATTATTCAGTCAGAACTTCCGTTTTAGGACAAACAGTCGTCTCAAAATAAAAATAAGAGAAAGTAGATTATCAGCTTGCGAATTTATGAAGTTTCTGAAAATCGAATTAAGCTACTGATATTTGGAAGAGTCCATGCTTTAAGGTGTGAAAAATTTAAACACAACATTTAGTTAGTTCTTTCTCTAACCTTCTTGATCAAGAATTCTAGATTCTAGCTTTTATCACAATCAGTGAAACAGTACTGAAACTACTGAAACAGCAGTAGTCAGGGGGGTTCAGTAGTTTAGCCTTAGCAAAAGCCAAGCCTCAAGCACTCATATTTATTATTTGACTCATAAAGCACTGTAACTAACTAAACTGTGACTAAACTAGAAGATAACTCTAATCTAGATCTAGCTAGCAGAATGTCAACTCAGAATCAACTGTAACTTCATCAAACTTGATATTGTGATAATTATCATAGATTTACTGAACAACTAAACTAGTGGCTGCAACTGCTGTCATAGATCTATATTTAAAAATCATATAGATCTAGATTATAGATCTAGTAGGCCTATAGATAGACTAGAATTTACTAGATTCTAGATCAAGTTCTAGACACTCTAGACTAGGATCTAACAAGATCTGCTAGATCTAGACAGCATAAATCTGTAGTAGAGTTAGATCTAGATCTAGATATCATTATCTAGACTAGTATCAGCTAATCTAGTCTAACTAATCCAGTATGCCATGTATCCTCTAGCTGCGTGTCTAGCTACACGACTTCATTTTTCCTTGAAAATAGTTTCAGTAGGCCTATAGGCCTACTAATAAAAATATACCCATTTGTTTCTGTAGATTTTTTTAGTAAAAACAATTAAACCCTTTACAAAATTATAGTACTTGTATGGGTAAACCTAAATATAAACGTGATCTTTCAAACCTGCAACTAAAACAAAAAGTTAGATTTATGTTGTTTTTTTTATAAATCATTTTTAATCAAACTAGCATTTTGTAACCTTTATTTCCAAAAAAGCTTTCAACGAAATTTTAATTTTCACTAAATGAGTGGGTAAAGCAAGGGTATGTTAAAAATCAACAATGATAAATAGTATTTTAATTGTTATTGTTATAACTTCATTAAAGATTTAAATATTGTTTAGCTCTTAATTTCAATCATACTTACAGTTGTTGGTTTGTTTTTTTGTTAGCTATCTAAATGGACGAAGCTAAAGCGGATAGTGTGCCTCTTACAGGGTCTACAACAGTAACAGAAGTATCAGCTGCTAGTCCAACTGTACAAGATGACGTTCGTCCTAGTAATTCCCTTGACAGTGATACATTGAGTGATAAGAACAGAAATACAAGTGCTGAAGTTCACTCTAGTCCTGTTTTAGCAGAAAAGCAAATTACTCCAGATTTTCCTCAGTCTGAACCCTTTCCTATTTTGAGTGAGTCATCTCGTCTTGGGAAAAGCATGGAACCGAACCTGTCCCTGAAATTGACAGATAACGCTCAACCTCTAGAGCATGTCAATGTGGGATCCAGTTTGGACCAAGTTAAAAAAACAGTGGTAGAATCATCAGCTGCAGACTTCGATAGTCGAAACAGTTCCTCTACTGCAGAGCCAAACTTATCCACTGAGTTTGAAAACTTAAGTGTCACATCTAGTCCCAACTCAAGTTCAAATTCTGGTCAAGACAGCGGTGTCAGCCAGGATGAGTTTAGTCAAGAGACTGCCTCCTATCAATCTGTGATTGAAAAAGATAGCAGTTCCTTCACGGAACCGATTCCCAAAGTCTCTGAATCTCCAAGCAACAGCCCAGCTAAACTGTCACCTGATGCAAACACCTCTGCATCTGAGACCCAAGTCACAGTTTCAGATCTTGATTCGCCTGCAGCAGATGGCACCACAGGGGAGGCATCAGCATCTAACAGTGACCAGGAGAGTGTTTACTACATCAAGTGGATCTCATTTGGGCAGGCCAGTGTACCTATAATTACACAGAATGAAAATGGTCCTTGTCCACTTCTGGCAATAATGAATGTGCTCTTATTAAAAGGAAAAGTAGGCATTTTTCTTCACATTTTTCATTTAGTATTATAATTCAATGAAATAGTAGAATACTGTAGACTGCATATTTGAGTGTTTAAAAAATCTAATCCTAACCCAATCTTGAATTGGTAAAACAACCATAAATATACCAAGCTCTGATGGTTGCCTAGACTAGAGTCTGGTAATGTAAAGGTTGTGACCATATGGATCATCACATAATCCATTCATAAGCTAATGTGGCAGTAAATCATACAGCCACACAGTATTTTTTAGCTGCCGTGCCTTGTATAAGACTTTTAGAACACAGCGCACACAAAGTACACGTTGCACACTAACTTTTTTCCCTTACTGGCACTTGAACTTGGGACTGACAGGTCTAATATGATCAAGTAATGTGCTTTAGGCTTATGTTAATGTTATGTATCCCACCATATTCAGTAATAAAATGAATTAAGAATTATTGTTTTTTAAAGCATATCGTCCAATAAGATTTTATTTTAAAATGAACTTTATGTTTTAACTAGGTAAAACTTGCTCCTATGCTTGAGATGGTGACATCTGAACAGCTGATGACTTATTTGGGAGAATGTATATTTGAAAATATGCCTCAGGTATGTTTTATTTTTTTTAAATTAGATATTCAGGACGTTAAAGAAAATTTAATTTTGTTTTTAATGTTGGAGGTAACAAATAAAATTTCATTTAGTTATATCTTTCTACAACTTATGAATTTTTTCTACTGGCAACTTCTAATGTTTCAATAACATTAAGTAGTCTTTCATTGAATTTTGTAATTAATAAATGGCAAGCTCAACTTATTTTTAATCCTTGGTGTACTGGTAATGAGTTATTCTATGATAATTCTAATTAAACTTAAATAATCTATTTAATGATTAACAACAGCTGAAGTATTTTAAACATTTGTATTACCCAGTCTAAGAAACATCTGGATTTTGTAAGAAAAATGCCTAAACTAAACTCCTACTAAAATCCTTTTATAATATGGTTGTCATGATTACACAATTTACTCTGATCTTGTTATTAGTTTTTATGTTTTTGTCTCTTTCTTTAGAATCTTTCAGAGATTTCACAAGCAAATTATGAACAGAATATGCAAGATGCAATGGGTGTCATGTACAAACTCCAGACTGGCCTTGATGTTAATGTTAAATTTTCAGGGTTGGTATTGTTTTTAAATACAGTAATAGTTCTAGGATATTCAGCAATGGATTTCTTATAGAAATCTTGTAAGTGGGTTGAATAACTTTGTATGATAGAACAAATTGACAGTTTTGAAATTTAAGATCAAGATATGCTTAGTGTTGAAAAAAAATCTAAAATATTAACTCCATTTTTTTTATAGCAAAGTGCAACTGTCAGATTTTCTATTTTGAGTTTAGCATTCTTTAAAACAAATTTAATTTTGGTAATTTCTTTTCTTGCCTCCTCATCACAAAATTATGTTATAATATCAATTTATTTTTCATTTAAAAAAAGAACAGATTTATACATTTTTTTAAGCTTAATGAGTCTTAAAAATAATTACTCAATTTTTAAGAATGTTATTTTTTGTTTAATTCTGATTTTCTTTCTGTTATTCTCAAATATTTGTTTTTGTATGGAAGTTTGATTGTTCTGTGTTTGTATATGGATTGACCAGGCAGGATTGGGATTCTTGATATAACCTTTTCTCGGGCTATTAGATTTTATATACTCTTTTTAATGCAAGTGTGAGAATATTAATAATTTAAACTTTAAAAAATCATGATTTGAAATGAGGTAGAGTAGTAGATGCTGACTTGAAGGTCTTCTGTCCAGCTCCTAGATTGAGTCTGATAGATATTTAACTTGTGTATAGACAGCTGTCTTTGTGTAAACCACACAGTAGCTTTACATATGCAGTGGCCACAAGAAAAAATAACCCCATCTGTTAGGTCACAAAAGTTTCTTTACTGTTAGAGAACTTAAATAACTATCCACCTTGTGTATATGTTTTTCAGTGTTGCTGACTTTGAATACACCCCTGAGCTGATTATTTTTGATCTGCTGGAAATCTCACTCTTCCATGGCTGGTTAGTTGACCCCCAGGATTCGGACACTGTCCGAGCTGTCAATCAAGACAGCTATAACCAGCTGGTGGAGAAAATTATTAGTCTCAAGCAGTCAGAAAAGGAGGAAAATGTTCGACAAGGTATTGGTAAAATCTAACCATTTAGGTTGTAGAAACTTAATGAGTTGATCAGCAAATATATGTAAAGAGAAAATAAAAAGAATCGATTTTTCATCCTATGTGTATTTGGACTAATTATACTGGTAAATTAAAGTTTACGCTATATGGTTGTTTGGGTATAGCTTATTACTTCAGCAATCATGTTTGACTGTATAGAATTATTGTAGAAACTTAAAATATTTACCACTCTAGCAGTGTTAAAAATATAATGGTAAAATGGTTTCATAAAGCATTCACCATGTAATCTTGCCGTCACAGTTTGGCTAATTTTTCATGTTAATCTTATGACTCCACTTTTAATATCTATACGGTTCTCTTTCTTCAATCAGATTGAGTTTAAAATAGAACACATTATATTGAGATGCAACTGTAATCTAGGCGACTTTCTTTATCTTTTGTATAATCTTTTAAGATAAAAAAACGTTTTGTGAAATTTACTGTAATAAATAACTAGAGGATCTGATATTATGAAAGGTTGTACATAAAATGATTATAATCTAGGAAAAAATAATTTATTCTTAACACTAGAATTTTAATGCATTCCAAGCACGCTTTACATTTAGCTAATAAAAGCAGCCTCTTGGTTAGATATATATTCGACCTTGGTGTTAGACATAGATCAGTCAATATATTTACTGTGATTATTAGCTAGTTACTAAAAAGGACCACCAGATGTTAACATGATAACAAATATGTTTCTTCATCTTGAACATTGTTGTAAAATAAAATATTGAATGTTTCCCTCCACCCAGCTCTGATAGCTGAACAGTTCCTTGAGCGCTCGGCCTCCCAGCTGACATACCACGGCCTGTGTGAGCTGTCCACTGTTGTGAAAGAGAAAGAGCTGTGTGTGTTCTTCAGGAACAACCACTTCAGCACTCTCTACAAGAACAATGTAAGCAAGTTCTTTATATGTCAGTTAGTTTTTTTTAAAGTAGATTTTTGGAGTCATTGTTTGTTAGCTATCAGTCACATAACTAATCAGAGAGTATGACTTCTATTTCTATTAGAGGAATCAGAAATATAAAGAAAACAAAAATCTGAATGAGAATTTTGGGAATTGCTTGAGTGAGACTCTGGATGTATATGGTGTAAGTTGAAGTCTAATAAAAGTCTAAAGAAAGAAGATGAAGATAAAAAAATGTGACTGCAGCACTGAGAATTAGCATAGTAGTTAAGTTAAAGGGAAGTAATATACTCTAGAACAGTGAGGTAACACTGAAGAGTCTTTCTCATTCAAGCAGCTTGGGGCTGATTCCATTTGTTGTACACTGATCTGCTTTGTTGTATTGAAAAAAAGATGTCAGTTTAATTAACCATGAACAAATAAACTGTATCAGAAGCCTCTGTAAGATGCTTATAAGGATGTTAAACTTTAATTTTTTTCTAATTAGCAAATTGTAAGATGACCCACACCTACAAACATAATTCTTAGAAACATCTAGCAATAGGTTTTCCTTGCCACCTCCTTTCATGTTGCTTATAGATTCACTCTGCAACTTATTGTTGGTCTGGTAGTATTTTTTTAGAAGCTTTTTCTTAGTTCACTGTCTATAATTCTGTTTGTGGCAAATTGTGTAACTCTTTTGTGAACCACTTTCTAATTTAGCTATTTCTTCATATTTGTCAAGGTGCATTGATCTCTAATGACAGTGTAAGAAAATCTAATCTGTAATCTAATGTGGTATTAAATTACTCATTAAACATTATTAGTTTAAAGGTTACCGTTTTTTGACAAAAGGGGAGATAACAACATTAAATTAAAAAATATACTCCACCTATTGAGCCATATTTTTCCCACGTTTTCTTTAACTTGCTTTCTCTGTGTCTTTCTGTGTTTGTTTGTCTTTCCAATCAAATCTTGCGATCGAAATTTCTGGCACTTCCCAGTTAGCTAGCGCGCTGAAATTTTCAGGGAAGCTTTCTTTTGGATGACCATAGAATATGCAATTGTTATTATTACTAAATTGATCAATGGAAACATTTTATTGAGCATTTTAGACCGCTATATAATCTATATATATAATTCTCCTCTGCGAGCCATTAGAAAAAAAAACCAGCGACGCGTACCTCGCGCGCAGTGAAGCGAACGATCCCACGTTGCCACAGGCTTAGGGGCAAATAATTTACTTTGAACCGAGTTTAAACTTACAGGATGTAGGCCAGTTTGTGGGAGACGATATGGTCGAGTGGTTGGTCACACGATTGCTATCCCACTCGACACGGGTTCAAATCTATGTGTTCTAGTCAGTAACGTATTCACACAACGATTTTTTTTCGAGTTGTCTTTTTACGAGTTGTCTTTTTACGAGTTGTCTTCGTTTACCCAAAAAAAAGTGAAAAGATAAAATCGATAGCAAGATTTTAATGCAAACAGACAAAGACTAAAAAGTAGAAAATAATAATCATTAAAAAAGTTTTTAAAAACCCACGTTTTCTGATTGAACTAAAAAGTAGAAAATAAATACTATACATCACAATAATGCAAGCAATCACTCTACTATAAGCGATCAAAAACGTGGGGCGCCGTGATTTTCTTACAGTTTCTAATACTGTTGACTCTCTACAAGCTCCCTACTAAAAGTCAATAGTATTATCTAATCAATAGTAATATAACTTTTACTTCGGCGCCCCACGTTTTTGATCGCTTATAGTAGAGTGATCGCTTGCATTATTGTGATGTATAGTATTTATTTTCTACTTTTTAGTTCAATCAGAAAACGTGGGTTTTTAAAAACTTTTTTAATGATTATTATTCAATGTTTTTAATATTTGAGAACTGACTACAGACTCCACTAAGTTCAGATAATTGTGAATTAGACTTACTGATCAGCTGTTAATGAAAATATTTTAAGTCATGGATGTGTTGTCGTAATTAAAATTAACAGAATTAAAAGAATACAAATGGTACTAATTTTTTAATTAAACTCACACATTTGCATACCCTTGTATCTTTCTAATTGTTAAATAATATAAAGTAGAAAATAAGTAGCCTATAAAATTACAAAATTTATAATAACAACTTAATAATTTTTAAATGCACTGAATAGAAGAAAATAACAAACTTTCTCTCCTTAGTAAAAGCATTTTTGCTTCTGAAATCCTTTACTCATTTGAAGACTTGTACATTTTTGTTATCTATTGTTTTGTGAATATTCAAATTTGAGAAGTTTACAAATGACAATCATGATGAACATGGTTACAAGGGGTTTCCATTGAACTCTTATAAGTTTATCTTTAACTTTCTTGTACTTTTCTTTGAATGTTATGATTACCCAATCAATTATTTAACATATACAATAATCTATCAGTATTCACTCATCCATTATTTCAGTAAAAACAGCAAGAATGCATGTTTGAAGTAAAATACAACAGCAGGCATGCATGTTTGATGGTAAAATAAATGCTTTTAATGTTAAATTAATTCTCACTTTATTTATATGAAAAAAAACAAAATATTTTAACTTAAAATACCCCCCAAATGTTTCTTGATAATTAACTTATGTATAAAAATACTGTAAACAAATCAAAAATAAAAAAAAGTAGAAATTACAAATTAGAACAACATAACAATAATTATATCGGAAAGGTGAACACAGAAAATATTCCCTATTAATCTTCTATTAATTAAATGTGTATAGAACTGGCAATCATTTAATTTTAACATACGCTCAACAAAAATAACTCACACACCTTTAAATCATACATTACATGCTTTTCTCTTAACAATATTTTAAACTTGGTTAAAACTAAAACAAAACTTGATTTTGGAATGTTTTTGTTTGGTCTCAGAGACATTGTGATATTGTGGGAAGACTAAATTTAAGTCAAGGATATAATAATATAACTATTAATAGCATCATTCCCAATGTATGTTGTAACTGTAAAAAGGTGGGGGTTTTGTTTTAAAAATTTTAAATATATATTCTGAAGCATCATAACCCTCCAATCAATGTTGCAATGCACATAAAAATAATTCAAAGTATATAAAGAAAGATTATCTTCATATCTTGAAATTGTAACTCATCCATGGTTATTATAAGCAAGGTTAAAAATGTAATACTGACTCTGACTGCAGGTTTTAGAGGATGAAACATGGAGTATATCAAAAGAAAAAAGTAAGAAGACAAGGACAAGAAATACATAGCTTCACATAGTCTAGTACATAGTTTCACATAGTACATAGCTTCACATCTTTGCACATGAAACTTAGTTTCACATAGTACTTATTTTTACAGATTTGAAGAGTCTACCATTTAAGAAGCAGAAATTCAGTATTTGGATGACAAGCTGTCACATAGTTTTCTTTGTATAATTTTAAATATGATTTCAGCTGTCATAGTTGGCTTAGATTTGGGGCAGTGTGGGTATAAACAGCCAATTTCTTAAGTTTTACCCTTTCCACTTGTACTTTATAACAATTGTTTCAATGATCACTAGGGACACTAACATGGGTCTAAATAATACTTGTGACAAAAGCATCCTTTTCCTATTCTTTAGTGATCTTATTTAACTACAACATATGATTTGAATGTCAAAAGGATTAGGCCAATAGATGGAGAAACGTTTTTTTTTAAAGAATAGTACTTTTTAAAATATTAGATTAATACCTTGAAGGTACAGGCTGAATTTTGTGAAAGGGAATGTTCATATAGTATACACAAACATACATTTAAGGGGGCTTCCAATAGTGATGTTACTTAAGAAAATTTCCTTTTGATTCCAAAGCCCAGCAGCATGTAATTCAAAGCTTTTTCACCCTTTATTACGTTGTTTGGTGTAAGACACTTTGAAATTGTTAATCTTTATGTAAAAATGTGTTATTTATCAATTTTTGAAGACCCTCCTCCCAGAGTTGGAACACCCCCCCCCCCCCCCCCCCCCCACCCATTTAACTTTAGATGCAACATGACTTATGGAAGCTACCTTATATTTAAAATTGATCAGAAAACTATTGAGACAAACATAGCCATCAAACACAATGTCAGCAGCGTGCTGGAGTATTGTCTGGGCCCGCTATTGTCTGAAGGGTTGAAGATCTTCTTGTGTGACACATTGTGAGACGTCCCATCATGCGTGGCCACGGTTGTTGAATGGGAGTCCCCGACTTTAGCCGTTGTGTGGGGCGTGGTTTCAACAATGTCGACAGTGATAGGTTTTTGGTGTTGTAGTGAGGCGTGGTTGCTGTCGTTCTGTTCTTCCTTGCTGTCCCCGTGGTCAGTTGGTTTGTTGGGCAGGGCCACGGGTGGGTCTTGGACCTTCACATTTGTTTCTGTTACAACGAGAAAATACTCATGATCTCTGTACTTGACTAAAGAATAGTATCAGTTATTTTACAAAATTATCTTTTTCTTTTTAGGTCCCATTTCAATGAAATTGGAGATGTATCATATTTTAGTCAATTCCTCCTTTTCAGCCAGTTATTTTCTAGACAGTCTTAATTAAATTAATTGGTTGAGGTGCTATTTCTGTTGAATATATAATGGGGTCTCTAAATATAAAGACAGTTAAACAGTTTAAAAATGCTACCTAGCTAGCTTTTTTATCACTATTTTTTTTAAAGCCAGAATGTGATAAAATGACAATAGCTAGAAAATTATATATGCTCATCAACTATTATCTAAACATGTGGCCATTTATCATGTCATTAAAAAATATATATTTGCACACCTTCACAGCTAGATAATTAGTAAATTCCTTTGAATCTCAATCAAAACTAATTCTTTCAATAACTTAAGCCTCATTCTCAAAGCTAACCTTTACCTTGCTGAAAAATAAAAGGATTGCACATGTAAAGTCTTACTATTTAAAAAAGGTTTGTACATTTCCCCCCACCCCCCCCCCCCCCCCTCTCGTCATCGTAACATTTCTTAAAAATAGGTCAATCTCAACTTATCTCAACTTATCAAAATGACGTCACATTTCATCCTACCCCCCCCCCCCCCCACCCAGCGATTTCTCTCTAAAATATTAACGAGCTAGGCCAACACAATATAAGCGGATCAAATTTATTTCAATTTTATAACAAAAGAGAGAATTTAAACAAAACAAAAATTGCAGTAGCCATCTACCCAATGCAGCAAAGTACTCACCGTCTACCCTCTCGTCTCTGGCCACACTAGACTCCCTCAGCTGACAGTTGTAGGGCTCGCTCGTGTACTTGCTGGTGATGACGTCAAAGGCCACCTTGGCCGCGCCCTGGCACCCTTCAATCTTCGGCCCCATACACTCTGTGTACTGCTGGAGGGCGCTGGTGACACAGTGGTAGGAGGTTAACTTACATGACATCTACTTGTCATTAGTTGACTTACATGACATCTACATGTCATTAGTTGACTTACATGACATCTACATGTCATTAGCAAACACACACTGGACATGTCATTATTTCACTTACATGAAACCTGCATTGTCTACGTTAGCTGACTTGCATTTTGTGTACACGGCGTTATTTGACTTAAATGACATCTATATGTCATTAGCTGACTTCATCTACTGGTCATTAGTTAACTTCCATGTTGTCTACATGTCATTAGTGAACGTAGACGTATGTAGGCCTACATGTCTGCAGCTGTCTTACATGGCATCTATTTGCCTAGATGACATTTTCATGTCATTCGTTCATTGAAGGAAAATGTCAACAACATATACATTGTAATTTGTAAAAGTATATTCGGGAAGCTGTACTATTTTTATTTATTGGTTGATTAGTTCTCTCTAACCTAACCGGCTGGAGTAGTTCTCTAGTAGTTCTCTGGTCCTAAGCCGTGCACTGTGATGGCCACTACTACAGGATGTCAAACTGTTGTCGCCCCTCTGTTGCCAGCTACTGCTGTGGCCTGTTTGTTTCCACCAGGCTCTCACTTCCTCCCTCAGTGGACATTCACACCTAGGACACGCCTTTAAACATCCCCTCATCGGCTCTTCTAGGTTATCTTTTCTTTAAACAACTCAAGCTGCCCGCTATCGGTGTCGATATTGAGGTGATTTTTCAAGTATAACGAGCTACGATAGTGAATATAGCGAACTTGTCTTCGTATGGGTTTGAGGGTGTAATAGCCCAAACCCATCAAATGACGACAGCTAGACGACATCTGATTCTGAAGTGAACAGCAACGACACAAGACGTTTCCTTCCCTAAACGCCAAATTATTTCTGCTATGCTGTTTTGTAGCTAGACATTACTTTAGTAAAGGTTTTCAGACGTGTCAATCCATGTCTGCAAATAGAACAGCATATTCCGGTATATCCTCTCTTTTGCGCTTCAGTGTAATATATGATTGCTAACCTTATGAAATAAAAATATTTTCAGTTTCGCACTTTAAAAATGATAGTAATTTTGCGATCAAAGAGCTAAGCGGCTTAAAGATTATTATTTTTTTAAAACTTCAAACGTTGATTCCAATATTTGTATGGGCCTGCATGAGCAGCATTGTATGGATGGCTTGTCCCCTCTCTTATAACGATGTCTCTATCCAGTCCTTAGCGTTACATGTGTGTGCAGAAGATCGATCGATCAATAATTGGTATTGACTTGCCGGACAATGTCCGCCCGTCCATCTCCCAGTCAATTAGCTCACGACAAACACAAAGGCTACCTTATGGTTCCTATTCAGGCTTTTACACACACAAAAATCTTTTCAAGTGAGGAACTCTGGTTAAACATAATGGGTTTATTTTTTAATATTCATGTTTGCTGCTGAATTGACCTTCCCCCCGCCGATTTCCTTCAAATAATTTGTGTACGCTGCGTTCTGTGATATCCCGTCGTTCGTCTTAGCAGGCAAATATTACAATCACAAAAATTCAATGGGGAAAATAGAGCCGTATTTTTTTTTTAAATCATAATTTTTTACAGTGTTTTTTTTTTATTTCCAATATCCTTGCCCCATTTCTGAATGAAAATATTTTTTTTACCTACTTTTATTGTTACTTGGTGTATTACGTAAGCAGAATGTTTGTAGTTGTACATGTCCCCTCCCCCAACATTCAAGACATTTCATTCACTGATGTTTTTGTAACCCCCCTCCAACTATATCTATTACCTGTTACTAAACCAGTGTTATTTTTTGGAATATCCATATATTGGACCTCCTATTCTGTGGGGGGGGGGGGGGGGGGAAAGACGGACATTTGAGTTATACATATTTTCAAAAGAAAATTGATCTAGCTCAGTGTCCGAATCAGAGTGTGATAACAAAATAGCAAAGATTCCCCTCCAGCATTACAAAGGCCAAAAGCCAAAAGGTCCCCCGTCTACTTCCGCCTACCTGCATAGCTCCACCGTGTTGTTGGACTGGCTGGCGGCGGAGAGTTTTTGGCGCTCCTCTTGGCACGATCCCATAGCGGCCATCACAGCCTGGTTGCTACATTTGTTTTCCAGCTCCTCCGCTAGAGAAACAAGAAAACAAGCACACAAAAAGATGTTATCATAGTCTCGGGATTTGGTACATGAGCCAACGGGATCTTTTTTTTTTTTTTTTGTTGTTCGCGTTCTTCAGTCAATAGACACGAGCTTTAAACACAGACGATTCGGTAGGTCCCGGATGTTCGACACATCGTTGTGTCATCCCTTCTGGTCTGGGCGTGGAGGTGCTGGTTGTCTTAGAGGTGGGAGTGAGGAATGTCTAGCTCTATGGGAGTATCACTGTGGTGGAAAGTTTAGGCCATACCCACTTGGGAAATATAAAGCTTTATTTGATATCCCATGATGAAATTGTTACGCGATGCACACTTGGGAAAAATGGAGTGTTTAACATTCCATGACGGAATATTTAAACGATCTCCACTTAGGAAATAATTATTGGTTGATATCCCACGACGGAATAGTTTTGCCGATTCTCACTTGGGACAAAATTATTGTTTGATATCCCACGACGGAATAGTTTTGCCGATTCTCACTTGGGACATAATTATTGCTTGATATCACACGACGGAAAAGTTAGGCTGATTCCCACTTAGAACAAAAGAATTGCTTAATATCCCATGACTGAGAAGTTAAGCCGATGCCCACTTGGGACAAAAGAATTGCTTAATATCCCATGACGGAGTAGTTAAGCCGATTCGTACTTGAGAGAAATTAAGTATTGCTTCATACCTTTTCAGTAACAGCCTGTAATTATAATTGTACTGATGCGTCACTAGCTAACCTCCAGTAACATGCCCCCCCCCCTTCCCCCAGCATGTAGATCTATATCACTCAGACAAAACGTGACAAATGTGAGGAATCTTATCAAACACACGACATGAATGTTAGCTATTAAACACCGCTACATAATTTTAAATTTGGTCTATTTGCGTTTGTTGTTTCATTGTTCGACGGACTCGGAATGATGCCGAAAGTCTAGTACATTTTGACATGGGAAAAATTAGCACCCCTACCAAACTTGTTCGTCAATTCTAACTTTTTAAATTTACATAAATGCTGTATTGAATGTGAAAGGGTGGGGGAAGAGGGGGGGGGGGGGGGGGGAGGGGGGGAAGATCAGCGACTGCTAGACGTGATTTAAATGTGTTATACTTCCTCTATATTTGTTATTTGTATGTCTTTATTTATTCCCCCCCCCCCCCACACACAGAAACACACACACGGCTCGTCTACACCACACCACCATTGTTCTCAATCTTTTGGAGAAAGATTTCAAGAATAGACTATTTGATTTATCCTAATTTTGAATAGCTCTTACTTTTTAATTATAAATTAATTAGCGTCGTAAAGACGGCCTTCATAAATAATATAATATACAAAACATATAAAATAATTACATAAAAATTATTACATAATTGATATATTTCAATATATTTTTTTTTCTTGACAAAGTCTAAAAGTTCAAATGTGTATTGGTCTATGATGTAAATTAAAACGTAAGCGCAACTTACCTGCAACTATTAGAGTCCATGCAGATATTAGAAGGTTCAAACACCCAACAGAAACTAGGAACTTCATCTTTTCTCTATATATTTCAGTGTGAGGTAGTAGGTAGAAATATATTCCCAATGACAAGTGTGATGGTCAAGAATAGAAAATCGCTTTATTTTAATTTAAAATCAAGTAACTTTATAAGTTCTTTTATGTTCTATTTGTATAATCGACTGCAGTTTTGAAATCTTCACCATTTGAGGTTTATCTGTTGATGAAATCCAATATTTAACTCGGTGTAATTGTCACTCGTGTCGTCCTGTATATTACACTTGGTCCCTGTTATCCTTAAATCCCCGAAGTTGACCAGACGCCTATATCCTGAGTCTCCGACCAAGTACACCGCGGACCGTGTCCCTAGAACCGACTCTGTGCTAAAAGCCCGCTTGGTCGCGCCACTAACGCCGCTCAAGTTGACAACGAAAAAAAAATTGCGCCTAAACTTGTTGCATGTTTGTTGAATGTTGGCACTCGTCCTGGAAATGTTTGTTGTGTGGACTACATGGGAGGGGGTGGCGAAGGTGTGTGATCGGCGGAAATGCGTTTGTTGAGGGGAGAGGCTGAGGTGTGGAGAGGGAGGGGGGGAAGATGACCGTTGCTGGTGTTTGTAGCGTGATTATCGATGTGTAGTAAAGCAAGGTTTTATAGTGTACGACACCGCTCATCTTCAGTAGGCCAAGGTCTGGGGGTTGTGTTGTTTTTTTGTTTTTGTTTTGTAGGTGGGGGGGGGGGGGGGGGGTGAATGATCGAATATGTTAATCGCCGTGAGATTGTTTAAAAAAATATTTCCTGCAACTTTTAAGACGCTTGAAATATTATCAAGGGGTCAAGTATGTTCAAACTTTCAGGTCAAATGTCGGGTCACTTTAAAAAAAACGTATGCAAGAGTAACGATGGTTTTTTTTTTTTTTTTTAAATTTTATGTCTGCTTCTGAAGACAATTCTGCCTGTATACCTTGATCTGTCCAGGACAGGGATCGGCGTCATATCATCGCAGCTAATTTATGTATTGTCATTATTAAAATATTAAGGGGCCCGTAATGAATATTTCAGTTCTAATACATGAAACTAGAAACTTTTAATACAAATACTAAAAACAAACTTCCTACACCTCTCTGTCAACAAGTTAATAACATTAATGAATTGCCGAGCAGTAGAATTTTTGGGTGAATACGTCATGAGACAACTGCTCAAATATATTTAAAAAATTAAACATTGATTCATGTATTTGATTATCGAAATTACTTTGAATTACATCAGCATATCTAGTCGGCGATTTCTGGTAGCGGTATTTCAGTGGGGATGTTGGAGAGTGTCGTTAGACTCAAAACACTGGCTGTAGTCTGATGGGGACCAAACAACTGCGCAAAGGGAAAAACTACGCACTTTTTTGTGCGCAAGGGCATTTTGGTTTTCTTAAATCGAGCTTTTATAGACGTAAACAACGAACAACCACGTGTAGGCCTACATTGTAGCATTATAAAACACTTTTACATAAAATATAACAAAACTAAATTGTGTTAGTAATTAGTTTGTATTTTCGCAGTTTTCCGTTTGGGTATTTTTATTTATTTTTTTCTTTCTTTTTTTCTTCTTTTTTTTTGCGTATTAAATTTCCAGAAATGAATCGTTGCATTTAATCCATCTTACGAATAATTTTACCAAACCCTTCGCTTGTTCACAATTCGCATCAAGTCATTCTTTTCAGTCAAAGTAAAGTTACAACTATGTGCTTAAAACGTAATATTAAAAAAAAAAAAATATAGGTTACGTATTGTGACTAGGGGAAAGAATGATAAATTTCTAGTGTGACGTCAATTGTGAAAATATGTCTGTGGTAAATCTGGTAAATCGAGGACTTTGAACAATTCCGTCATTAATTAATGGTTTAACTAGTAGTGTGTACTGTGTAGTCTTATGTCACGATAGCTGTAAGGGACACAGCGAATGTTATCTTGTACATGGAGTTGTTTTAAAAAATGGAAAGATCGCCTCGGATGTTGCTTTCTCACCCCTAGAAACAACACTTGGCCCGTTCTTTGGGAGCCGCCATACCACGGAGGGGGAAAAACAGGCAATCATTTCGGCGAAAAATATTTCAGCGTCGCATTTTTAAACTAGCAGACTTTTTTTCCCCAAATGCTCAACTACGATAGAGATAGTTTAATTTATTTGATTTATTGTAAAATATTAAAATTAAGGTTGTTTTTTTTTTTTTTTTTTTGGAAAAATTCTTGACCAAAATTTTTGAAGGGGGAAAAAGCAGTGTCCACACAGACAAGGGGGACAACTACCGTTGTTAGTTGTACTATTTGGTTTCTCGTTCTCATCCAACTACTAGCGTGTTTGCCTCCCCTGCAAGCCGTGTTTGCCCAGTTTCACCTCAGAGTCAACACTGCATCGTGACCTTTTCCCTCAAAACTTGGTGCGGGAGGGGGGGGGGGGGGGCTTAAGATATCCACCCCTACAGAGACCGCTGTGGAATCTTAAGCTTGAGGAGAGCAACCCCAAAAAAAAAAAATTCCAAGGCGAGGACTATGAAAAGTTGGTCCCATCATGAGGTCAAAGGTCAACTGTGTTTTGTATCGTGACCAACGATAGTTCACCATCTCCTTCACTATAGCCATGAAGCTTGTACTATCTTCACTATACGTATGAAGCTTGTACTACCTTCACTATAGGCATGAAACTTGTACTACCTTCACTATACGTATGAAGCTTGTACTACCTTTACTATACGTATGAAGCTTGTACTACCTTCACTATAGGCATGAAGCTTGTACTACAGCTATGGTTTAAATTGTTATACTACCAGTATGCCACATGAGGAAATTATTGTTGCTGGTTAGAGAATGTGGCGTCTCTCATCTCTCTCTTTACCACACTGTTAAATATTTCAAATATAAAGTCAACTCTTAGCTGGCCAAAGACCAAAGACTCCCATCTTTTTTCCTTGACTTGTAAGGTGGGGACTAACAGGGCTACATAATGTGGGTGAGGTATGGTGGGGGGTTACACCTTGGGCCAGTTAGGGTCACCAAGGTCAGCCCAGGTCTCAACTAAGTCATCTGACCAACAGGGCTTACGGTGAGGCTGTTTGGGCAACCAACGCCCAACTGTAGATTTTAAAAGATGACAGAAGTTGTTACAACTAAAGCATGAACTGGAATGTCTGTTGGCCTGTGTTAAAAACAAACAAGTGATGACTAGTGAGCAGTGGTTGAGCCAGCCAACTCCAGCTAATGATAGTAGTAAAGCCAGCCAACTTCAGCATTTTCTTGGATCCTCATAGACTCATTCAAGAAGAATTAGACAAAAGATAACCATCATAGTAGTAATTATTTTCTACAATTTTATTTGGTGATGCTGGTACCTATATGCTCAGTTTAAACCATTTTTACTCTTTTACTCTGGTTGGATATTGTATCTTAAATAAATATTGGCTAAAGATAGTTTTAAAAGTCTGAGTGCCTCTTTTAGATAGCTCTTGCTATTTTCAGAATGAATTGTTCCAGCTAGTAACTGACCAAGGTTTTCTCTTGCTATTTTCAGAATGAATTGTTCAAGCTAGTAACTGACCAAGGTTTTCTCTTGCTATTTTCAGAATGAATTGTTCCAGCTAGTGACTGACCAAGGTTTTTCTCTTGCTATTTTCAGAATGAATTGTTCCAGCTAGTAACTGACCAATGTTTTCTCTTGCTATTTTCAGAATGAATTGTTCCAGCTAGTGACTGACCAGGGATTCCTCACAGAAAGCAATGTTGTCTGGGAGACCCTGTCCACAGTGGATGGAGACTGCCATTTCACTGACGCCACCTTCAGGACCTACACTAAACCTGCAGCCCCAACTGACCCGATCACTGACCCATCAGTTCCTGTTGGCAGTCCAGAGCAGATAGATCAAGAGTAAGTTATCAATTGCAAACTGCCTTGTGGTCACGCCTGGACATGTTTATCTTATTATTACACTTATTGAACTTTGTTCCTATTTTTCAGTGTGGGTTTCTCATATAGATTTACACATTTTTTTTGCATTTCTTTTATGCACTCCACACAGTATTTGGTAACAATGATGTGACAAAGCTTTTCTATTAATTTTATTTTCTATCCTTAGTTTTTAAAATCTGTGGCATGGCTTTGTTATAACATGCAAGAAATTAGTAAATGCTTTAAAATCCTGGAATCTGTGTATGAATTACCTGGTACTATAAAAATGTTTTTAAAAAATTAAATTATTACTGCAAAATCTTACAAAACAATAAATTTTAAAAACTTTTTAAAAAATGAAATCTGTTTTATGGTAATTTATGTATTCATATTCCAATTTTATCTTAATTTTAATTGGTATTTTGTTTACATTGTTTTTATTAGCTCATATTTGCCCACACAGTTCTATATTTTAAAAATGAATTTTTGCCATTTGTAACCATTGGCAGCTTCTTCTTATTTCATGTCTTTTGCCTGTTTTAAAAAAAAAAGCTTACAAAAATGTTTTTAAAAGCCCTCTCCGTTTATTTTGTTTCAATGCATTCTGGTCTTTCAGTCAGAAAAGTTAGATTTTACGATAAATTTTTTTACTGTTAGGGTATGGGGTGCCATGAATACAGTGCCCTAGTGAGACAAAGATACAGTAATAGTTTTCAAGCAATTTTTATTTAATTTTGTTTTTGAAAACAAAAGTTCAATTAAACTTACAACTCCACCTAGTATAACTTTTAAATTTAAAAAAATAAGATAATGATGGAAACATATACACTTGTATGACATTAAAAAATATTTTTAATTACACCTTTTTAGGATTTGAGAACCAACTAAAATATTATAATTAACTAAGATATTAGTTTATGACACTGATTTTTTATCCTTTCATGCATAAAACAGAAACCACTATGAATATGCATGATTAGTACAAAAGCCTGTCTATTGATACTAACATCACTTCCCCCTGATTTACTGTAATGATTAGATAGTGCCTTAACTCCCTTAGTTATAGCAACACTTGCTTTTCTCCCTTTAGTTATCAGGTAGCCTTGTTTCTACAAGAAGAAGCCAGTTCATCATTAAATCCTGATTGGGGTGTTGGATTTCCTCAGGAAACTCAAGTTTATTCTCAAACTGAGTGAGTTTTAGCTTGCATTTTTGTATGTGGGGATGACCTGACATGAGATCATTCAGATGGCAGGAAATATTTAAAGATGTGTCTCATAGCATAGATTTTTTATTAAATGAAAATTGTTGATTGTGTTAGCCTTGTGGTTAATTTGAGGTGATTGTCGCATTTGGTGATGAAGTGTAATGTTAGGGGATGGTTGAAAGTAAGGGAAGCGTTAAATCTGCCATGAATTATACTATTTATGGATGGTCACAAAAATTTAACATGATTGACAATAAATTTAATAAAATTAGTTGTTAAATGTGAATACTTTAAAAAAAACACATTAAGGATTACCAAGTAAAATGTTTTAGCTAGTTAATTCAGTTTTGTTTTAGATGAAACAAACTTAAATACAAAGTAGACATTCTTTCAAATGAACTTATTCTGGCTTTAATGAAGTATTTCAAACAGTCACTTTAAAATCTTTAAGTTAAAATTATACTGATACTAATTTTAGTTGTATTTTCATATTTTTTTAATATATGATTAATTTAAAAAAAAAAATTTAATGTAGAATAATTAAATCGGTAGTGACCAACAAAATAATTATTTTGTAACTAATGATTTAAGAAATGTAATTGTACCTTAAGATATGAATTCATTTATTATCAAAACAGCTATTATACTACATTACTTCATAAGGTTTATTGATGTTTGATTCATTACGCTAAACAATCTGATTTAATGTTTTTAATTTGACATGTAATCAACATCTTACCTCAAAGACTAAAATATTTCATTTTATTTATCAAATGTATTCTAATTTATTTTTACTTGCTTTTCAAGCATGTTTTTAAGCCTGATATAGCTTGTTGTAAAACAAACTTTATTTCATTTCACCCAGCCATGATCTAGCCATGCGTCTTCAAGCAGAAGAAGACAGGAAAGCTGAACAGCACAGGCAAGCAGCGGCTGCGCAGACAGCCCAATCCCATGCTCAACAAGCAGAGGCGCAGCGGAGAAGGAGCGACCGAGGTGGTGACAGAAGAGAAAAAGATGAGAAAAGTGTAAGTATTTCAGTACTCTGTTCATTCTCATGCTTGCATTATTTAATTACAGGGCAATGAATATTTCTATTAAACTGTTATCCTTACCAATTGCAGAGCTTTTAAATTTTATGCATGTAAACTGTTATTCTAATGCTAATTTTAATGAGTCTTAACTCCCATGATTGGTTGCAAACTTAATGAATCTATACAATAACTTCAATGATGTATTTTACAGCTTAAGTCTTTATAAAGAAAACCCGCAATTTCTAAAAACTAAAATGACATCATTTTCAGTCATTTTTAACCATTATTTTTGAATAATGTATTATGATGTTATAATGGCATAATCAGGTAAATACTTGTCAGTACTGTGGCATGCTTTTCTTGACAGTCTACTAGCCACGGTTGAATAGATATGTTACTCTTAGGCCAAGATTCCATTTGATAGCAATCATGACATATTCAGAGTTGTTTAATAAGAGAAGTTCAGCTTTAAAACTTAGAAAATTAGATTAAGTAATAGATTACACATCACATTATGGACGAACAACATGAAAACCTTACTACTCTTAATATGAATTGAAAATATTTAAATAAAATAACAGTTAATATTTAAAAATTAATTTGAGTCATTGAAAGATTATTTTAGATAATATAATGCAAACAATATAAACAAAAGCATAATTGACATTTTGACTAAAGGGGTCTTAAGGATTAGTAGGTAAGCCTTGTATTTAAAGTATTTTTTAATGCATTCAGTTGAAAGTTTTTGACAAAAAATTTACATCCATTGCAGTGGTAGCTGTTGCTTTTATTGATATTGAACTGTTAAATTATGTACATTAAAAAAAAAAAATCTTAAAGAGATTGATGCCTTTACTTTTTTAAAAAATTATTTTAATTCATCTTTTTGTAAATATTATGTTTTGAAAATCATATATTTTATTTCTTAATCTTCTTACATGCAACTATCTAATTATCTTTTAAAACATTTTTCTTGGACAGAAAAAGTATGTTTACAGTATAAAATATAACTAATGTAAATTTATTATAAGGCTTTAGTTGTTATTATTCTTCATAGTTTTTATTGAATTTTTTTTACATTAAATATGTTTCCTTTAAAATGTAGCTATTTCAATTTGTTTTCACAATGTTGTAGCAATTAAAAAATGTCATGAAAATAAATCAACACACTAAATAATTCTGCTGTAAAAACAATTGTTACATTATTTGAATGAGGTGTACCTCTAATTAAGCAAATTTTGATCTGTCCACAGTGTTTGATTCTTTGACCTAATCACTGTGTTCCTGTGTGCTCCATATTGAGCTAACTGACCTGTGATCACCACCTTTGTGATAGAGCAGTCTTCACTCTCAGAGAGCAACTAAGTTGTGACTTTTTTCCCACCTTCAACAATTCAACTAGACTGTCATAGATAGAAGGAAAAGTGATTGATTTTTTTTTCTGTAATTAAACCATCTAAGCAAAAATTGCTGTGTAAATATTTTCACATGTACTTTCACCTGTTGTTTTGAAATATGGCTGAGATGTATTATGTTTATTTATCATGTGAAATATACTTTCCACTGTGAATAACTAACTTGTAAAAAAAACTTGCAAAACAATCAACCAAATATTTTTTACCCTAATGCTGCAGAACTTGTATTTGTTAAAATTCACTTGGCTTAAAATTTTAGTTCCAAGTTACACTGTTTTAGAGATGGTTAATCTGAAAAAAATGTTTTTATTGCTTATCAATTAAGTTATAAATGAAATTCTAAAACAAAATTATTCAATGAGATAACCACCATAACAACTACCTGTGATAAATTTCTTGTCACTTTTTAAAAATGATTTTCTTATGAACACAGTGGTTTTTAAATTTTTATTTACCCTCTTAAAAAAATTATTTTACTTGTGCTTGAATCTGTGTGTACAAATGTAACAAAAATATTGTTTAAATTCTCTCTAATTCAGTTCATCACCATAAAAATATTTCACCTGTTTAATGTCCATCCATATTATTTTAATTTGATTTAAATTTATGAAATTGGTACATCATTATTTTTTTCAATGCTCACCTTCCAATTCCAGAAAATTATGTGTACATTTTTTTTCCTAACATAATTACATAGAATTTTATTTATTGATTTTAAATACATTATTAGAAAATTTAATTCTTCTATGAGGAATGTATGAATGTCATTTTTACTTGTATCAAGAATTCTCTTATGCAAAAAGAAAAATGTAATTGTCTAATTTACAAAAAATGAGCTTTGTAATACCACTTAATTGTAATTAATAGCTTATTATTCAAAAGAGCTAACAATATTTTTAAAACAGATTAAAATAAATTTGCACTAGTTTTAAAAAGCTTCTTACATATATTAAAATGACATTTTTCTTTAATGTAAAATATTTTCCTCAGAATTTTTCTAAGCACTACACTTATGATACCAATAGTTTGAATTTTTTTCTTATTTGCCTTCCACTGCATATTTAATATTTAATTAATTTATTGACAATTAAAATTGCATTGTTTGTTTTCATATTCAAATAATTGATGAAATCAAAATTTGGATATTTTTATGAAGTTGTTAATTTCATTATTTTATTTAGACTAAAGAATTATCAAATATGAAGTAACTAGAAATTATATACTATTGTTAATTTGCATACATATAGGGATATGTAATAAGTTTTAAAATAAATACAATCTGGTCCCATGAACAACATGGAACCCAAACATTTAAAAAATAAAATTGGACAAACTATTCCTTAGGAAACTGAAGTGCTCATATTTGAAAAACTAATTTTTTATTAAATTAGTTGTGTGATTGTTTTCCCGCTTTAAATTCAAGAAACATGAAGTTAGATGTATTGATATTTATATTAATTAAATATAGATAGTATCAAAGAACCTTCAAAATATTTCAATTATTTAATACTTGACTATAAAAAATCTCAATAGTTGTCTATTTTGAAATTAAAGAACTTCAATTTCATCATCATATAATGAAATTTCTTTATAAATGCGGGATAATGAAAAGGATTTTTTTAAGTATTAAAAAATATTTTTTTCATGTACTAAAAAAATTAACACAGATTTTTGTGTTTAATTTTATTTCTAAGACTTATATTAGCCAAAAAATTTGCTTGTAATAATGCAGCTTTTATTAGTATATTTAAAGAAATTATATCAGTAAAATATGCATCTCTAGAAGTTTTACGTAAGAAAAATTTGGTTTCATTTTTTATGGTTAAGAATGTTTATTTATAATTGTTAAAGATCTATTTTTAAATTTAGAAATCATAATTTTAGATATTCTGTTAGTTGCAAATTTTTTTAAGTTATCATATTTCATACTTATTTAGAATAATTTTAAAATGAATTCAGATAGATAAGTATTTCTGCAATTAAAAAAAAATACTAAATGAAATTTAAGTGCTTTCTCTTCCAGAAAACAAAAACTTAAAAATTTAAAATTGGTTTTATAATGTTTAAGTTTAAAACAGTAGATGATTGTTCTAGTAATTAAAAGGTTTAAAAATTGTGTATTTTAAAAAGTGCAATTAGGTTTAAAAAAAAAGATTAGAAAACCCAAATATAAATGATGTTTTGACATAATTTCTCATCAGAACAGTTTAATGTTATCAACACCTCATCAAAATATCATTCAATAATGGCAATACTTTTGCAATCTATGTTTATTAATTATTTGTAGAACTGAGAGTGGTGAGTGGAAAAAAGAAAAGTTAATTAACATCTTCTGTCATTTTTCTGATTACAATAATACCTATAGCCAATCAAAATGAGCATAAGTGGATTAGTAGTGTAAAATAAAGTTTTGAAATAATCAAAACAGTAGATAGGTTTTTTAAAGAACATAATGAAGTTACTTTTACATCATACATTTTAATAATAATAATCACAACAAACACATATAAAAGATTGTATTTATAAATGCCAGTTTTATTATTCCAATTAGTCATGCATACATGTAATTTTTTTTATGCATGTTAATATTTGGGGCATGTACATTACTTTTAAATATTAAAGAATAACTTTGAGCATTATGAATGTTTTATTGAAAACTATCAAATGTATGTAGTTTTTATTTGTGATAGGTCACCCGCAATGTACAAATATCTATACTTGTCCTTACATTCTGCCACACTTTGTGAATAGTTCCACATTTTTCCACTAAATATATGCTGTACTACAATATTAATTATTTCCAAGGCTAAGTCATTAAAAAAAATGTCATAACTATAATTTTTGAAGATTTAAAGAGAATCTTAATAGCTAGAAAAACAACATAGTTTGAAGAAAGGTATGAAAGGAGCATGAAATTAATGGGCAAAGTTCTTTTCTGTTTAGGGCAAAAAGGGAACACTAGAAGCTATCGTAGGATATTAGTTTTGTTTTACTATTTGTATGGTTACTTTTTTTTTTTAGGTTTTACATGATTAAAGTATTTGTTTATTTTTTTTTACTGCCTCATCTAGTTACAAGTATGCCAATAAATTATTTTTATGCTATTTCAGTTAGTATATAAAAGATTTTTACAAAAAAATTTAAACTACAAACTATGAAAGTTTTCATTAAGAATTGAATCAAATTCTAATCGTTGAAAATCTTGAGGTTAAAGGTTCTTAAATGATAAAATAAATATTCTGTAATAAGAGCTTACAATTTCTGACTGTCTGCAAAATGTTTTTAAATGGCTTTTGAAAGGGGAATTTCAGTGCAAAGATTTCATAGTTATGTAGCAGATAAAGCTAACTGGAATCGTAGAAACGATAATATGTTTGACAAAACTGTGACTTAAGTACATAGAACACTCAAGTCTTAAATTATATTTAACATCATTGCGCTAATTCTGGAAACATTCATTTCAGCTTTTCATCTACTCTGATAGTTTATATATGTACATTCTTTTATCTTCACAGGTTTGTGACTATTGTATTCTTCAATAGTTACTAGATCTAGTCAGACTATCAGCACTTTCTGTAATGCATTTCATGGGAACAGCCCGTTACAACTGATTAACTAGCACATTATTGAAAAGAAAGAAAAATGTAATACATTTCTTTCCACTGTTGATAATTTTTTTTTGTACATTGATATTTGTTTTGCTAATAAGCCTCTGCAAACAAGACGACATGAATTATGAATCGCACACAACTACAGCAATAAAGCAACCTCTCAGACCCATCTATTTTTGTTTTGGAAACAGAGGGAAATGTATTTGCATTGTACTTTATGAACTAAACCTTTAAAAAACAATAAAAGAGCAATACTTCCCTTTTATTCCCCCATAACTTTTTTCTTTAATTAGTTTTTTTTTTTTTTTACTTTTAAAACTTTGAAAAATAAATTAGGCAATATCGACTACAAAAACTGTAAACAAAAATTCTTCAAGAATTTTTCAATTTCTACTTAAAAAAAGAAATATAAACAAAATAAGTTTAGCATAATTAATTGAACTATAAATTTGTTTATTGAAATGATTGAAAGAAAACTGCAACTCCAGTTTCTATTGTTTGATCAAATCCAAGAAAGCTCCTCACTTGTATATTACCACTCATGATTGCAGTCTTCCTACTTTTCTTCATCTTTTTTCCCCATGATCTACCTCTAAGTTAATAGTCTGTACAATGCTTGTTCCAATTTTTTAGTGGACAATTTTTTTTTTACATAATAAAAATGAATTATTTTGTCTTTATTACAATTACAACATAGAGTATTTTACTTTGTAACTGCTGATTTTATGAGCAAATACTGTGCTGTTTTTTCTGTATGCATAATTCATTGTACCTGTGACATCCAGTTGTAAAAAGTATTCTAATTACAATCATCTTTCAAATACTAAAAATAAAAATGTTATTTATTTGACCTGGCATAAAATCCGCAACAAATCTCGAGACCTAAATATTATTATTTTATTTCTGTAATTTAAAGTTGACATTCCCTGTGAATAATACAAAGACATTTATGTTATTGGTTGTTATAAAAAAATTTCAAACTTGCATTTTTGGTCAAGGGTAATTTTTTTTTTTTAATCTGCAATTTTTTATTTTAACGTGCATGATCAAATATTTGTTGTTTATTGATATAAGTTTTGACTTAATAAATTTAAGACAATTTTTTAAATATGTTACCATGTGGGTTAAGAGGCATTTCTCTTATTAGGTCAAGGTTTTTATTTACACTATGAAAGCAACCATCTAAGGTAAAGTTTTTTAAAAATTAAAATAAGCATAATTCTACAACCCTTATTGTTTTGCTTCTAATAAAGTCAAGATTTTTAAATATTAAGAAAATATGGTATTCACAAGTAATAAGCTCATGGTTTAATGCTTATTAGCCAGGGATATAGGCCAATACAGCTCTTAGGGGTATTTGCTGAATCAGCATATTATTACTTTATCAAAAACATAAGTATAGTTTACACCTTAACTAATGCTTGAGTCTGTCAAGGAAAGGAAAAGATGTATTATTCATGAAATCAAGAGTTTTCTAATTTTAAACTGTAGAACTTAGGAAATAGTTTAATATCTTATCTGTTGACTATTTTGTAAGCACATATTAGATTAGGTAATATGTCTACATTATAGTTGTGTTTACTTGGATACATTTGTTTGTATTATCTTTAGACAATTTTCAAAGTGAAGAAATGTGGGCCTTCTTTTTTTACACATTTTTATTCAACTGTAAACATGTGATTGATTAGAAAAAGCATGTGATACTTGACATAAGTCATCATGTGGTTCATAAAACTTGTGATGCTTTTTTCACCACTAAGGTGAATTGTTATTTGAGTTTGAACAAATTAAGTTGCGTTTTTCTCCATAGAAGCAGAAACTGTGTATAAAATTTGTTTCCTACAAAAAAATTGTAATCCTTTGAGAAACATGGCCTGAATGTTGAGAGGTTTTGATATCTTTGCACATGAATGTTATAGCTGATTTTGGTATTGATAACCTGTTTTTTTTTAATTTAAAAGTAAAACAATGGGGTTGTAAGAAGAAACTATAGCTGCCTACACTTGCCTTAATGTGTTCACTTAAAAACTAATCTAAATCATAGTGTTTTTTTTTTTCCAGTTTTTTTATTCTTCAATTATTTTAGTCCCATGTTTAAAAAAAATAGTATATACTGGTACTGTAAAAAGTAAAAATATAGACAATTTCAGTTCATATGTAATAGATGCTATATTTGAACATTGGTTATCCTATACTGACCTTTGATGTAATTTTCAAAGATATTTCAGTTGTGAAAAATTGGATTTTAAAAATAAAATCCATTATTATTAAGCTCAAGGACAAATGCAAAAAAAAAATATCCCATAAAGGGAAAATGGAAAGGTTTTTAGGCATGTTTTAAAAAACTGTTTTTTGTTTTTAAATTTTAGAAAAAAAAAATGAGATGTGCTAAGGCATCACATATGCTTGCCACCTAAAAAGAACACCACTGACTAACCTTATCTAAAATTGAAATTTTAAAATGTTTTATACTTGATGTAATCATTTCACAGTAATCTTTTTTTTTTCCTTTTAGCTAATGGTTGATATTAAAACAAGAGATTGTTAAAACTCAAATTTTCAACTTATTCCTCGCCATATTTGTATAAGTTATAATTTTTAAACATTATTCTGAATGGTTTTTAAAAGTAAATAGTTAACGCACGCTGTTATCCCAATACATTTCCTTTTAGACATTTCTAATATTTAAACAAAGATTCAACCAATAAAAAATGAATTCACTAAATTGAATTTTTTGTTACTTGATTTAATGGACTTGTCTAAGTAAACTCCAGGTCCCAACAGTGGGTAGGAAAAATCTTTGACCTAGACCTAAATAAAATCACAAATAACCCTCTATCCCTAGTATTTACATTGCTTTTCCAAGAACCACTACCCTACAAAATATGACATTAAGTACCCTACAATAAAATTTGTTTAAAAATAAAGGAATAGAATCACATCATTTTTTAAAGTTTGTAAACAACTAATTTAATGTTAAAAAGTAAAAAGTAGATCCCTTAAACTATGGAGTGTTATGCAGTCTTTTCATAACAAAAGGAACAGACTCTAAGCCATACAACCAATACTAAACTGGATCTGTGCAGGATAATTTACCAAAATAAGCAGCAGAGCAAGGAAAAACAATCTAAGAAAGAAACACTAATTGATGGTGAGTAATGGTCTACCCTGATACCAAAATGCCAGTATCTCGATGAACGACGGGGATCTTGTTTTCAAGAGAAGAGGATTTTATTTGATACAAAGGGGGGGGGGGCTTATGTAGAAGGTCTTATAGGTGGAAACTAGTTTTTTTCAGCATCTTAAAAAATGACAGGAGTCGTTTTGTCGGGCATCATTTTGCCAGACGTTAAATGAACTGGGGATATAGTTGAGAGCCGTATTAACTAATGTCGCAGTTTTTTTTTTCCCCGAACTGGTCGATTAGCGGGGCCTTTTGCTTTCGTTGTGTCACTTATCGTTTTTTAGCCTTTAAACCGGAAGCATAACTAGAGTCTAGACATTCTCTCTTGTTAAAGGAGTTAGAAAAGTAGTTGTAGTTTATCCTGTTTACATGGCAGGAAGCAGTACTCTGACAAAAAGTAGATCGTTAGGTTAATGTTAAATAAATAATAAATAAAGATAACAGCTCTGATTTTGATCTGAATTCTAGATGCTTTTTTTTCACATTTGTCTTATTTCTAATTTCTCTCCGTAAGAAATCCTAGTGGATCTAGTGAAGTGGACTTTAAGAGAGTAATTTATTTGGTACCACCCGTCCATAACTCGACTGAACTAAAAAAAAAATTTTCCAAAAAATAATTTGAATATTTGTACAATCTCTTGTCTTCAGTAGTCTTCAGCAGAGCAGTCTGCAGCTGAGACTGTTTTTCTTTACAAAGGGCGCCTGAAGTTTTTACTGCACTTATTTCTTGATTTAATGCTAGATCCACTTTATTGTGACTTTCATTAGGCTGTACTAGTCGGGTCGTCCATAAATGGCGTCACACTTGTAGGGGGGAGGGGGATCCGCAATTTTGTGGTGGGGAGGGGGGGTCAGATGGTGTGACGTCACTTTTTTGCATTATAAAAAAGCAATGTTAGAAAACGAGTTTTAGCCGTTATTTTGCATTTTAGAAAACAGTATTAATAAATTGTAATAGGAATTGATCAAAATACTCTATGGTGAGGCTAAGGTGTGATGTCATTTGGGGGGGGGGGTCTGGCTTTTTGTGACGACGTGTGGAGGGGGGAAGTAAAAATTGTCAAAAAAGTGTGACGTCATTTATGGATGACCCCTAAGTCGGATTTAGTACTAATTAGATCTAGTAGTGATTAGGCACCAACATTTTACCACAAATTAATTCAAATGAATAATTAATTGTATTTCACTTTCTATTCTAAAGACCTTACTTAAAAAATATGTAGTAGGGCATATGCCAATAATCTAAATGAGTTTTTACTCTCTTGTGACCAGCTAGTAACTAATTAGTAAAATTACTAATTACTAATGTGCTGCAAAATCTAATGACAATTTTAATCAAAAGCAAATTCTAATTAAAATCTCACACTGATTTAGGGTTTTCAATAATTATCTGTCACCTACAAAAAATTTCTGGAACTCAGTTCATGGAGATGACTGAATAGAAAAAGGAAATTTAAAAAAAATGTTAACATATGGCATGTTAACCAATAGAATTTTAAAGTAGTACAATCTTGTTTTTCATTATAGTTTCCTGTGTTCACTTGTTTGAATGATTTTCTTATCTAATTCTAATCAATCTGTTGCCTTATGACTTAGGCCTAATTATTATTATTATGTTATTATTATTAAAAATGAGTAGCCATGTGTATGCATGGGTGATCAAATTGTACTATATTGATTAATGTCTGTTAACTAGTAATTTTAGTGTCAATATCTATTCTTTATTACCTAAAAAAAGTTAATTAATGCTAATAAAAATTTACTTTGAATGCAGTATTTGCTTTACAAAAAAGTTGGGCTATTTCAATCTATTTTTAATTGTTTCAGATACAGGAATGTCCAATTACACCACTACTGGATTATAAATCAAAAAACATTTTATTACTGAGTGGATTTGATATAAAAAACACTGAAAATGATGATCCTGGCGTATTTTACTTTTGGAGGTTTATCTCTTCTTTGTTTGATCTTTCAATACTGGGCCCACAGGACTCGACGCAATGTTACAATAGGCAATAACCCGCAGTTCATTAAATTTCAAAGAGGCTACTTCGCTGTTTACCTAGTTGCTATGTTTGCTGACTGGCTGCAAGGGCCGTACCTTTACAAGCTGTACAGTTATTATGGGTTTGATGAGCAACAGATTGCTGTGTTGTATGTCTTTGGATTTGCATCATCTGTAATATTTGGTGCTTGGACCCCAATAGCTGCTGATCAGTTTGGTAGGAAAAAACTCTGCATATTTTTTACTGTTGCATATTCATTGTCCTGTCTACTAAAACTGTCGAGGAGTTACGGCATTTTACTCATTGGACGGCTGGTAGGGGGCCTAGCAACATCAGTTTTGTTTACAGCTTTTGAGGCCTGGTATATCCATGAACACCTGGAAACACATGACTTTCCTAAAGAATGGATCCCAATAACTTTTCAGAGAGCCTCAATGTGGAATGGCGTGCTTGCTGTTATGGCTGGAGTTACTACCAATATTTTCTCTGAGTGGATCGGACTAGGGCCAGTGGCTCCCTACATGATGGCCGTCCCATTCTTAATCTTTGTTGGGGTTATTATTTCAACACATTGGAATGAAAACTACTCCATGCATAAAATAAAATTTGGGCATCTGTGTTATGATGGTTTGAGGGATATCATCACCAACAAGCGTATTTTTATGATAGGAGCAATAGAATCTTTATTCGAGAGTGTGGTGTATATTGTGATATTTCTGTGGACACCTATTTTAGAACAAGGGAAACCATCCCTGGGGATTATTTTCTCCTGTTTCATGGTTTGCATTCTCATTGGACAAGCCATGTTCCAGATTTTATCTTCCAAAGGCATACCAGTCATCAAGATTTTATTATTTGTAGTCATACTGTCCATTATCTCTATTCTAACATGTGTGTATTCAACCCACCCAAGAACGCGGCACCTAAATGCATCCCTGGTTGCCTTCCTGGTGTTCCAGTTTTGTGTTGGTATGTACTTTCCCGCCATGAGTGTTTTGCGGATGCGGGTTATACCCGATGCGCACCGTTACGCAATAATGAACTGGTTCCGAGTGCCATTGAACTTGATTTCGTGTGCTGTTTTGATGCTTCTTCACGAAGATGTTTTCCTGCATGGAAATCACCTGATTTTTGTGGTGTGTGTTGGTCTCCTGGCGCTTATGTTGCTGGCAACAATCAGGTTCATCCGACTGCCACTGAGTCAAGAGGAAACAGATGAAGAGGTTGGGGGTATGACAAAATTAATGATGGAAGCTGAACACATTCATAATATCTTTTAAATCATGGTGTGATCTACACTGGCATAGACATTTAGGATGGAGAATTAAATATGTAAAGTTCATGCAAATGTAATTTTATCAAAAGCAATTAGATCTATATTTTAAATGGTTGAAAATAATGTAATACGTGCTTTTTTATTTTTAAAATCTTGTTCCCATATGAGACCCTAATGGTAATTAAATTATTTGCATTTTATACTGTACAGTTTATTTATTTTTATTGTAAGTGTTTGCTGATGTAATTCAATAATCAAGCTTTGAATATTCACCTAAATTGCTTCAAATAGCATACTTTTCAAAATGTATTTAAATTTTGAAATCTTATGGGAATTTTTTTCTTGTATTACCATGCTCAATATGTTTGAATTTGAAAAAAAAAATTATTAAGGAGTTTTAATCAAGATTGTTACCAGTACATTCCCTTTACTCTAAATCAGTTCTATATAAATTAACTTTATTTTTTAAAAATGACCTATGAGTGGATAGGAGTATGAATATAATTTCCTTTATATGTTGAGGCCAAATGGATCGCTGGGTCTAAAGAGTTATCTTTTACAAGAATTAGGTTGAACAACATGTTAATCAACATTCTAACAACCTCTTTCTAAAGCTTTATGAAAAGTTTTTTTTTTTCTGTTGATAATACACTATTCTTAAAAAAATAATAACCTGTGGAGATAATTGATAATTACATGTTGCTTTAAAAACTTTCATTAAATTATACTTGAATACTGCCAGTCTCAGTTATTAAATATTTTATTAAAGCTGTTAATGTTAAATCTCACATTATAACTTACTTATTTTGTTTCTGCTAATAATTTTCATACATAAATCTTGCCATTCACCCACTTAAAAACTAGCATATAGTAGAGAAAAGCAACAATTATGTTTTTTTCTATTCTGTGTGAAGTTAATTTTGTACGTGTTTATTTTTTACATTTTTTTCTAACCTACCCGGTACAAAAATTTGACTTCCAAATTGAGAGGTGTTGACGATTCTGTGATGTTTTTATATTTGATGAAGTTGTTTACATGTGTACAGTGTTTGGGGAGAAGCAGCCTTTATTATTATTGTGTAAATAGCACACTTTAACACTGGAGTTTGTTGACAAACTTGATTCTATCCATTTTCATCTTCTAGTTCTTGTTTCTCTTTAGTTTTGAAGTTTGTAATCAAACTATCACTAACACTGATCAAACACATTATCTTTAGTTTTCTTTATTGTTACTTTTGAAACTATCATTACAGTATAAATAAAAAAATTAAAGAATTACTAACTTAAATAATTTTAACTATTATGTTATGATTGAACGTTAATAATCAAGTAAATATTTTCATTTGATTGCTATACTAAGTGTATATTAATGTTGGTTGTTCTATATATCCTAATTTTAGGGTACTGTTCTGCACTATATTAATGGTATTTGATTGAAGAATTTTGCTAAATTGTACTTGAAACAGATGAAAGATCTTGGATATTTTTTTTAACAGTGTGTGGGTATTTTTTTTTCTGAGCAAGTCATGTTATGAAAGTTTATATGAGACGTAAGAAGCAGCTGTTTCAGGAAATTTTATTTTGTTTGTTTCTGTATATACACCATCAACTTGCAACTACCATAGCATCTAATTTATTTGCTTCACATCTCAATATTAGTCCACATTATAAGAGAGCATGTATTTTAGTGTGTACAGATTGAAATAATCAGTATTGGTTTTTAATTGTGCGTAGCAATTCATCTCTGTATTAAATGTTAAAAATATATACTAAGATACAGATAGTTGTAATACCAAGCAAATCTGTATTTATTAAATGGTAGAACTCCAAAGAAAAACATTAGCTATTTATCCTACGCAAGATTTTTTTTCGAGATGCAACTGAATTGTGTGAAAGATGTTTGTTTGATCAGGACAGTTTTATTTCATTCTTTTAAAGTCCTAAGAATTTTTGTATTACCTGATTACCCTATTTATATCATTGTTATTTGTGGGAGAAAATGTGAATTGTAATATTAACTTGTGGATTTATTTTTAAAGGGAAACACTATGGGTGTTTTAAATTACAGTTTTTGTCTTTTTTTCTTGTGTTTGTGCCAATAGCTTAAACAGTGTATTCAAACTGTTAACAGACTTAGTTTTCAAGAAATTTTCTTTTAAAGTTGTTGATTAACAAGTATCCAAAAAAAAAAGAAACTCATTACTTAAACCAGTATATAGTTAAGGATTTTAACTAAAAATCAACAGCAATTTGCTGATTAACTGAGAAAATTCAGACTACATGATTAAATCAAAAGTATTGGTCAATTGCTGTGCTATTTTACTAATGAAAACCACATAAAACATACTGCTGACAAACAAAATGATAAATACAACCCTTTCCAGTTGGAAGCAACATTTATTAGCACAGTAAAATAATCAGACAGGGGGCAATAACCTAGTGTACTGAGAGCTAATCCAACCTTGACTAAAATAAATTTTTATGTAAGACAAGAAAGATTAAAGGAATGTACAACACAGTATTTTTTAGAGAAGTGCAAGTCCAGTACAAAAATATCAGATAGCCTTTAACAGAAAATATTGCTTCACAACTTAAGAACATTTTTATTTTTTTTAAATATTCATAAACATGCGTAAAGAGCTACATCTAAATTGGTATGGATTTTAATCATGAAATAATGAGACCAAAATATACATGTAGAAGCATGAGACCTTTGTAAACAGTTTTGGAGCTGTTTAAAAAATTTAAAAGTGCAGAAAGGTTTAGCTGTAGTTACAATATTTGAATGTTGTGTTTGATTAGCTTAAGTTGAACTTTGCTTAGGGTTAAAATCTCATTTGTTTAAAACAATTAAAACATGTTTGCGCAGTTTGAAGCTGGGTTTTCATACTTTTTTTTTCATTTACTACAGAAATGTTATCAAAAATTTTTTTTAGAATAAAATATTAGCAAAAAAAAAAACTTTATATAAAGCTAAACAATTCAAGTGTAATAAATGTTATTAAATATATTTTAAATAAATTTATAAATTCATTTATAGTTACTTAACTACAAATAACTAAAATTAAATGTAGAAAATTACATTTAACCTTTTTTTGTTGATACACCAAAGAAAACTGGATAAAATAGCTCTTAAAAAGTAGTTACATTAATATGACACAATGCAACTGTATTCACAATTAGCCACAAACACTTAAAATTGGCACACAAAAAACCTGGTTTTAAATGTTGAACTAAAATGTCCACTCAGTCCACACAAATAATTTAAAAAGTTATCCCCTCAAAACCACACCACAAAACAATCCATATTTTTCTTGTATATGAGATTGTCACATGTGAAAAACTGTTGACTAAGCTTTTGTTTTATTTTAGCTTCTAAAGATCACACAACCCATTCAGCATAATACCTACTATGGCTCACTCAGTACTAGTAGCTTCCCTTAGCTCATTGGCTAGTTATCCCACAGCCATACTAAGTCTGATGTTAAAAGTGACATACATCACCACACAATATCTTGAGCAGTTATCTACAGTTGTATTTTTTCACTAACTCCAAATACACCATATGAGAAATGTATAAGTAAAACAGTAAGTATAAAAGTAAATAAAAAAAACTACCTAAGATCTCAACACTTTGTTCTTAACTGGAGGACTAACAAGTATTATGCATAGGTTATTTGTGTGATGATTAACCTACGAGTAGCTTTCTGTGCACCAAGATCAGCCATACAAATGTATATCGATTTCAGTAAAATTAAATGTGGCATTTAATAACCAAGTTGATTGGAATAAAAATAAATACCTCGTCCTACGCTTAAAAAAAAACTGAGCAAGTTATTTTCAAACAAAACATCCATACTTGTACAAATAATCTATGCTACCTGCATGCTTTTTATAATTCAAACTATTTGTTAAAAACTAAAGTTCCTTAACTCAAACTTTCAACTTGCACTCCACAGCAACATAATTTATGTAACGATAAATTAATTAAAACAGTTTCTTGAGAAAAAAAAATGCTGCAATGTCATTATCTCCATGACATTAGTTACAAGATGCTGACTGCAAAGGAAATGAAATTGTTTTTTGTTGTTTTTTTTTTTTACTGATTACGAAGTGCACATGAACAAAGAGCAGTGAGAAACACAATGTTACAGGTAGTTCTCAAAAAATTTGAAGCAGACTTTCTCTAACCCAACACCGCCCATCAAGTTCTGCAGTAAAAAAAAAATTATTATTACCTATTGCATCTCCTCAAGATGACCCCCAGGTGCTTACACATCCATACTCATTCAGGCTGTTTCCTGTACCCACCCGCCCCTCCCCAAATGAAACATTCTTTAGCAAGCAACACTACACAAAGCACTAGGGAAGAGAAAATGGCAGCAGCTGATGGATGAATTAGTTCTGAGATTTTTAACAGCTGATCCCCTTGGTCTACCAGAAGCCTGTAGATTTGCCTCCAGGTGGGTTGGACACCTTTGTTCCAGGTCTCTTGGGCTGGTTCTCATCATATTGGTGACCTGGAAATAGTTGAGGTCCTGATGTAAGAGGTTTCATAATCAATAACATGGATGTATAAGGTGAGGAAAACCATGCACAAATGGTAACTAAAAGCTTGGGTACAAGGACATGATTACACTCTTTAAGGATTTGTTAAAATCCTGGCTAAAAGATTAGGTTTAGTCAGACTGATGGTACTGAGTTAGCTAGCTTTGACATGATCCATGCAGAAATGAAAGAACTCTACTTGATTGGGTTCTTTACAATTAACTATCATAATGGTGAACATGTAAGTATGAATTATATAAAAAGTAAATTAAACATGTAAAAAAAGCTAACAAATATCCCATAAACTAGTAAAAAAAAATATTGATATTGATCATCTATGACTAATATTGTGCAAGCTTTTTTTAAGTATCAACTGATTCAACTGGGACTAATATTTAAATATTTGAAGTTTATTCCCACACAACAGATCAATGCCTACCACTTAGGGAGAAAGATGAGTCCTGCATGTTGCGCACACCGCCCCGTGTGGGTGGGCGACTGTGAAATTCATTAGCGTGGTCAGGTATGATGGGGTTGTCTGATCTCTTGTGTAAGACTGGCATATCCTCTTCCTTGATCTCTACTACTGGTCCTGTGTAAGGTTCTCTCTCAACTATTTGAGGTTGTCGGATCTGCAGAGAGAAGTTTTAAATCTTAGCTTTTTTACACAGAACAGATAGAAAGATCACCACAAATGGAAACTGCTTTACTTTAATATTACAAGAATTTAGCTTAGGAAACAACCATTATACATTTTAAAATATAAATAGTAAATTAATGAATTACATTTTTATGTAATTTCTTTTTTAAAAAAACATTATTTAAATGATTGATGATAAGAAAGCCTTATGTAAATTGAAAAATAATCCCATGTGAAAGTTGTAAAATACCAATTAAGTAATTAACTACTAGCCTTTAGTTTCAATCATTTTATACTAATAACAATAACTAAACATTTTAATGACAACTATTGAAATACAGAACAGTACACTAATAAAACTTAAGATTTTAAAAAACCTAATACATTGGGTCACTTTTTAACCGTGTTCCTTTTCTTTTTATAATTAAATTAGGTCTGTTGTTTTTCTAAAATTAGCACACAGAGGATATGATTCTATAAAGCAAATTTTTTTACCTTATCTCTGGTGCCAACACGTCCAAACACACACTGGGAATTAACTGGAGTTGGTACAAATCTACCCAGTCCTTGTGTCACTTTCAGCTGGAAATAAAATTAATCACATTTTTAAAAAGCACTATTTAACCAAGTTAGTATGTAAGAGTAGCTCGAAATAAAACTGTGAATGACGTTTTCTATCTGAACAGATTAGCCAACAAACAAGATAAGAAATACACCCTGAACAGATCAGCCAACAAACAAGATAACAAATGCGCCCTGTACAGATTAGCCAATGTTAAGATAACAAATGCGTCCTGAAAAGATTAGCCAATGTTAAGATAACAAATGCGTCCTGAACAGATTAGCCAATGTTAAAATAACAAATGCGTCCTGAACAGATTAGCCAATGTTAAGATAACAAATGCACCCTGAACAGATCAGCCAATAAACACATTAACATTTGTACCCTGAACAGATTAGCCAACAAACAAGATAACAAAAGCAACATGAACAGATTAGCCAACAAACAAGATAACAAAAGCAACATGAACAGATTAGCCAACAAACAAGATAACAAAAGCAACATGAACAGATTAGCCAATGTTAAGATAACAAATGCACCCTGAACAGATCAGCCAATAAACACATTAACATTTGTACCCTGAACAGATTAGCCAACAAACAAGATAACAAATGCACCCTGAACAGATTAGTCAACAAACAAGATAACTAATGCACCTGAACAGATTAACCAACAAACAAGATAACAAACATACCGTGGACAGATTAGTCAACAAAACAAACGTACCTGTCCCTCATCCATGACGATGCTGCCTCCAGTGATAACATACTCTGGGACACCATGGCAGGTCATGCCCTCAAAGATGTTAAAATCAACAGCCTGGTGGTGTGTCTTGGCACTGATGGTGCGGGTGGCTTCACCATTCCAGATGACAATATCTGCATCAGAGCCAACAGCTATTCTACCCTGGTAAACAGAAGGTGACAACAATTAAGGTTAGATAATTAAGTTCATGATTAAAAATTAGGATAATAAAAATTAGGTGCTCAAAATGATATTTAAAAAAAGGGGGGGGGGTTTAAAATAACAAATAGATCTTATTGTATAAATGAAACAAGCTTAAGGATAAAAAAATGATGGAAATTTGTAAAGATAGGAATAATACAATTTATAAATAATATATTTTAGCACATTTTGTTTACCTTTTTGGGATAAATGTTAAAAACTTTGGCAGCTGTGGAACTTGTAACAGCAACAAATCTGCAAGGGTCCATCTTGCCAGAATACTAAATTAAAAACAGGAAACATTAAAATTAACTCATTTAGAAAATGAAACATTTAAATAAAAAGACAAAATACAGATGAACTTCAAGTTACTAAATTATTCTTTAATGAGATAAATGGCCCATTGAGGGAGAGATACAACGGGCACTAGGTTGATAGTGTTGTCTCTTTTCTCTACACCAAAACTAAAGTCACCACCTCAACTTCAAACTTAACCGAAAATGAAAAATCACATTGAAAATGGACAGCCAACACACAGCGAAAGCATTCCCAACAGATAGATAGACAGACAGACAACAAAACTATTATTATAGATGAAGTAATAGCAGCAATAGCATTAAAAAAACTTGTATCTATCATTTTTTGATAAAAAATCTATATCTAATTAAAAAATTAAAAGTATTTTTTTTTTAAAATAGATTTGACAAGGTGGTAATTATGTCAAGCTTTTTTCAATTTTTAAATATTCATGCTATATTTTATTAAAACAGACCTTTTTGAAGGAATTGTAAAATAAAATGGTAAAAAAAAAGGACACTAACCACTCCTTTCTCCCAAAGGATGGACATCCTGTCTTCCACACCATTGACACCATTTGGAATCCTGGTGAAGTTGTCCTTGCCAATAGCCTTTTGGTCAGCATTGAATGTACAGTTGTCAGTTCCAGTCAACTGGAGGTCATTGCTGATGGCATTTTAAAATAATCACATTATTATGTATGTAAATCAGGTAGATTTTTAAAATATATAAAAACTGAACAAGAAATATTTTGAAAACAAAATAATAAACAACTTACTACAGTTTGAACCTTGCTAAATAATTAATTTCTACTTTTTTTATGTTCTTTAGCTTACTAAAAGAATTTATAATTTATTTATTTAATCCACAAGTTTTAGCATTCAACATTTATTTTTTTATTTTTTATTTATTAAGACTTTTTTTTTTAACACTAGGATTTAGTCAATTTAAAAAAACCAACTTGGCAAGTAAGTCCATGAGGTAGCCAGGTGTAGTGGGATCTGCTCTAAGTGGTGGTGCCATGACGTGGCCTGCAGCATGGCGCCAGCACTTGTTGAACTGATGTGTTCCATCAGTTCCAAGACTAGCAGCAATGGGCTCTCCAAATACAATCTTTCCTGGAGGGTAAACAGAAGGTTATTCATTATTATACATCATTAACAGTTATTTATTACATAAGGTTTTTTAAAAAAAGTTTTAAAGAACAATTATTTGTAAAAAAAACTTTAAAAAAAATTATTCTCGAATGTAATTTTTCTAAGTTTTTATGCCTTTTTTAATCTTGTTTTAAAGGGTACATGCTTTTACAAGCTTGTATTCATTTTTATAAAGTTTAATTATTTTACATTATCAAAAGTATTTGCAATATTACTATTATTAAATCTGTAATATTTAAAAAAATGACACTACAGTTGAAATACAGTGAGATCTTTACAATTAATTGGGATTAGTTAAAATAAAAGAGGATATAGTTCATTATTTAGAGTTGATAATAGACTGAATCACTTACCTTCTCTCCTAGCTTTAGAGATGATATTAGCAGCAGCTTTGCTCATGACATGGACAACATAGAGTGGTGCCCCTGCTTGATCAGCAATAGTTATGGCCCTGCTTGTGGCCTCCTCTTCAACCTACATTAGAAATGACAAGAAAATTAGGCATTTTAAAACAAACAAGAAAAAAAGCCATAAAACATATTTAATAATGTACTGTTATGAACTGATGTTAACCACACAACATTGTCAAGAGTTAGAGCGTTCGAGTGCTACCAGAAGGTCTCGAGTTCAGATCTTGGTCCAGACCCAAGACTACAGGGTGTCCCTGAGTCCACCCAGCTCTGAAGGGTACTTGAAGAGTACATTAGAGAAAGTACTAATATACTGCTGACCACACCATCCCTTCTTATGCTGAGGGCAAGAAAAATAATGAATTTTACTTCTTCTGCCCTGTGAATCACTAGGTCAAAAAGGGGAACTTTACTGTATTTAGAGAACAGCCCATGTTACTATTAGAATCTAGCCAGTGGTCAGAGAGTATCAGAGTCACAAGAACTCAAGGCAGTCATGACAACAATATTTTGTCAAGACAGACAATAACTATTAATATCTGACATCTCATTACTATAAGTTGTTTCAACAAATTATGAGGTGCGAAAAGCTATTTCTAAAAAGAGAGGTAATTCCTAAGCAACACAATAAATTAAAATTAAATATATTTTACCTCTTCTGGGCGTGACTGCAAATGACCCTCAGGCCCATACACTCCATGTTGTAACATTTCTTGAGATTTCTAGGTACATAAAAATATATGTTAAAATACAGCCTTGCTTTTAACTAGTTTGGTTATTTAAAATCTATTTACATTTTTACTAAGGTATAGTTTGTGACTAACAACAGCAATAAGAAGAATGAATACTTTTATTAAACTATAACTATTGATTAGCAGTAACAGTAATATGATCTCAAATATTTATTTCACAGTACATATAGTGACATACAATAGCATTAAGAACAACCATTTTTATTAAACTTTAACTATTGATCACATACATTTATATAAAAGCATAATTATTCACTTATAATAGCAATAAAATTATCACACACATTTACCTAGCTGTAAAATTAATGACTAACAATGGTGATCAGATGACCACATACATTCATATTATGTTATCAATGATTTACAATGGCAATCAGATGCCCATTAAAGTAAAATTAATGACTTACAATGGCAATCAGATGCCCATTAAAGTAAAATTAATGACTTACAATGGCAATCAGATGACCACATACAATCGTATTAAAGTAAAATTAATGACTTACAATGGCAATCAAATGCCCATTAAAGTAAAATTAATGACTTACAATGGCAATCAGATGACCATTCTCAGCATGGACCATAGGGAGGGCTTTCAGATCCTTACAACGCTTGAAACAGTTATAAATCTCATCGTCCTCAAGCATCATTGTATCTTTGTAGGCCATGAACACTTTGAACGAGTTGATTCCTGTGTGGGTGGGTAAAAGAAATACTTGTTCATGTAAAGTCTGTATGAATATTGCAATGTGATTATAACTTGCAGTCACTAAATTACATTAAGAAATAGAGGTCTTTTTTTTAAAGGAGAAGAATAAATGCTAACTGTTGAATTTTTAAAGCGTAAAAAAGTTCAATGGGTGACACTATTCCTGTTTGACTATCTAGTGCATACATCTCTTCACCCTGAAATATTATGGTTCTATGACATGACATTCTGGTTGCTAGTGGGACAGTCATGACATTATGGGTGCTAGAATAAGATAGCACTGACAACCAAGGTGCTAGAGTGATAGCACTGACAACCAGGTTGCTAGTGATAGCAGTGCCAACCTGGGTGCTAGAGTGATAACATTGACAACCTGGGTGCTAGAGTGATAACATTGACAACCTGGGTGCTAGAGTGATAACATTGACAACCTGGGTGCTAGAGTGATAGCACTGCCAACCTGGGTGCTAGAGTGATAACATTGACAACCTGGGTGCTAGAGTGATAGCACTGACAACCTGGGTGCTACAGTGATGGCACTGCCAACCTGGGTGCTACAGTGATGGCACTGCCAACCTGGGTGCTAGAGTGATAGCACTGACAACCTGGGTGCTAGAGTGATAGCACTGACAACCAGGGTGCTTTAGTGATGGCACTGACAACCAGGGTGCTTTAGTGATGGCACTGACAACCAGGGTGCTAGAGTGATAGCACTGACAACCTGGGTGCTAGAGTGATAGCATTGACAACCTGGGTGCTAGAGTGATGGCACTGACAACATTGCTTGTATTACCTTTCTCAGAGGTGAGGATCTCCATCTCCTTGGCAACCTGATCGCTCCACCAGGTGACAGCCATATGTAGGCCGTAGTCACAACAGACTTTGGCGTCTGCCCACCCCCTCCACTTCTCATAGGCGTCAAGAAGTGATTCTCCTTTCTGTGGTATAACGAAGTCAACTATTGGACAGGAAAAAAAAATTATTTTGTTATTATTTGTAGATACAAATTTTTTTTAAAAGGTTGTGGCAAAATCTTTCAAATCTGAATATAAAAACAACTGTTATTTTTACTTAACAGTAGTTTGTACTTTTGTTTCTTGTATGGATATTAAAGTACTGTTTCGAGGTTTGTTTTGAGGTGGAATCTCAATAGAATACTGATAGTTAGGTCTGGGGATAGGGTAACAGTACTAGTTGAAAATAGCTTAGGTAAGGTAACTTTCCTGGTATTTTTACCACACACCACATTTCAAAACTATTTGATGTAAGTGTGAGTGTGAGGCTTGCCTAAAATTAGCAACCACTTGAAGTCATAAAAATTTAGGAATTTTAATTATCACTAAAAAAAATGCATGGTTGCTACTTAGTTAAACTATAAATAATATAAAAAAAAAAAAAAAAACAACTCCATATTTACAGTTCTATAAACCTACCAGCTGGGTGAGGTATGCTAATGTAAACCTACTGATCATGGTGGTGCATGACAGAAGACATGTCTTAAGTTAAAAACCTACCAACTCAGTGTACTATGCTACTATAAACCCACTGAGTGTACTATGCTTATGCAAGCCTACAGAGAGTACTATGTTAATGTAAACCTACCATATGAGTGAGGTATGCTAATGTAAACCTACCATATGAGCGAGGTATGCTAATGTAAACTTACTGAGGGCACTATGTTAATGTAAACCTACCAGCTGAGTGAGGTATGCTAATATAAACCTACTGAGTGCACTATGCTAAAGTAAACCTACCAATGGAGTGCACTGTGCTTGTGTAAACCTACAAAGTGTACTATATTAATGTAAACCTACCAACGGAGTGCACTATGCTAATGTAAACCTACCAGCTGAGTGAGGTATGCTAATATAAACCTACTGAGTGTACTATATAAACCTACTGAGTGTACTGTGCTTATGTAAACCTACTGAGTGTACTATGCTAATGTAAACCTACTGAATGTATTATGCTAATGTAAACCTACTCAGTGTACTATGTAAACCTACTGAGTGTACTATGCTAATGTAAACCTACTGAGTGTACTATGGAAACCTACTGAGTGTACTATGCTAATGTAAACCTACTGAGTGTGCTATATAAACCTACTGAGTGTACTATATAAACCTACTGATCATGGTGGTGCCCCCAGCCAGAGCTGCTTTGGTTCCACTGTAGAAGTCATCAACAGACACCGTCCCCATAAAAGGCAACTGGAAGTGGGTGTGTGTGTCAATACCACCTTAAAAAAAACATGTCAGGTTTATTTGCTAGTTATATTTTAATTAGTAACAAAAACTATTAACATTTACAGCTTGTGTAATAATACACAGATGTTCTTATGTGCCATAGGAAAAATTCTTCCATACCTGGAATGACAAATTTTCCCCGAGCATCAATTGTTCTGGCACCTCCTGGGATGACCAGGTTGCTTCCAACTTGTCTGTAAATAATTCAGATTAATTCATGACAAGTATATATAAATAAGGTACTGGGTGGTCGAATGGTAGAGCATTCAGCTGCGTACCCGAAAGTCTATGAGTTTGGATCCTAAGTCCACCCAGCTCTGATGGGTACCTGACTCACATTAATGAAAGTAAAGTCGGCTGGGGATAGTGCTGACCATACTATCCCTTCAAACCTGAGGTGAGTGAAACAGGGGAACTCTACTTCATCTGTCCCAAGTACCATTAGTTTCAAAGGGTAATTTTTATATATAAGTAAGTAAAAGTGGATGATTCAATGTTTATAAAGACAGAGCTTAAACAAACCTGTGTATTAAAAATTACAGATGACTACTACAGCTAAATATAAACAAAGCATTGAGTCTCACTCTTGAAATTGCTTTACACAAATTTAACATAACAAGACCAAGTCACTTAAGTTCAAATAAAATAAATTTTAAAAATACATAAAGTAAACTTACTTAATGATTCCATCCTCTATATAAATATCAGCATGGAAAGACTGGTCATCATTTACAATTGTGCCATTTTTAATGAAGATGCGAGATTGCGCACTCTAAAATAGGAAGAAAAAAAATAAAATTATATTAAAATTTTGTTGATAGTTATCACACAAATGGGTTCAGAAATATGTTGTATATAAAGTGGATATTTTTAACTATTGGCAGATAGGAGCTTGATAAAGAAATGTCCAAGACAACATAAGCCAGTCTTCCCTTGTGTATTTAACCAGCCTTGCCTGATAAGAAAGAGCTCAATTATTTTTGGACCATGTCCAAATCAGGTTAGAAGCTTCAACAAATGTCATGCCCTTGTAATTGTGTTTTGTTCTGCCTTGTAATGTTCTATAATTTCATACAAGACTTTATTGTGACATTATTTTTCAGTGTGAAATGTACAAGATAAACATAACTTTATTGCTACAGGTGCACAGAGTTTTTAAATTTGCTATGGAGAATCTAATCATCAATATAGCAATAAAAACTGAGTAGCTGATAGGGTTAAAAGATGGTGTATTTTTTTCACTAAATACATTTAAAATTTGAGACATGCATCATAGATGAGAGTCATACAGCTAAGGCACAGAGATTTGCAGACACACCATAGACTAGACACAAACATTTACAGACACACTATAAATAAGACAAACATTTGCACACTATAGATCAGACACACACATTTGATGACACACTATAGATCAGACACACTATAGATCAGACACACTATAGATCAGACACACCATAGATCAGACACACCATAGATCAGACACACTATAGATCAGACACACCATAGATCAGACACACCATAGATCAGACACACCATAGATCAGACACACTATAGATCACACACACTATACATCAGACACACTATACATCAGACACACCATAGATCAGACACACACATTTGCAGACACACTATAGATCACACACACTATAGATCAGAAATACCATAGATCACACACACCATAGATCAGAAACACCATAGATCAGACACAGAGCAACACCTGCCACTAGAGACTAGAGACACCACCAATAGACTCAATTAGCCAGGTTTTATTGACCACAAATGGCTATTACCATAAAGCAACTCCCTCCCCCCCTAGGGACATTAAAAAAGATAGCTTAAGCTAGAAGAAAAACAGTTTTCACATTGGCCAAGTGTACAAAAGGCTTGAACACATCATTGTCTGGGTTTAGGTTAGGGTGACCCAAGTGTGGGGGAGTTTTAAGACAGGGTACAGGATGAGGTGGGTGCATGCTTTAGTCTGGGCATGTACAAGTTTAAATGTATTATGGTCTGAGTATATGGTGGCCTTAGGGTAGTAGTAAGAAAGTGTACTGCTATAGTGACATGGTATGGAGATGTGTGTGTATTGCTATGGTTTACATAAATGGTTATAAGTGGTATGGTCTAAGCACATAAACTAAGGATATATGGCTTCATAAAATTAATTATAGGTGGTATGGTCTGGTAGGATAAAGAGGTGTGGCTGCAGCCCTTTGCTCCCCAGGGGCCACTAAAGAATAATGAGTAGGCCTACATCATTTGCGTAGCCTAAGCATATATGGCTTTATAAAAGGTTTAAGCAAAATACTTTTTATGAAAAGATGATAAAAGGGTATTAATAGATTACGCTTTTGTGTGTGTGTAATCAATACAATACCTGTATGATTAAATATAATTGAATAACAGCACAGATGTTTAGATTACTAAAATTAATTAATTAATTAATTTTTATTTCTATTGAAAACATGTGAGGCAGTATGCAAGAAAAGCAAGTCATCGAAATACATAATTTAATTGTCAAGTAGGTACCAGTTTAATCCATGAACAAAGTGTGTTTGGAATACATTCAGGTTTATTTTACATATTTTTTTACGTGTGAGTCATTGAACAGTTACTCTCATCTATGAGGACAAGAAAAGGGGGGAGGGGGCGGGGTGGTACACACACACAGTATCCCCTTCCCTTGTATTTGTCTAATGGGGACTTTTCTTAACCAGGTCGGGAATTAGAGGCTAATATCTGGCAGTGCCGTGCAAAGAAAATAAACACGGGACGGGGAAAAGCATGTAAATGTCAAAGATGCCGGCGAGGGTTGGACGAGCCGGCTAAAGATGTTAATGTCAGGGCAACTTCCGGCTCGTCACTTTTGGAGATGACGTAAATTGTCGAGAGGCGGGAACGTGAGAAAAGAAAATAGATTTAGAAACCATGGTAACTAATGACTCAAAGAGGATGCAATATAGACCATTTAGGCATTTGTTTGTTTATTTTTCTCGATGTTATTCAGCTTCTAGATAACACTACAGCTCTTTGAACATTAACTGTTCAGACTTCTGCAAAAAAAAAAAAACTGACGTCATCAAAAGAAGTCTATATATAGGCATGTTTTCTGCGGCCTATTTGTTTTGTAAATCTGCAAACAGTAGCTTCATTTCCGTAACAGTGGAGCTTGCTGTAACAGTTGGTGAAGAAATATTATATGCATGTCACATCACGTTCATATGCTGACACGCGACACACAAATTTATTATTTTGTGATTAGAAAAGCATGACCGGCTTGGTCCGAAACACGAAACAAATAAAAGGGCTAAAACAGCTTTAGAAAGATGAAACTTTAAAGCTGGTAGGTGCATACCAACACAAGGGTGAAGGTTCTTTTAAAAATAGAATTATTTAAACGTTGGTTTAAGGGAGCGAAGAACTACACACTTCACGAATTAATTAAACGTAAAGGGGTGGGAAGGGGGGGGGGGGGGGAAGAGTAGAGTCACGCGCCGAGAGCTCACCAGCAGTTGAGCAGTACAAAGTACTCGATAACTAGCACGTCAGGTGAATGACTCATCATCTCTTCACAAACAATACAACTTGGATCAGAAAAATCTTTCTTTGATCTCATAACACAGGCCAAACATACTTTAAGAAATGGTAATATATATTTACAGAATAAAATTAATGGCTAGCCAGCGTGCAAAAGTTAGGTCTGTGAAACTATAAACAGTATAGTCATCTTTAAGAATTGTATGAAAAGACGATTATTTCTTTCATTTTAGGGACTAATATAATTTTATAAAGAGGAAAAGGACAAGCCTAACAACACTTTTTACTTTAAGAAGTCTGAAAAGCAAAACCGGACGCAGTAGGAAATTTTAATTAACCGGTGTACATAATTTAAAGAACCCCATTTTAAAAAGGCTCACCTGTCTGTGTTCTGTCATGTCTGAAATTCTTGAAATCAACAAGTAACACGCAGACGACAGCTACGTCACTGGCAATAAACGTCTCTTTTTTTTTCTCTCTCTTTCTCTCTCACAAATATTTGTTTCCTTTGTTATTCAGGAGCCAAGTTCAACTTTTTAAAAAAATAAAAATCTCCGTGCTACCTAATAGTAAAACGATGGACTAATGGCACGCGAAACGACCAGACAGACAGAAGCAGACATGTGTGTGACCCTAGCAAGACCAGACGCCACAGTGGTGCTCAGAAGGGAGAGCACACGCGGGTCGATACCGTGCCGTTTCATGAAGAGACGAATCGATATAAGGTACAACGTGGAAGGGAGACAAGGCGGCTTAGGTCAACCTAATACATGACAAAGTTAGGAATTCTTCCAGTAATCGATCGACTAAATTAAAAAAAAATTCCAGACAAAGCAATTTGCACAAGAGACTAACTTATTAATATTTATAAAACTAAGAGAATACTATAATTAAAAACAATACAAAATATAGCAATGCGGAACATGGCTAGGCTTAAAAGGCGGCTAATATTCCTTCAAAAGCGTGTTATTTTTTCTATTAGCCCACCCCCCGTCTCGAGTTTATACTCGGCGATACGCCTCATACGTAGGTGTTAGTCTCCACATTACACAACCACTAGTTCTCCTACTTCAATGTCAGTAGCGGTACGGCTAACCGCATTGATCCACCACTACGATAAGCAGCACACCCCCCCCTGTTTTAATTGGCGCATCCCTGTTTATGACAACAGCGCCATCTACCTCTCACAGACACCCACGGTCCGGTTATCGCTGTTTTATTTCGGTACATCAAGTTCGACGCCATGGTGGGGATTTTTTTAATGCTAACGACTGGCATCCCCCCCCCCCTTCTTTCATTGTCTGCGGCCAGACATCCCTTGAAGATTCATCTGCTCTGGATCCAAGGTTCCGTTATCACCCCGTGGCATTAACAACTGGGTCAGCTGGTCGAGAGATAGCAACGGGGAGCAAGGTGTTAAAAAACGGGTCTATATTTGAAAACATGTCATTAGAAGTATTTCCAACGTGTTAACCCTGGCCCTAGTGTGAGTTTTTTTATAAAGCTATAAAAACAAACAATGACAGCAACGCTTAGAATGTTGGCTAAATGAAATGATTGTTTAGATTTGCGATTCTTTAGAAGTGTTTACAGTTTACAGTATTTATAGTGTTTACAGTATTGGCTGTTTACATGAATGTCGCCTAGCTTTTATATGAAAGATCTAATGAATTTAACGCTCTGTGAACTACCCTTTTGATCTGAGAGATTTATTAAAGACTCCAAAAATTAAACAGTCCTGGCCATTTAGGGTTTTTCTAAGGCGGGGTGGGGTGTTAAATGCTTTATTAAATTTTGATAGGCTTACATTTGTCTAAAACTTTTGCCCTCGTTTAGATTCACGTATGTTCAGTAAGTTAATAAACTTTCAGAAAAAAAAACAAAAAAAACTTAATAATGCCAATCTTTTAAGCCAAGTTGAATGCAAAAATGTGCTAAAGAAATTGCTTGTGTGTATAAAAAAAAGTCAACCAAGCAGACCTAGTAAAGGTGCACCAGTCCCTTGGTGAATGTAACACGACACCAAGTCTATTCCCTATACAGCCCCATTATCCCGGAGTTAATCTATTCACTGGAAAGCAAAATATCAGACAGCTCCACAATACAGGAACGTCAAGCAGTGCGGCTTTAAGTACAAAAGTAGATATACGGCTTAATGCGCGCTGTTGGGGAGGGGGTGAAACATGAGAAATTATAATGCAGCATATATATATATATATATATATATATATA